TAATAGGTGATGAATCAAAGTTTTGTGATGATCTATTAAATACTTTAATCAAATTTTCGAAATATTATTGTCACAATAAAATTGACATTTTTAAATATTTAAATAGATTTGAAATATATTATTTAAAAAATTCTAATCGTCATTTCAAAGGTTTTTAATAAGAACTAATGATCATGTAATTGACTATAATATTCGAACTTTTCTAAGCGCTGCTATTAAATAAACACAAATATGCATGCTCCAATTGTCATGTTAGTTGACTAATTTGATAAACTTTTTAAAAAGTGATCAAAATAAAAATGAGTCAATTACTATTAAAAAAATTAATTATTTGTATCTGAGAAAATTAAATTTTACATGAAGTAAACACAAAAATACGATTTGATTCACTATCAAGTTAATGATTTCAAATTTTTAAATATGTATATTTATAAACCTAATTAGTCTTTAAATACATATACTCAGTAATTTAAAAATTTAATTATTTTTTAGACACGGAGATTTTATTATTATGATCCACTCAATAATTAAATTAGCATTGAGTTGTATATAATTGTCAAAATTAATAAAATATTCTCATTTCTTAAAAAAATCTTATCTTGTGGCTACTCCGGAATTATTCCATTTGTGTAGATTTTAATACTAAGCTTAAGGTTGGTTTCATATTTTCCAAAGATCATTTTTTATCTTAGTTAAAATAAAATAAAAAGAATAATGAACTCGGAAAAATAATTAATTTATAAAATATCTAACATTCCATTATATTTCTATGCCATATAAATGTTCAAATTAAAACTGTAAAAATAAAATTATTTTTTTTTCAGGAGTTGTTTATGTTGCAACTTGTAAAAATGTCTATGGATAGTTCAACTCGTCGTTTGTATAGTTTATGAGGTTTCTATACCACACAAACGAATTTCCAAATATTTGATTGAATCCGCCCGTAGGAATCCGGCGAATAAGCATATTTCCGGTCTTTTTTGTTGTAAAGGTAGCGTTTTTTTTTTTCTTTGTGCCGGTTTCGTGGATTCTAGAAAACCAAATGATGTTTACTCTGTCGAAAACTGACGAGTACGCTGTGGCTTCTGTTTGAAAATTCTCAGAAAGTTGTACTGCTGATGTTTAACATTCAATTTGCATCTGATTTTCGCGCAGCCCCTGAGGGACATGCCGCAGGGTACGTCGGTCAAATTATAGTTGTATTGTACGTCTGCAGTTTATTTATGTTGGCGTATAGGTATAATAAATACAAGCAAAGGGTTGCTACGAGAATATGTAAGAGGTGGTACTTTTCCGTATTATGTATAAAGCATTATAAACGTAGGCGGATCGGTTAGTGATCACAATCGTCCATGTGTTTAGGTTTGTTGCAAAAACATTTTTTTTTTTGCGCTGTACATATAATATACAAAACCTGTGTATAAATTATGAAATTCAGTAGTAAAAGGGTTATCCGTACTAAATCAATCATTCGCCATTGTCCAAAGTATAATAATGGGAAACCACGACCGTAAGATAACACTATAAGAGCATGTGCAGCTGAATCGTACATCTGATATTATGATCCACGAGCAACATTCGGTGGCTTTCCACGTGTAAAAATTCTTCTCTCTTTAACGTGCCAATATATCATTATAAATTGTGTACAAGAAACACAACGCGTGTCACGTGCGGAACTCGCACTCGGCCGTTCTATCAGTTGTGTTATATTGTGTGTAAACATTATAAACCCCATTTCCAATGTTCGAGAGTAAATCGTGATAACTGACAAGCATATTAAAATAATATGAATAATAATATACTGTGTGGCCAGCGCGTGTTTTCTTTAACTTACTTCGGCACTACATTACATACATGACACATTTATCAAAACGATCAAAAGAACATTTTGAGTGTTGTTCCTGATTTTAAAAACATTGTAGTGGATGGGATGTAGATCAATATAATAACAACATCACTCGTGACTCTTAAAACATCAGATCTATAGACTGTATTTACGTTATTAAAAAAACATGACTCGAATAAATAAATTAATAAAATAATATTATTTCACAGTGTATAATACGTGGGCGATGATTTTTGTAACTTTTAATAAACAATCAAATTCCTTTCTTTTACGTGTAAGGATAACGATTATTATTACAGCGAGGTGCCTAAAGAAATGATATTCCTGTTTCAAATAATAGTTTGCGTGTACAGTATTATTTTGGATGTAACTATGTTAGCGTTACAGTAATCAAGTCTCCGAGGACATTTAGCAGCTGCTTTATTCTTCCAGTAGCGCCGCTGATAAAAAATAAAAATTCACGCACTCACTGGCTTAGCTAATGTACGTGTGATCGTTGATTGTTACAGTCAATTAAAGTGCCACTAACCAAAGGAAGAGACTTCAAAGCGATGGGAAATGCATTCATGAAAAAGGTGTTGCCAAAAATGAAACGCGATCGAAATCAGATTAAAAGTATTGTCTTGGCGGCGAAATGCTACCAAAAACAATGGAAGTGTTGTCAAACTAAACGTATACTCGCCGGCCGGGGGTGGGGTCAACGGAGGTGTCGGAGATGGGAAAGGGTGTTAATATAATAGCGAAAGGAGAGTGCGGTGGTTTCCATCCATTTTGTGTTAGTGGATTTGTGCACTATCATCGTGTTATTGCTTGTGCTTTGGTATTTTGGTTTCAAAGGGAACGCCGGCACTTGGCACTTACAACATAATTACAGGCCTCCCGCGCGCCGCACCGACACTTTGTTTCAATGTACTTTTTTATTTCATACTGTGTATGTATACTGAACAGAGTATACATAATATTCATTTCTCCCCGCCCACATTTTTTTTAACAAAAATTTTCAGTGTATTATTTTATCTGCCTTACACCTTGTTTGCCTTTCAATCAAACATCCGAAATCATCAAACTCATACACACACACACAAACTCTTTCGTTATACTGAGCCGACCATGTAATATACATGTATGTGGTGAACACGTCGCGGCCATGGCGTTACCATACAAACGGCCCGTCATTTCAATAATAATAATCTATTTATATTCATAAGTCATCGTTTTTTAGTGTTTTAATGCGGCACTAACGGCGGCGCCCCAAATGTCTTTCTCTGTGTACATGTACCGCCGCACATATTGTTTTTAACTAACCAAAATTCGTCAAAAAACACATAACAGTTCTCTGTGGAAGAACAAACCAAGTTTGCCCATATGTAATTTCAACATTCCATTTTAGGACCAACAAATAATAGTAATAATGTAGAATCATTTGTAAATTGTAGACAATGTTTGGCTACACCATTCGTCCTAAATTCCAAACCATAGTAATTTTAAAACTATCACATCTCTACAATATCAATTATGAGGCATGATTCATATTAGTAAAAATTGTAAACTTATTATTTAAAACACTTTTAAGTTAAAAGTTTTTTTTCAAATTATTGTTTTTCAACTAATAAACGAGAAAAAGTACTGTGAAAAAATCCCAGGTATCAGAATTGGTTTTAAAAGGGTTTATAAAATCAACTTCATTATCTTTGAGTATATGTAATTTTTCTAGATTATATTCCATTGCTTAGTTTCGATTAAGTACTTATTAATTAAGTGCTTAGTTTCAATTTAATATTATAGTAGTTTTAATTTACAAATTACGGTTCTTGTCAGAAGTATGCACAAGATTTTTCAATGAGGTGAAGTTAAGGTCTTTTTTTATTCATCACCTACCCTAAAGTCGTATACTGTTTATGGAAAATATGTATACCACAGTCAATGGGAGTTATATCCCTAAAACCAATCTATGTACGCCACTGGTTTTCACAGCTATGACGGCACAAATTTACTGTTTTAATGATTTCAAATAACTTATAATTAAATTTTCTGTACATTTGGTTTGGACCAACATAAGAGGTATGTGCACACTACATTTTAAAACATGGAACGCTACTCGAGTAATATACTCTAGATTTAGCGTAAAATTAAGAAAATCTTTTCATTTTAAAAATTTTTCAATTTATGTGAATAAGCATTTCAAAAATAATAAAAATGTTAAAAAGATACATTTTGTTCATATTAATTTCAGTTAAAGTTGATAACTGGTAATATGCGGTCTAAATGTTAAATAGGTTTCACATGTTGAGTTACACAAATATACATTAATATTCGCTTTTCAAAAGGATGGTAGATGAGTCGATTTCTCGAGTTTTGCACTTGCACACAGTGCTCCTTGGAAGGCGATTTCCATTGATGTTTTTGACTATACCAATCTGAACAAAAGACTAACGATTATATACGGTTAGTGGGTTGCTTTTAAAAGCTTGAAAGCGCAGACGACAACAGCGATAATTGCTTCCGGTGAAGTTCTCGTATAATTATGTTTAGCAAGGAAACACATCACATGTAGAAAAGCTCTAGAAAATCTATTAGTTACACATGAATATAACGATTGAATTAAAAAAAAAAAATGCTCTAAAAACAGAAATAATACACGAAAAATCAATAAACAAATCTAAATTGTTACGCATTTATGAGTAAAAAACTATACTGCCGCAGTCATGAGTGTTAAAAATTTGTATGCAAATAAAAATTGTCTATCATTAGGTGTCAACAATTTTCTATACGTTATATTCATTCATAACTCCCACAATTATTTGATAATTTACACATTTTTTTAGAGATATTTATAATTTAGTGTATTCATTTTAATGTATTTTACGCTTCAATTTTTAGTGAAATTTACTAAAATTTTTAAAAAGCAAAACTTACATAGCCGAAACGTCTCACACAGTAATTTTTTAGTTTTTGATTAATAATTAAGCATAATTACAATTGATTTCCTTTATTACTATCAAAATAAATTTTATTTTACTTGTTTACATTATCTTATGTAAAATCATCTAAACAGATGATTTAGCACTAAGGAAACTCCTTGTTATTAGTCTTTACTTTTGTTATTAGACGTTTAAAGTTATATTTAATTAATACTTAACATTCAGTTTTTAAAATGAATATTGATGAAACGGTCAAAGATAACGACAAAAGTAATACTTTAAAGACTTTTCCCAACGGAAAATGTTTACTTGATGGAGGTTTAAATGGTTTATATGAATTAAAAATCAAGAATTTCATAGGAAAAGGCAATTTTGGTGGAATTTTTAAAGGTAATATAAATGTTTTAATTTTATTTTTGATTTATATAAATAAATCAAAATAACTACTAAAATCATCATTATATTTATATATATCATTAAGATATATATAAAAGGGTCAGAACACTTTCAAAAGTTTTCATTTTGAATCCCCCCTTGTGTGTAGGTAAAGGGTAAGATTTATAAAAATAATATACCAAATGATAGGTAAAGACATCATGCATCTATAAAAAAATTATATTGATTTGGTCATATTTAAAAAAATTATGGCAGTTTTAAGTAAAAAAAATTGAAAAAATTAGTCATTTTTAAATTGGTAATTTTTTTTTTGGATATTTCTCTCATTTAAGAAGAACGAGGAAATTTTTTCAATTTTTGAGGGTAATTTCTTCAACTAGATACAATTTGGGATCTTTTAACGTATCATTGAGAAAAATCGATCCGATGAGAGCTGAGAAAAAGTAGTGACAAACTCAAATAAAACACATTATAGTAAAATTAATACCTTCTCAGCTTTGCATCGATGCTAAAAAACACATCATAGTAATTTTAATATTTTCACAGCTTCTCATCGAAACTAAAAATCAAGATATCGGTTTTTGTTTTTCAAATAAATTTTATCTTACTAAAAAATATAGTATCTATATATCATAGTAATTTGAAATTTTTAATTGGAAGCAATGATAAGTTTAAATGTAAAATAATATATTAAATTTAAATTTGTTAAATATATTTTAGGTAGAAATATATACACAAATGAAAAAGTAGCCATTAAATTGGAACCTCTCAAGACTAAATCATTACAGTTGATTTTTGAAAACTATTTTTATAAACTTCTCGGTGTTATAGGTGATAGCTTAGACATCTATATTATTTTTACATCATCAAATTGCAAATCGATGCTTCCTACTAAAAAGTTCTATAACCTAGTGACGAATTAAAGACAAACTAATAAATATCATTAGTTGATTTTTGGATTGTGAAGTATTATTTTATATATTTTTTATATTATTCTTACTATTTTATAAAAATCAGTAAAATATGGAAGCATTGAATTAAATACATATATGGTTAAGACTTAAAACTCATTTTCTAGTAATATATTTTAAAATGTTTACTATTTAAATAAATGTATAAGAATCTCCCATTCAGGTGATGACTTAAAATAATTTTTTATTCTTTAAAGGGTAGATTGAAAATATGATATAAATCATGAAAATTGTTCAAACTTTTGTATTTTATTTTATTCTTTAAAAGTACTCTTTTAAGATAACAAAACAATTTTATAAGACTTTATTTTTTTTTATTGATATAGACTATTTTTATAAATAAATATTAATTAATGACATTGAGTTTTATTTTTGTAGTTAATAACTCCTAAATCCTTAACTCTCTTTTTTATTCATTATAATTAAATTAAAAAATTAATAAGCTTAATAAACTTAATAATTATTTTGTTATTTCGAATAAATAAACCGATCAAACAGTTATTTATTGATTTGTTCGTTGAAAAATACTCAATACTAATTGGACCTTACCCCATTGATGGCGTATGAGAACTCTTTTATTCTTCATTTTATTTCAGTTCTCATTAAATAAAGTTCAAATCTTACAATTATTTCTTAATATATATTTTTTGATAGTTTGTTTAACTAAAAAAAAATTGTTTATGACTTCTTCATACTTCAAGTTATATGCAATATCAAAAAATTGCCCACTATTGTTCCAGGTTACTGTACTATTTTTATCTAATGAAAGTACTTGATACATGTTATATTGTAAAATATTTTGATTTATTACCGATCCAGTTAAGTTATTTTATTATTTAAAAGAAATTTAGGCGTCCCTCCTTACTCAAAAAACAATTTAATTCAAAAAAATAAATAAATAATACCAGTAATAGGTCTTCTTTACCCAAAAGACGCTATTCAGAACGACTCAGATCGCGAACTGACAACTGGTCAGGATTATTACCTTCTGGACCCTTTATCAGTCCGTCATTAATTAGTTGATTTTATCATTTTATGCAATAAGTATAAATCAGATTATAAATAAATACATAATTATATATTAAATACTGTTAGTGATACTTTTGTGGCTAATTTGATAACAACATGACCTAGGTCTCAAACTGTGGGTAAATAGGTAAGGGATTAAGATTGTAAAGAGTACTAAAACGTTTAATTTTTAAGTATAAAAAAAGCATACAAATAACGATTGACTTAAAACATTAATACCTTATACCTAAAAATAAAGAAGTTTTTTATCAATATAAACTGTTAATATTCAATAGGACGTTTTCATGGAATCGAAGGATTTCCAGAAGTTTACTATTTTGGCAACGTTGGTTTGGAATTTTCAGCTTTAGTCATGGAGATGTTAGGTCCATCATTAGAAACCCTTTTTCATTCATGTGGAAAAATCTTCACTTTAAAAACCGTATTAATGATAGCTGTCCAACTAGTAAGTTAATTGAGATGCCAATTATTTTACAAACAAAAGTAATTTTCTAAGGGCCAGTTCTTTATTATACTTATCAGACAACAAATAAGCGCTATAAAATATCAAACTAATCCGATAATGTTTTTAAAATAAATTAATTACAAAAAAATAACGATGATCACTAAATATACGTTTTACAAAATATATTAGGTAAATAAAGGAATAAAAATTAATTTTCAATAAAGAAATTTTGTCTGACTTTTAGTCAGTGCTCGAATTGGGGGGGTGCGCAGGGGGACGTAGCTCCTCTACTTTTTTTTAAATTTTTTTGCGCACCCCAACTACTTTTTTTTATAAGGACAGTAGAAAATACCACCTCTTTTTTTTTTTTTTAAATATTAGTATGATAATGAAATATAATTTATTAATAAATACTAAATAAAGTAATGAGTAAAAAAAAAAAAAAGGTCTTCAAAATGCTAGGGACGCAGTTTTCAAATTGTTAAGTTGAGCTCCCCTACTTATTTTTGACCAATTCGAGCACTGCTTTTAGTGCAATAATTACAATAATTTTTTTCAAAACTGAAACTTCAGATTAAAATGAACTGTGAATAATAAACGGCATTGATGTATTTAATGGGAAGGTGTGTTTGGGTGCTAAAATAAAACCCTTGGGACTAATCAATCGAAAAACAAAAAAAAAGAGGAAAAAAACTCAATTAGATTTACTGTTGAAAAAAAAAAGTTTTTCTTAGTATCTCACAAAGAAAAATTTTAAATAGCCCTTGATAAATGAAAATTTCATTAACTTTGTAATAAAATCTATTGTAATAATATTAGAATACATTTTTTAATGATATGATTCTAATATATTATATCATATCATTAAAAAATACATTTAATTAAAGTAATACTATTATTATTTCTAGATTTCTCGAATTGAATACGTCCATAGTCGTAATTTAGTTTATAGAGATATTAAACCTGAAAATTTTTTAATTGGTCTACCAGAACAATTAGTTCCTTACAAAATATCCACAGAACAAACAATATACCTGATTGACTTTGGTTTAGCTAACGAATACATCAATTCAGATACAAGATCACATATTTCTTGTAATGATAATGTTGGACTTATAGGAACGGCAAAGTTTATGAGTATTAACGCACATAGACAAATAGGTGATCATTTGTAAAATCAATTCTTTCCTTTTTTTATACTAAGTGATTAAGTATAAAACACGTTTTGTCTCAGAAACTGTTGATAATTTATAATTTTGTAAAGGAAAAAATTGTTTAATTCAAAAGACTACAATAATGTGTAATATCTTTTTTCATCCCTTCAAGAATATAATTCTTAAAATTTATTTTTTTTTAATGAGAACCCCATTTTTAGTTTTAAGATTATAATAGAAGACAAATTTTCAAAAATGTTCTTATGATATTTTTTATCTGATCAATCGTTTGTACTTCAAAATTGTTTAGAGTTTTGTATTTAAAATAGAAATTCATCTAAAATTTAGCTATTATAATACTTAAAACAACAATAAAATGTCAAAAGTGATTCAGAAATTCCCATGAATTAGTATGATATCTTTAGTAAATATGTTAGTTTTATACTCATTTATAATTATATAGAATTTTTATTACTATTTATCCAAAATTTCCCTTATATTGTATATTTTAACAACTTCCAATAAATGTACGCAAAATCGGGACATTTTTTTAAGAGTGAATGTTTAAATAGGCTATAAATTATTATCTTTATTTATTCTTAATATAACAGATATTTTAACAAGAATTCTCAAAATAAACTTGTTAACGTAGCAGGGTGAAGAAATGACGACTAATATATGTTAAACTGAATATTATCAATAGAAAATTGATCAAAAGTCACTTAACTAAGCAATAAAAGAAGAATAGTCAATCGGAAAAAAATTTATAAAAATAAAATTTGTTAAATTTTTTTTCTATTAAACTAAAAATCTGTATTTCCATTAAAGAAAAGTTTAACTTTTTTATCTTTGAAAGAATGAAAAAAACTTAGTTCAACTACATATTAAACACAATACTGTGTGAAACTAGCATACACAAAGACGTACTACTAAGTGGGGCATGTACATCTTTGCGTTGAAAATATTGAGGGTGGGGTTCTGACGTGTAGCTTTTAAATAAAAAAATAAAGTTACCATAGATATTCTTTATTTTTTTACAAATTACACACTTGTAACAATCACGTGAATGTATTTTTATGTGTAATTAAAATCATAAAGCAATTGTACGTTGTAGAACAAAGCCGCAGAGATGATTTAGAATCTATTGGGTACATGCTACTATATTTTATTAAAGGAAAGTTACCTTGGTCGGAATATGAAAGTGACGATTTAGATAAAGTGGAGAAAATGAAAGTAAGTATTTCTGAAGAAAATCTTTGCAGAGGTTTACCAGGTAAATTTTAATCGGATTCAAGGCCTACCAAAATATTAACAAAAACATTGTTCAGGTGAGTTTTGTGAATATTTTCGGATTGTACGGAAATTAGAATTTGTTGAAGAACCTAATTACGATTTGTTGAAAAATCTATTTATTGATATCTACAAATTCAACAGATTTCCTGACGATGGATTATTTGATTGGTCTAATAAAATAAAATAATTATTTTTAATTGTATTATTTTTTTATATAATATACAATAATTTCACACTACGCTATTATTAATGACTACTACTTTAAATAATAAATTAAAAACACAATTAGCTTTCTCAATAAACTTAATCTAGAAGACACCTACGGGCCTTACAGAAAAAAAATTATAAATAAAAGATTTTTTAGTAATTATATACATTAATTATAAAATTAAGCGTCTATAAATTTAATAAATAACCAAATTTAAATGTCATTAATATATAAAAATAATATTCATAATACGGCATTCGCAATATAAATTAATAAAAATAAAAAAATAAATTTCATACGCATGATTATGATTTTAAAAATTCACCAAACAAATTTTAAGGGGGAAAACTGTCCATTTATGTCCTATCTCTATGGACACCAATATTACACGTCACAGTGTGATACCTGGTGGTCGAATTTCGAGAGAGAACTCTTATCGATTGAAATCTTTTAGCCATTAAAATCATAAAACGCATATAGAAATTTTTTACAGAAATTTGGTTTTAAAAACTGTAAAGCAATTTTAAAATATAGACAAATTGTGATATAGGCGCAATTTAACTAAAATGTTCTAACTCATTACTATCTTTCTTATTAATATTTCTACAATAATTTAGATGTAATTTTCATAAATTTTTTTAAGAGGGGCTGCTACAGTATTAGGGGAGACTTAAAATTCGGCAGCTGTTATTGACGACTGCTATATTATTCTACATTTTCAAATTGAGATTTAGTTTTACAGTTTTTGAATGCGATGTCTTTAATTTGGGTTCTTTTGAATTATAGATCAGACTGGTGAGAGATAAGACTTTTTTTTTTAGAGAGAAACAAAGAAAAATGATCCTTATGGTAAAACATTTTCTGCTTTACATCGAGACTAAATCGACATTTTTTTTGTTTTGTTAAAAAAATGACATTTTTAGTACGTATATATGCGGTATTTTTATATCCTTTATTTAATGTTACTATCTAAACAAAATGTTATGAGTAATAAAAAATGTTGTTTAAATTTTATGGTACCTTATTATAAAAACATTTTTTTTTTCCAATTATAAATTTCCAAATACAACACTGGATACCATATACATTTTTTTCCTCAAAATACAGCGATTTATTGATATATTGCGCACTCCTTTTCTCTATTTAATATTTTTGACTTGTACAATTTAAAATAATTTTCACATTAATAGATAACCATAATATTATTTATAAAATTAATTTAAACAACACATTTTGTAATTCATTTGAATGTATCATTTAAATTATTATTTTGACTAATAATAATTATATCATATGAACGTTTATCAAACGGTTTGAACTATGAATTTTGTAGTATTAAAGTAGACCTAAATAATTTAATAAAAAATTTAAATTAACAATTAGTACATTATAGTTTTTCAAATAGGGAAACAGAATGCACAGAACACCACTGCTACACTTATCTACAATTACTGGATTATTAACATATACAGATTTACCAATAGGTAATGACATCCTTAAACATTTTGATACAGGTACTTTATGTTGCTTTTTATTTTTCATAATTTTTACAATTATGATTTACTAAAAAGCATATTATTCATTATGAATGTATTAAAGCTTTCATGGATTGTTACAATTCAACTGTAAACATGAATACATCTTTAAGCTCTTCAAGCAATATTTTTCATTATTTGGTTTTAATAAAAAAATTTTTTTTTATTTTTAAATGGCTATATTTAACACTTATCTTCCAAAAAATATTAATGGGTTTGAGTTATTTTAGGATAAGTACTTATTGAGTTATAAGAATTTTAATATATAAACTTTCTTACGTTTTCAATGATGATATAGAAATTATTAAAAAAAAAAAATAGGTTATAAACTTTTATAAAGAGCCACCAGAAATAGGTATCACCAAGGCCCTACAATTTCCTGTGCTAGATGATATGTTTTTCCAAGGAATAGCATACAAAATATTATAGCTCTAAAAACATCTCATCTGAGCTTAAAATGGAAGACATAAGTTCAATCAATTTTTTTCTAATTATGTTAATTATTTATAAAAATATTTATATAAATTAATCAGAAGTTACACATTAAAAAATTACTAAGTTGTATTCTAAAAGAGGATGTTTTTCAAATTGATTTTTTCATAGGAGTTGTTGTATTTTTGAACTTGGTGACGATATATGATGTCAAGAACTTTTATTCAGATGTTCAAAAGTTTTTATCATTAACGAAATTATACGAAAACATTTATAATGTAGTCATAAATATTATCATAAAACAAAATTAAATTTTGCATTAAATATTAAATATACTACATTACCATAACTTATTTTTTCTGTTAAACATTCTTCAAACAGTGTTTACTTAAATTTTACATAGAATAGGAAAAGTTATATTAATTGGGATTTTGCTAATCACAAGTTTAACTAAATTAAACAAAAAAGAATGTTAACATTTATCATTTTATACTTATTTATTATCAAAGACAAAATGTTATTAAATTTATTCTTCACTTCCATCAACATTTTCTGTACCTAACTTTTTAAATGTTGGTACATTAACCCACGTAACAAGAGTATACAATTTATGAGGTGAATCTTCATCATCATTTCGTCTCCTTGCTAATTGTACACGAATACGGAATGGCACACTCCTAAAATGACATCAAATAATTTTTATATTTGTTGGAGATTTAAATATTGAAGTATTTTTTATTTATAAATTTATATATACATTATAATCAGAATTATATGTAACATGTTATAATCAAAACATTTTCGACCCAAAATCAAAAATTTAATTGTAATAACGCTGTTATATAAAAAAATTATCTAATTAAATTTGTAAATTCTATTTTATTATTCTTATTTTTTACATCAAACTTTTTAATAATTTAATAAAAACATTAATAGTTCGTAACCTAAAACTTATTATAATTTAATAAAAATTTATAATAATCATTTAAAACTACTAACTTATAATGATTAATCAAATATAGAAATTGCAAAACTAGTGCATTTGAAAAGCATCTTTACATTCAAGAGTTAATATATATATATATATATTAATGAAGTAATTATATTACTTTGAACATACTAACTTATTTTCCTCATAATATCTTATTGTAGTATGATGTAAATGGCGAAAATAATTAAATTAACTTAGAAAAATGTAGTCCTACTTAATGTGTCATATTATTCTATCAATTTCAAAAATAAACTTAATAATTTGAAGCAATGAATATTTAATGATAACTAAATTGTGTTGAAAATGAAATATCCATAATACTATAAGATATTATATCTTTGAGAAGGCAATGTTTTTTAAATTTAACTTTTATTGATTGCATTGTTGTTAATGTGACCATAAAACTTTCTTTGATTATTTCTCATTTAATATGAATGATAAAAATATTGAATGAAATCAATTGATAAATAATTGTATTGTTTAAAATATTATGCCGAAAATTTTATTTTGAAAATCATGTCACTTATAACAATTTGTCTTCAAACCATAAATATTATACATACCTTATACCCTTAGACCAGACAAATTTATTCAGCCTAGTATCTATACGGACATCTTGAGTACCCATTTGTTGCGATGCAAACTTTCTGATTTCTTTAATAGCACGAGGCGCTCTCTTTTTATAACCAATATTTAACAATCTCTTGTGCATATTAATGGTGTACACACGGGTTACCACTTCGTTAATCGCCGATTTGCGTTTACGTTCTCTATTTAACTTGGCCATCGTAATGTTTGTCTGCAAGACTATTACAAATTTAATTCAATAAATAAAATTATTCTAAAAAATAAAGAAACATATATATTAAAATTACAATAAAATATAAAGGAAAATTTTTTTATGATAAAATTTAGTTTATTTTAAATCAAAACAAAATATTTTAATTTATCAAATAACTTTAATAATTAAGACAATACCTTTGACAGTTAAAAGAAGGGTATTAAGATCAGTATTAATTAAATAATTAGATTGAATTGGATAAAAATAAGACTTACCTCAGTCTAACAAAACACTCCGATGGATAAACACCTAAAAAGAAATTTGAGATAAGTTTACCAATGTTTGTATAATAACCTCAATTGATGATTATACATTTGACAAGGAAGTGAACTCGTTGCTTTTTTTCATTGGTAACACTGTCTAATTTTGATAAGAAAATATCAATTATCAAGTATACCAAAACACACCGGTTTATTTAAATTTAATTACTCTTTTGTTTTTTAGTAGAGCAATTCAAATACTGATATTTAATGTAATGTTGTGAATTTTATAAGTTTCATTGAGTTTTTATCGACTTTTAAATACTATAATTTTTATGATCGTTTTTCCAAAATGTTGAATAATATTTAAAAAAAAATAAAATTTTGCTTTTATTATAGATGTACTTAGATAATCATGGACTCTGAAGAAACTGAAAAATTCTTGTTGGTTGCTAAAGCAGATAATGTTAAGCATATATCTTCACTTCTAAAGGCAGTCAATTTTAAAGATGTAAGCTGTAACATTAATATTATTATAGATATAGTTTTTCTTTGCATTACAAAAATAGCCGTTATAATCATTTATTCGTTAATTAATTTAAAAAAGATGTTAAATCTTTTTTATTTGGTAAATTGTTTTGAAAAAACAAGTACATTATTACAAACAATTATTTTCTTAAATAAGTAAAGAGTAAGAATTTAGTCAATATTTCAAAACTTTTTTTGCGGCTTAATTTAAATTTTAACCACAACTGATCTTCAATAATTCTTTTCCCAATTTTGGATCCTATTATTTGTCTGAAGAAAGAGCTCAAAAATACTCTTAGTTAACTTTGTTTAATAATACTTTCATAAATTTAGGAAAGGTTTACCTATGTTTCAAGAAAATATACAGAGTATTACTGTATAGATAAACACATGTTATAGTTTAAGATGCTTTTATTTAGGTGGGTGTATTTTTTGCAACTGAACATGGTTTAAAGATAGTTGTTGAAGATTCAAAGTGTGTACAAGCAAACGCATTTATTGGCAGTGAGATTTTCCAAGTAGTTTTTTAAATTAATCATTTTTTCATACTCACATATTTTAAATATTATAGGACTATCAATTAAGTGATGATACAGTGGCATTTCGTGTAGATTTGAACACATTCATTGAATGTCTCACAATATTTGATGGTTGTTCGTTAAATCCTGGAGTAACAACTGCTTTAAAATTGACTTATAAAGAATATGGTTCGCCTATAAAATTGTTGTAAATATGTTTATTTATTGTTTAATTATTAAATGTATAGTATTTATACTCTTTAACAGATTAGAAGAAGGTGGTATTATAACAGATTGTTCATTGAGGACTATGGAAGTATTTGATATTTTGGATTTTAGTATTCCTGCAGAATCAGCAACTAGTAAAATAATTTTAAGATCTTCAGATTTTAAAGATATATTGAATGATATTGATAATTCATCTGATTATGTTGAATTTACATTTTCTCAGGAACCAGAATTTTTTAAGATTTTGACTTCTGGAATTGCTGGAAAATGTAGTGTGAGTATTCCTTAGTTTAATAAACTTATATATTCTTAGTATCATTTTTTACTATTTCAATTGAATTAGGTTGAAATTCCTTCAAAAAGTGAAATTATCGAGCAATTTGTTTGCAATGCAACCATAAGTGTAAAATATAAATATAGACAAGTGAAACCATTTTTGAAATGTATGAATATATCTCAAAAAACATTAATTAGAACAAATGAAGAAGGTTTATTATGTTGTCAATTTATGGTTCAAGTTGATAGCCATACTTGTTACATGGAATATTTTGTAAGTTGTACTTCTATTTATTTAGAGATTACAAAATGAACATCAATTAATTTATTTACTTGAGAGTATTTAAAGATTTTCTAAAATGATTGACTAACACTACAGTTATTAGTATTATTAAATTATTGAAAGTCTGCTTATTTAATTCTGTAAATAAAGATTACTTAAATTTTGTTGTATTTGAAATACTATAGAATTAATTAAGTTAATTTTATTTTTAGTGTACACCAATAGTTGATGATGAGTAAGACACATTTCCAATGATTTTTTTTTCTAATTGCCATCCAATATAATTAAAAGTTACTTAAATTTGCAGTCAATAATTTCACATATGTATGAATTGCCTACAAATTTTAAACTATTTTGTAAAATTAATAAAGACAAATTAGTAATTGTTATATTTTATTTCAATGTGAGTTAAATCACATTATTAAGAATAATCAAAACATTATACATAAGGCAACAAATTTATCAAACAGTATCAAATAAATTTCATTTAATTTCACGCTTTTTTTGGATGTATCAGTCTAATTTGCTATGATTGTAGTAAATTAACCTAATAATTGAAAAATAAAGGTTAATATTGAATTAAAATTTTTAATTTTAATAAGTAGTTAATAACATTTTTGTATTAATATTAATAAATTAATGTCCAAACTTGATAGTTATAAAACTAAATTATATATTCAATGTTAAGTACCTATTTATTACAAAATAAAATCTCGTTAACATACTTATTAAATTGAATAAGTTATTATGTATATATTAAATAATGCAGTAAGTGTAGAATCTTCATAACATTTGAAAACAAATTCTTTCTAAAATATTTATCTAATTACTTTTAATGAGGCATGTAAAAAAAAAAAAAAATACAAAGAATAATATAAAATAATACATGAAACAGCAATACATTTAGGGTCAATTTTAATAATAGGTTTCAGTCTTAGCAGAAATTAAGGGTTTTTAACAATCAATAAAATATTTTGTTATTTTACAAAAATTGCTTGGAAAATATTTACTATAATTGTACGAATGGAATTTTTATTTATTTAAGAGATGAACGGCTTGTGTTGAGCGTGGGAAGATCATCATCTTGAAAATTGTCTCTTGATCTATCATTTCCATTAAATTCTAAATTTGCAGCTTCATTTCTTTCATCTCTAGCAGCTTTCATTTTCAATACTTGTAACCGTTTCATGAATCCATCAGCTTCAGTGAATACACTTGAGTCAGTCTTACGCGTTGGAGTAGAAGTTATAGGAGTAGATCTATCATTATTATCTTTAAAAATGAAAAATCATTAAGATTATAAAATGTCTTAGAATTAAAAATGTACATTACCTTTTGGTTCAACTAAACAACTTTTTAAATTATCCTCAATAGCAGACAATTTGCGATGAATGTAATCTTGGAAATATTTAGTAGTCTTAGAAATGTATGGGTCAATATCAATGTTAGGGTGTTTTATTTTAAATCTATGCAATTGTTGAATGCCCTAATTTAGTAAAAATAATATTAAAATAAATATTAAAAAAAATTATGAATTTAATTTAAATGTTCATACTTCGTCAGTATTTTCAGGTTGCCCAATAATATAAAATATATCTGTAAGTTCATCATGAGGTGTTCGATGTCTACGTTTACTACTTTCTGGTCTAGGTTCGTTACTTAAGTGCTATATTAAAATTTGTTTTAGATTAGAAACTAAGCTTATTGATTTTATAGAATATATTATTCTTATATATTCTATATTAATATATATATTCTTATTTAGAATATATTCATTACAGTGGTTCACAATATTTTGGAAGATCTAATATTTTTTGATCTAAAAATTTAGTTACTTTTTTTTTAAATTATTATATTTAAACACTAAAAACATATCAGAAATAATTTTATTTTTAATTTATTAAAGAAAAACATTTTTTTGTTAATTGGTGAAAAATGCAAAAAACAAGGCAGTAGCCATTATGTGAAGTAGATTTTAAGAAAAAATTAATAAAAAAATATCATATTAACATTCAGTAATAATTTTACGATAGCTTTTTAATGTTTGTAAGAATTTGAATTTTCATATAATTATTTTACAGTATTAAATATTTAAATATATATTGAAGAAAGAACAAGATAAAATGCTACTTTTACAAATATTGTGTGAGTCATAGTAATCAATTGCATTGTATATTGTTCTAAAGATAAATCTTCAACAAGGTCAAAACATCAGAAAAAATCTTTTTCGTTCCCTTTATTCAAACTCTTTGGGGTCAATCCTTATCCTAAACTTCTACTTGACACAATCTCCCACATAATTTAAGCACGCACACATCAGCTGTCCTTATATCACATTCAATAACATTTCTACAACTCTTTTTTAGTCTTATTCTACCTCTTCTTTCTTCAACATTCATTTCCACAACTGTTCCTATAGTTTCCTATTCCTATCTCCTAATAACATGATCAAACTATCTAAGTCTATTTTCTCTGATCTTATCCACAATTGGACGCTACACCTTTCTCCCTCTTATATGTTTGTTGCTTGTCCTGTCTTCTTTAGTCACTCCACTCATCCATCAAGCATTCCCATTTCTACTATACTCATTCCTTGCCCAACACTTTGAACTGAACATCATAGCTGGTGTCACTACAATCTTATAGAACTTACCTTTCGGTCTCATTTGAATTTTTTTATTGCATAACACACCAGACGCTTCCCTCTACTTCAACAACTTACATTAAAATCTATGTTTTACATCCTTGTTATTACCACTGTTCTTTTGCACAACTGATCCTAAATACTTAAAAATTTCACCTCTCCTATTGCATATTCACTTATTGTCACTTTTCTCCTCTTGTTACCTACCTAGAGTTCTCTTTAGTTAAATTTGTACTTTGTATACATTGTCTTACTACTACTTATTCTAAATCCTTTTCCTTCAAGAACTGATCATCACATCTCTATCCTTTGACTAATTTCCTCTCTTTATTTTTACTATTAATACTATATTATTAGTGAATATCATGTACAACAGTACATCTCCTTGTATTTCTCTAGAAATTTCATCCATTACCACTATATAGAATAAGGAATATACAGATGTACATAATACATCTGAAAGTAATCTAAATAATAGAAGAATTTATAAAAGCTTCAACCCTTTCATATGAAATGTATTGTACCAATTCTTAAAATTCATGTCGTGAAATGAAATGACTACTACTATAATTATATTATATTATTATATTGTATAATTAAAACTTATATGGTATAAAAAAAATTCCAAAGTTTATCACTTAGACTTATGATCTGAAAGTTTTAAATAATAATAATTTATTTACTTGTTTTATAAAATTTAAATAACTNGATCTGAAAGTTTTAAATAATAATAATTTATTTACTTGTTTTATAAAATTTAAATAACTAACTATGAATTATTAAGTAAAATAAATGAACAAATTTGTAAGAAATAGTAAATAAGATTATTCAAATTGAAAAAATAAATAAAAATTATTGAGGACAATTTTCTTTGCTTTTATATAACATTTAAAAAGTTTAATTTAACTAACAAAAATTATAAAATAAATTATTTTTAGTAAGACTTCTCTTTTTACGTTTATTTTTTTAATAGACAATAAATTAAAATTACTATGTATAGCTAAAACTTTAATTTAAATGCATTACCCTTAAAAGTTTATGAATATAAGTAACCATTTCAGACTCATTAGGAAATTCTGGACTTTGTAAACATTCAAGAACCTTATTACTACGAGTCTTAACCATTGTATGAAGAACAGTTTTACAAGTCCTTAATGGTGTATCAGATTGTTGTTTCTTCCAATATTTTGAATCAAATTCCTAAATATTATAAATAAGAGATAAGAAATATTCATTTATTTTATATAACATTATACTTTAAGAAATTTATGTATATGAGTTAAAACTCTATCATAACATAATTCATCTCCCCATTCTTGGAAATCTTTAACTATTTTCCATATACATTTCATTACTAATTCTTTATAATGAGTAGTTGAATTTTGAGGAAACTTTACAGTGTCATACAACATTGCCATTAATGCACTATATACATAAAAATTTTTTTTTAAATACATCAGGTATATAGTTAAAAAATAAAATTATTACCAAGTAACAGGAGTATGAGCTGATTTTTCTAAGACACTCATAATAAGACTATTCACACATCTTCCAAAAAGGTGAGTATCTGCATTATTTTCTGAGCTTTTAATGCTCAAAAGATATAGTAATTTAGAAAGTAAATCACGTACTATTTGTTCATTCAAAATTAGGGTAAACTCTTGGTATTTAAATAACTACATTTCACACAAAAAATATATGAAATACTACAATTGCTTATATTAAAATTTTAAGTAAATATGAGAAAAAAACTTACATTTAGACACAAGTTGAAAATATTTCTGTAACCAACAGTAATGTCTACATCATGAGATTCAGAAAGATTATCAAATTGTTTGATGATGGCATAAAAAAGGGATAGAACTTTTCCACCTTCTAAAAATTTTGATCTAGTCTAAACATCATTAAAAAAACAATAATATTTTAAAGATTAAATAATAAGTTTTATGTCTAATTTATAAATATATACAAATAATTTTTACATCAGATCTCAAAAGCATTTTATCAAGATTTTGCATAGCACTTTTAGCATATTCTATATCAGATGATGAAACTTGTTGAATAAGCTTATTAATAGGGTCAGTTGACGATAATGTTGTTAATCTTGGACTTTTAGTAATGGTAGCAGTACTGTAAGGACTAACATTTACAGATGGTTTGGTTGGGGACTCATTATCAGAAGTTCTATAGTAGAAAACATATACTATTATACTATTATATTTCAAATACTTAATCAAATTCGAAAATAAATTTATTACTGAGATTGAGTAGCAAGTGTCTTTTTATAAAAGTCATCTTCATTAGAATTTGAATTCCAATTATAAGATTTTAATTTCAATTCTGGTTTAGTGATTTTTTCAGCTTCTAATTCTTGAAGGAATTTTTCATCTAAAGCGTAACGAGTTACTGGAGCATCTTCAGAGTCATTTTGAGGTCGTCTAAATAAAAAAAAAAATGTATAAATAGTTTTAGATATTTTAACTACAAAACCTTAAATCATAACATTATTGATATATAATTATTAACTGTATATACTAACTGTGAAATTAGAACAACATAGAATATGCTGTTGCAATGACTTTTATAATGCTGAAACAAACAATTAGAGTGCTCAAGCAAAGGCGTAGCAAAATTATTTTCACATACAATTTCACGCAAACAAGTTTCTTTAATAATTGGACTAATCACATCAACAATAACAGTTATACTGATGTTAGAAACAGTAGAATGCATTTTATAAGATTTGGATTCTATTATATTGAAATTTGATTTGGGAGAAAGAAAAATTTAGGAATTTTTTACAATTAAGAAGAATTGATGTATCTTTGTAAAAATTAAGTGGTTTTGAAACAACTCTAGCTTTCCTTCATCATTATGATGAAAAAAGCAACATGCAAAAAGCCAAAATAAGCATTCTAAAATCTAGCAATGAAATATTTTAATGTAAAAATAAAATTATTATAAATTATAAATTATAACAATTATAAAAAATAAAAATAAAAGTAAGTAATCATATAATGTAATTAGTAATAGCCTTAACAAGCTCAAGCTACTTCTTAGAAAAATTATAAAAATAAATAATTTTATTTGAAAAAAATTAATTATTTTTTATATCTTAGACTTATAAAAGATAAATTAATGCCTTATTCATTAATAGCTAAGTCACTCATCCACTTACCTTAAACAAATATAAATTAAAAGCAATAGTATTTCATTTATACCCATTTTTATATCACTAAATTATATTATATTGAATATATAACATTATTTTTTTATTGTAAGCCAAAATCAATTCTGTATAATATACAGTTTCTTTAAGAAATGGAAAATTTACACTGGTATATATTATATTAACTAGTTAAAATAATAGTTAAGAATACTATTATAAAAATTATTAAAGATTAAAATTGATAATATACCAGTTTAAAAAGCAATTATCTAACTAAAACAAGAAATAATTAAACAAATATTGTTTGTCAAACTACGTACATGACAGTTTTAATTACATGCAGGAAGTAAGTTTTAAAATTAATGTTGTAATTTATAGTTACCTAAATTCCATTCGTAGTGATGAAGAATTGTCCAATGCAGCTATATTGCTAGATCTATATGAAACACTATTTCCTGGCCTCAAGGGAGAGTTATTCGAATATCTGAGAGGACTTTGATTATGATTAGATTCATGGGAAACATTAAATGTAGCATTGTGCTCTTCATCAGCTGAATTATAATCATCATCTACATTCTCATTTATTTGTGGTACTTGCTGAACAGGTGGTGCAACTTGTTTAATTGTTGGTTGAACAGTAGCTACAGGAACAACTCTATTTTTAGAAGCTCTTTTAAGACGTTCCCTTAAGAGTCCCATGTCTTTCTCAGATATCTAATATAATTTAGAATTATTAGTTATAAAATAGTTGCAAAAGTGATAAATTAATAAATAAATGTTATAATTTGTAGTATAAAAAGATAAGTCACTTCAATGTGATAAAAATTATAGAATATTAAAATTTTTTATTTATTTTACTCGTATACTGAATTGATAAGTTTTAAAATTAGATAATGGTTAATGAAGTTATATATTTATACTCAAATTTAAATAAATAAAAATTGTTTAAATAAAGAGATTTAATAATAAGATTAAAAAAAATCAATAATAACCGGTCAATAATTACATTTTTTTACTTACATTGCCCACAAATTTGAATAAAGCATCTCCATGTAAAAAGAAAGCTGCAACAAAGCAATTTAAAGCAGCTGTACGAACAGCATTGTCACGGTCACCAATGCTTTTCGCTATTTCTTTACAGGCAACTGCAACACTTGGTTGACAAATAGAAGTCCCATAATCTTCAATCATTGATGCTAAATGTTCCAAGCATTCTGTACAGATTAATATATATAAATACATTGTAAAATTACAGTAATTTCAAATTAAATATTAAATTTTACGCTAAATAGATTTTTTTAATTCTTATATTTCAATAGTAAAAAAAGTATTCTATGGTAATTTAATATTCTAATATACTTTTTAAATATTATACCAGAACGTTGTCTTGAATTTTTTGATTTTACACCATCCATAATATATTGAAACATTTTTGTATTAGGGAAAATAAAAGCTATCTGTTTTAGAATTGCTCTAACTTTTTCCCTTACAGTATCTTTAGAATCTCCTAACTAAAAAATTAAATAAGTATTTTAAACATAATGAAAATTGAAAAAAAAAACTAATAAAATTACTTAATACATTAATTTAAATAAACAACTATAACTGAAAACAATAATTGACAACTAAATATTTAAAAATTATGTTTTTAGTTAATTATAAGTAAGATCAAAAATAACTTGTGCTTTCAGCTATTTCTCTTAAAATAATACTTTTTTGAAATTTTTTTTAGATATATGTATATCCATTTATACTTTATAAAATAATTTCTAGATACATTCCTAATATTTTAAAGGAGTGTTAACTTTATTTTGTTTAATAAAAAATACATATTAAACTATTTGAAATTAAATTATGTTCAAAACTAAAAAATTTTACTCAAAAGGCCACAAAAAATACTAAAAAATCGTGGATACGTATTTTAACAACAATGTTACTATTATCAACATTTAACACAGATGGATATATTAAACCAGCTTATAAAATAGAAAATTATTTAATTAAAAAAATGAATGATAGATAATAACTTTTGAACCAGTGCTTCAGAAAAGACATTCATACTTGTATACATAGGCAGGAGGAGTGTTACTGAGAAATGACTTATGATAAAAATAGCAGCATCTGCACTTCAACACCAGTCTTTATTTTAAAATGTTAATAACTTCCACTATAGAAGTTATTAACAGTTGTATACTATATACAAATGAAACTAAAAATCAAATAACTTATTGTTTTAAGAAATATTGGGTGGCTAGTGTCAAAATATACTGATAGTCATAGACTGTTACTATGTGTATTATACTCTGCATAACTAAATAGTAGTTTTAGGTATTTATAGTAACTTAGAGTAATTTTGGTTATACATTTATTTTTTTAAGTTATAAGAATCCATGTAAGCGTTTTTCACAAAAATTAAAAAATGACCCTTAAAATCACATAATATGCTTTTTTAATAAATTTTATTTATGTATGTTTAGTTTTGTGTAATTTAAAAAAATTACTCAAGCTTGTATAACTCTACAAAATTGTAATCAAGGTAGAGAAAAAAGCACTAAGTTGAACTTTACAAAAGTTTGAGAGGGAAATTTTGTTCAGTTAAGTTGTGTTAAACCATAGAGCGTTTTTTTTTTAGATAAAATAATAAAATGTTCTTTTAGGCCCTCCTATATTTTTTAATTATTAACAAAAGTAATCAAGTGGGTAATACTAAAAGAATCCCCCTGTATACTAAAACTAAATTTAAAATTATAATACTAAATTATAAAATATAAATTTGATACTAAATTTAATTATTATAATAAATATTTATTCATGTATAATACTTATAAATCATAAAACTTGTAATCAGGATATGAATAAGAAAATAGGAGTTCATATTGTTTTTGAAATAATTCAATAATTCCTTCTAAAAATTAATCACCATCTATAAATTTGCACCAAAGCACTTCTTAAGATGGTGACTTTAATTCTTGTAAGATATCATTTTTACTTGCCATCACTGTACGATGACCCCCCATCACTTTACTGGTTTTTTAAAATTATTTTTGAGGCATACATATATACTTTATTATTAGTTTTTAAAGTACATACTTTAGTAACTAGATATGGTACAAAACTGGAAGCTTCTGTGTCATGAAGAGTGTAATTTTGAGCCATTAATATCACAAATATATTTTGTAAATAATCAAGACCTTTCAAAAGTACAGATGGATTTGTATCAAAAAATCTTAATGTCATCCATTTAAGAATTAGATCAAGATTATTCATTAAGGCCTGGTTATTGTCATCAGTTGTTGTTAAATCCTAAAAAATTATGAAATTATTATTACATAACTTTTATCATGTTATAATAATCAGCTTAAGTGTATCTTAGTAAAAATAAATTACTTCAGTAAGAGCTTCAATTGCTTTCAAATGATATCTGAAATCTGAATGAAACATATTTGTAATTAACACTTTATTAATACCAGCAGTTACCATTTGATCACGAAGTTGTTCTACAAATTCTTCACGAGGTGCAGTGAAATTCCATTTTAAAGACTAAAGAATAATAAATATTGATCAAAAATGTTTACTTTAATTACCTTAATTAAAAAAAGTTATACTATATATACTAATATTATAAGATTGATATTTTTGAAATATTAAATAATAACAATGAAAAATATGATTTAAAAATATTAAAGTACAACTTTATTTTTAACTACTTTTAATTTATGTTCATCAATATCTCGCTGGTGTTTTAAATTATTTTGAAGGAATAATGGTCCATTATCAACTTCTTCTTTTTTTCTATTTGAAGCCGTATTAACACGAATTATATTTTCCTATAATAATAAAATATACAATATTAATTTGAAAAATCTGATGAAAATTCAACATATAATTCACAATATTTACTTTGTTAACTTTAGTAGCTGCTTTTGGAGGTGGAATTTTCGATCCTCCTGATTTTACTGAAGGTCCGCTTGGAATACCTGATTTAACTTTTGGTTTTTCAATAGGTGTTACAGGTAAATTTGGCCTTTCTTTATCTAACTTTTCTCTAACAAATTTAACTGACATAGGCTACAAAAAATTATAAGCATAAATACAGAATTCCCCACGCATTATTGATTGCCGCACTATGTTCAATAACTTTTGATCCAGAAAATATTTTGCGTTACTTTTTTTAAAAATAATTTGTACAAATTTGGACTGCATTAAAACATATTTTTTATTATTTGTTTCTAATAAGAAAAATAAAATATTTTTACTTTTTTCAAAATTTAAAAGCAGCCATTTTTTAGCTTGTAAGCTAAACTTATATTTAAAACCAATTTAACTTAACAAGAACCCAAAAGAGCTAACAAAGCAAGCCAAAAGCCACACTAAAGCAACATTGATGTAGTANCATTTATACTCCGGCACAGGTGGTTAGTCTGTCGCCGGAGAAAGGGATGACGATTCTAATTCTGAACTGATCTTTTATTTAGCAAATTAAGCCATCTGTGACCGAAATTTTGAATCAGAGGCAGTGCGTGTCGAATAATGCCGCATTATTGATTGCCGCACTATGTTCAATAACTTTTGATCCAGAAAATATTTTGCGTTACTTTTTTTAAAAATAATTTGTACAAATTTGGACTGCATTAAAACATATTTTTTATTATTTGTTTCTAATAAGAAAAATAAAATATTTTTACTTTTTTCAAAATTTAAAAGCAGCCATTTTTTAGCTTGTAAGCTAAACTTATATTTAAAACCAATTTAACTTAACAAGAACCCAAAAGAGCTAACAAAGCAAGCCAAAAGCCACACTAAAGCAACATTGATGTAGTACCTTTATGTTCACTGTGGCTATATCTGTAGACCTGTCAGCTTATGGAGAGTGGAAGAAGAAATAGAAGATTATAAGGAATGATCACTAACATCAATAAAAAATATAGTTGAAATGTCATTATCTAGTCATTAAGTCTAGTCCAAAATCATAAAAATTATTTAAAAACAAAAAAAAAAAAAGCAAATATTGGCTGTATCAAAAGTTTTTAAAGATCTCAAAACCTGGTAAGATACCTTGAATATTTAATAAGTTAATTTTTAAAAATATCATTAAAATACCTTTAATTTATCACAAGCTCCAAACATAGTAGCATAACCTAAATGCATCATAAATCCAATAACAGCTTTTTCAGAAGCACTTCGAACATTGGCATTTCTATCTTCTAAACTAATATACATAGGTAATAATAATACTTTTAACTCATCAGCAGGAATTGTTTTAGAAGGAACTAAAATTAAATGATTTAAATAAATAGATATTTTTTTTGTACAAATATATACAAAAAAATAACTTACTTATTGGTAGTTTTTCTCCAAGCCATGTCAATAATTCTGAACGTAATGTTACAGAGCTATTTTTTAAAGCATCCAAAAGAATCTCTCCGCCAAAAAATTCTCGATATCCACAAATATCTGCTATGGTGTTCATACATTGTTTTGCACTTTGGCATTTAAATGTCTATATAATTATTAATAATAATTAATTATTTTAACTTAAGAAGAATAAATATTAATAACAATAAAATATGAAAAAAGCTCACTTTTGGATCTCCTAAAGCCAATAATATACCTGGTAAATATCCTTTAATATAATTTTTAAAAGATGAACCCATTGCTTTAGCAATTGTTTCAACCAAGTTTATAGCATTGGAAGCAAGACGAGCATTTGAATCAGTTATTCTATTAAAAATATGACGTTATTATTAAATTATTAACAGGTATATTAAAACTATAATACCTATCTTGTAATGCTTTTCTTACTTCACCTAATTCACTTGTTATAAATCTAGCTTCTGTAACAATAGTCTGCAGTTTGTTTAAAGCATCCGAACGAACCTAAACAACCACATTTCAAAATAAAATAAAATAGAATATGAAACAAAAAACACTGATAAATTACCTTCCAATCTTTGTCTGATAATTCACTGATTAATGAATCGGTTATTTGTGGTGTTATATCTACTCTAGGTACTATGTCACGTAAATTGATCTCATATGTAGGTTTTTCATCATCATTTCCAACATTAAGAGATTCTGTCGATCCTTCAATTTTTTTTCCTCTGATTGGTTTAGGAGGAACCTCACCTTGATGCTTAAAATATCAACCAAAAAAAAATATAATTAAAATTAAATATATACATTTTAACATAATACAGAAGGTTTAAAATTTAAGGAAAAAAGCTTCTATTATATGTAGCAATTTAAAAGTTTTCTTACTAATTGAACCTCTGTAAAATAAACATACAAACATACTTTTTCAAATTCTGCATTTATTTGTTGAACTAAAGTAGGTTTTTCATTTTCAAAAAAAAGACTTAATTGAGGACCCATATATAAATACATAACACCTAAAAGTGAAATAACAGCCAATCGAACTTGTGGGTTTGATGCACTAACAGCCTTTTTAACATTTTGCATGACAGATTTAGGTTCTATACTATAAACAATAAATATATTTTTACAAAATAAATAGTTTCAAAAACATGTTTATAGATAATAAGTAATAAATTAAGAAAAATTAATTACAATATATTAAATTAATTATTGAATTTAACAAAATAGAATTATGGATAANGAAAAATTAATTACAATATATTAAATTAATTATTGAATTTAACAAAATAGAATTATGGATAAAAACAAAATAATTGGTGAACCAGCATGTTCTAACTAGTCAAATAATTATTATATTATCACATATAATTCTTTGCTCTTGCGAGTGATTAATTTACTTTACACCATAACTGCAAGAAATTAAGCCTTACAATAGTTATATTATTTAGTAGTTCACAGACACAATTGGGGAGGCTTTAGGGAGGCAAAGTCTATTAAATTATGACAATAACAATTGAAGTTTTTAATTTAAAAACTCTTCTTACATTTTAATATTAAAAAAGTACTTATTTCTTCAAAACAATAAATTTTAAGAAAGTTTTATCAAATTGTAAAATATGATACTCAAATTAATCTAACAAAGTAGTTACATATCAAACTAATATATACAATAGTAATTAAAATTATTTTTCTGACATTAAATAAAATACCTATAAAACTACTTTAATTTACAGTTAAATTATTAAATCACTTACCAAATTTCCGACCTGAATTGCATGAAAATTACATCAAACAAATATACATTTAACATTAAATGTAATAAAATTTGAATTTAAGTTACAAGAAATTGTAGTAAGTATACATATATATTGAATACAAAACAAACTATTTTTTAAAAAGTAATAAGTCTAGCTTTTAATTTAAAATAATTTCAAAGCTAACTAACATATATTTAAATAGTTTATTATATACTAAAATCAATTATTTTTAAAATAACTTAGATTAACTATAATTAAAGGATTCAGTGCAATGACTGAGCGCAAGTTCAATTTTTTTCAGAAAATCATTATATTTTAGTTTTGGACAAATATTAGTATTGCTGTACAAAAAGAGTTTTTATATTCACATAATTTGGGGAGATTTTCAATCTATAAAAATATAGGTTTAATAAGATAGAATGACGAAGGATCCATAAAAATAAATAATACCACTATAATGTATAGAAAATGTAATGAAAGACGACAGTTTGAGTAGGCTTTGCAATACACAAAGTCTAATGCATAAGATAAAGGAGTTCAAAGTAATTAACCACAGAATAGCTACTCTTATAGCAATGGCCAAACTTTTTGACATAGTATTTTTAAATATACATGCGCACCAATGGAAGAAGAGTCACAAGAGAAAAAAAACCCAGCACAGTGGGGTTGTGACACAGACTTTGATGTCCGTTTTCACCATGAAAACAAAATAAAGTTCGACATTTTCTTTTCATATCAAAGTATATTGCATAAGCTTTAATTTAATACATGTTTAAAAATGTCAGTGTTTCCGGAACATTTTCAAAAATTAAGTTGAAAAAGTTCATTTTTCTATATGCATTTTTAAGTTTTGAACCCCCCTGTATAAAGGGAAATGGTCAGATTTAAAAAAAATATATGTTGAATGAAAGAGCTACATAAATAGTATTTCTCATAAAAAAATTGTATTGATCCATATATTTTTCAAAAAGTTATAGAAATATAAAGTTAAAAATATAAAATATGAATCGAGAATTTTAACACAAAAATAGCATACAGTAGCCATTTTCACCATAAAGACCAAATTAAGTCCGAAATTTTTTTTTCCCACAATAAATTATATAACATTAGCTTTAATTTAAGATATATATTAAAGTGTCAGTATTTTCTGGAACATTTTCAAAAGTTAAGTTGAAAAGTTTAGGTGATACAAATGCTAAGATAGGGTGGAACAAACCTTTAAAACAAAAAAAGGGAGCCATAGCTTACGCAAAATCTGGAGGTCACTAGATGGACAATATGTTAATCAAAATTACCATATACTAGTCAACAACAAATTTGCAAATAATATTAATGATGTAAGAGTATACAGAGGGGCAGACTTTGACTCAGACCACTACTTGGTAGTTGGAAAGCTTAATACCAAATTAAAGGCGAGACAACATTTTGATAACTGCAGCCAAATTACAAATGAAATAACAAAGCTTAAGAGTGAAGAGACATGTAGTTTTTTAATACGAAGAAGAAAGACTAACACAACTAACAGATATGAAACTATTGAAGATCAGTTGAAAAATATTAAAAACATTATTATGAAAACATCAGAAGAAAACATTGGAAAACAAAAAAGATATAAAAGGAAACTCCGGTTTAATATAGTGAGCAAAGAAGCCATAATAAGAAGTAACTTAAGATTAAAATGGATAGCAAACCATCTCAATTGAGTGAGATACATTACAGGAAGAAAAGAAGCCCTGTTTGTAGTGAAGAGAAGAGGAAATATATAATTTAAATAGTGCAAGAATGGCAGACTCAGATCACATGGCACACATAGATAGAAAGTTATACTAAAAAATAAATGGAATGATGAAAGGATATAAAGGTCATGAAAAATGTATAAGATATAAGGATGGAGAGCTGATAACATCAGATGGAAATAGTGGAAAGATGGGCAGAATATTTTGAGCTTTTACTCAATAGAGAAAACACCAAAGAATGTTTTAGCTGTATATTAAAATGACCCATTAATTGTAGATATAAAACACCCTCTTTACAATAAATTAAATTATAAATTAAGAGGTTAAGGAATCATAAGTCACATGATGATAATGACTCCATGGCGAAAATTAAAAATGTAAGATGAAACAATTGTTTAGAAAATATGGAGTACTGACGAGATTCCTAAAGATTGGAATAAGGATATAATATGCCCTATACACAAAAAAGATAGAAGAATAGCCTTAGTTAATTTGACCTATAAAATACTGTCATATTGCATACTGGATAGAGAAAAGCCATTTGCGGAGAAAATTATAGAGAACTACCAAAGTGGTTTTAGAGAAAATCAATCTACAATAGACCAAATATTTTTATTAATATAATATTCTAGAAAACATGGGAATTCGATCAAGAAATACATGCACTTATTGTAGATTTTAAAAAGGCATATGATAGTATAAATAGGGATAGTATTCACAACATTTTAGAACATTTCAACTTTCCACAAAAGCTTATAGGACTAATTAAAGTCACTTTAAAGAAAACTATGGTTAAGGTCAAGGTTGGTAACATACTATCTAGAGAGGTTCAGGTGAACACAAGACTACAGCAAGATGATGCACTATCCCCAATTGGTTTTAATATGGTTCTAGAAAAAACAGTTAAAATAATGAATATATCACAAGATGAAGGGGTAAAATTGGATAATACACATCATTAAATCTTTTAGCATATGAAATGATATATTACTTCTAGAGAACAACGTAAAGTGAAATTTTATGCAAAAAACTTATAGAAGTGGTAAAAAATGTGGTTTTGCAAATTAATTAATATTAAGAAGGATTTATGGATCCTGCTGTGATGTAAAAATGGGGGAATGTACAAAAATACACAATTGGCAGCATATATAACAGACTCGATATAGTAAATAAGATAAAAAGGAAAATACAGAAATAGGTAGGCCACAAATGGACTACCTATTATATTTTTAAACTAAGGATTATTTAAATAAACAAAACATAGTTTAAAAATAAATAATATAAACTTACATAAATCCAAATTCTAATATAGCACCAGATAGCCAATTAAGGGCATCAATTTGAACTTTAGGATTTTTTTGAACAGTAAAAGCATACTCTAAAACTGCATTAGAAACAAAATCCAGTCTAGATGCTTCAGCCATGGAAGTCAAAACTTGACCTGCTAGGTTACCATTTTTTGCATCACCTAATAATGAGGAAACATCTTGCAAACAACTTTCCATGCTAGTACTAAAAAAAATAATAATATTTTTATAGGAAGAGTTCAATATATAAATATTATTTCTGTTAAAAATACTTTTAAAGCATTTGGGAGTATTAAAAAAGTAAAAGAAAAAATTTTCATTTTTCATAACAATTAACCTACTTCTTTATTTATTGAACTTGTATACCTAAATACTCAAATGTTTGTTTTTAAAACATTTTTATTTTACAATACTATGTTTTGACAATTGATTTTTAAATTTTTAAGAACACGTTTTGAAAATAGCACAACAGATTTTTAAGTTATTCAGGAATCAAACCTGAGACAAAATGAAATTAATGTGTTCTAACATTTAGCAAAATAGTCGGTTCTCCCTCCCTCCTCAATATAATTATCATGACTGTTTAAAATAATCTATAAACATAAAAAGCATCTAAAAATAACACTAATATTTTAAATATCTATTTTATTAATATTAAAAATGAAATTCTAAATTTAATAAATATTGATTAATAAATGTTAACACAAATATTAATAGTCTTATTAAAAATGTTTAAATCAGAATTAGAATATTTTTTTTTGTACATATGATCCAATAATTGGTTTAGAGTCTATTCCAATAATTGACCGAAACTATATAAAAAATTGATGAGTCAATCAAGCTTTTAGATAAGATGAGTTTGACCTGAAATTTATATTTCAAATTTATCACTTTCTTGGGGTTCAACAAAATAAATAAAATTATACTAAAAAGCTGTATCATTTCATTTTCAAAATCTACAATTATATCAGCCCCTATGGGGTTAAAATATTGTAAATGTAACTTGAAAAATGATTAAAATAAACTTATATCATTTCCACTTTAATCAAAAATGTTATATAATAAATAAATCCAGTTTTGTTACCTAGTAATTGGAAACTTTTCAACAATTTTTTTCAAACATTCCAATCTTAATTTTTGAATTTGGACATTATTATCCTTTATTCCTGGTTTTTTATTCAATAATTTTACAAGAACTTGACTACTAAAAGTTAATGTGTCTGTTTGTTCTATAATCTTTTATTAAGAAAAAAGAATTATTAACAACATATAAATATGATATAAAAAAAAAACATATAGAAATTCAATTGCTACCTGAAAAAATTCTTGAACATTGGATAAACGTGTTTTCCAGTTAACATCAGTCATACCATTTATGATTTCTGAAGAGCATATAAGTGATGCCAAATCTTCCAATTCATCATCTCCTATTTCTCTTTCAGTTTCAATTGTTGGAGTTGTTTTTACTGGTAGACTTTTACCACCTAATAATTAAAATATTTATTGTCAATGAAAATAAACTTTTTTTTTATTAACCAATCACTAAGATTCATTTACAATAATTTAAAACCAAATTAAAAATACTCAAATATCTTTATGAATAATTGAAAGATTCATAATAATAGAACCATCTGTATGATACAGTGTTATTATATGTAGTTTTTAATTAATTATAAGTATAATTATTCAATAAAATAATATTTACATTTTATTTTAAAAATTACCTGAGGCACTCATTGGTTTCTTTATTTTAGTAACAGTTGAGGTAACAGATTTAGTAGAGCCACTTATAACCAAACGATTTTTTTTAACAACTGGATTTTTTGTAGTTATAACTGCAGACTTTTTATCAATTACTTTAGAAGATATAGGTGGTTTTATAGATTCTTTAACAGAAACTGGCTTAGCTGTAATAACAGCTTTTTCTGAAGCTTCTTTAATCTAAAAATTATGAATAGATTTTTTTTCATTATTGTAAAGTCTATAATTTAAATATTACTTTAGCTAATTTGATGGCATCGACTCCAGTTAAAAACGGAAGAATATTTTTTTCAGTAACAACTTTCCATGCAGTTCCCAATGCTTCTGCAGAATTATCTCTAACAGTTGGATCTATAATATACAATTATAAGTAAATAATACAATAATTAAGCTATTAACTTCAAATATTGATTTTATAAAATAATATATATATATATATAATCTTTATTTCACTATAAAATTTAAAAAAATCTATTTTATTTTATTATTTATACCATTGTAAACAAATGTTATCAACATTCAAATACTATAAATTGATATTTTAAGTTATCTATTTATAATATTTATATATGTTAGACTGCACTAATCATGGGTTATAAATAATTACAATAAAAAAAGTGGACAATATTATTAGTATAACATTTTTATTTATAAATTATTGTTAATAATAATAATACTCAATTTTGGTTCCCAGTAAAAAATGTATTAATTCATTATATTATATCAATTAAGTATCTACTCAAAGAATTAAACTATTGAATAGATAAATTTTACAATTATTTTAAAATATTGTTGTTATAGGAACATTCAGTTAAAAAATGAAACTCATTTTATTTTTATTTTTTTAAATGAAATAATGAATTTTTACTTGAAATTAAACTGGATAATTCTAAATCTAGTTAGTTTATGTACAATGTTTAAAATAAATTCATCATTTATTTACCCAAATGTAAGTACATGATTACTTTCCATAATAAAGAAGCTCAAAATAAAATAATATTAATGATATCATGGTTTTAATGATATTAAGTTTTATTACTTATTATAAATAACTAAATTTTTTAATAGATTGCATCACAAAAAACATGTTAGTGAATATTGGCTATAAGCAGACAAATATAATTCAATTTTTATAAATTTTCATTAATTTTTCTATATTCATTTTATATTATTTTATATATAAGGAAAACATACAAGTAATGTTTCTAAATAATACTTATATTAAATTTAAATAATTGAAGAAGCCTTTATATATGTTTTTTTTTTTCTAAAGAATTCCAGTATCTTCTCAAAGTTTTATAACATGGATCACATATACAATATAATTGATAATTTAGAGAAAGAGAACTCTGATTTAATGAAAGTAATTATCATAGGATATACCATTAATGGAACACCACTTAAAGTGGTGCAAATAAATCCAGAGCAAAATAATAATAGTAATTTTGGAATATGGATCGATGGAGGTAATAGTCAATAATAAATTTAAAATATATGTTGAATATTAGTTTTGTGTTGTAACATTATGTGTCTTAATTATTGAATTTTTCTATATTAATTGTTAAGATACCTTAACAATATAATTTAAACTTCAGGTACTCATGCAAGAGAATGGATTTCTATATCTTCAATACTGTATATATTAAATGAAATAATACACAATAGGGAATTTCTATCAATAAACATGAAAATGACACAATTTTTTATAATGCCAGTGTTAAATCCAGACGGGTAAGGGGTGTGCATTATGTATTTATTTAAATGAATATTAATATTCAATTATGTTTAGATACAGGCATTCACAAAATAAAGAAAGATTTTGGCGAAAAAATCGATCAAAAACTTTTCAAAAAAACTGTATAGGAGTAGATTTGAATAGAAATTGGGATTTTCAATGGAATGAAACAATTACTATTGAGAATCCATGTTCAGAAACATATAAAGGTTTAAGTCCAAACTCAGAATTAGAAATAAAATCAGTGGCAACATTTTTACAAAATAACTTAAAAAACATAAAAGTTAGTAATTATTTTAAGAGTTCATAAGTTTATGAATTTATACATATTAATAAAGGAATTCTGAAAGCACTTCTATATAAACAAATACATTTTTAGTTAGATTCAAAACTAAGCAGTATATTTAACTTGAATCATTTCAATAAGGTGCTTAGGAATTTAAATCCATTAAATTTTTTTTTTTTTATGTAGTAAATTTATTTTATTCAATCAAGTATTACACAAACCCTGATATTTATATACATTATTTAAAAAATAATAATAATAAAAAGTTTAATTAATGAAATAATAATAATAATACATTTATAGGGTTTTGTAACCTTTCATTCATTTGGACAAAAAATTATATACCCATGGGCCTATAACAAATCAAATGTGGATGATCAATTTACTTTAAACAATATTGGAAAATTAATTTCTCAGGAGATATTAAAAAAAACTTTAAATATATATACAACAGGTTCAGCAAGTTTATTATTAGGCAGAACACAAGGTAAAAGCAAAAGATACAATAGTTTGACATTAATATAAAGTACTATTAAAATGTAGGTACATCAATTGATTGGGCTAAAGGTAAAGCGAAAATCAAATATGTATTTGCAATTGAATTGAGAGATAATGGATTAAATGGATTTACTTTGCCCACATCTGAAATAATACCTACAGGACAAGAGGCATTATGTGCTATATCTGTAATAGTTGATCAATTTTCATCAACTAGTTCTATACAAACAACAAATACATATTTGGTTTATTTCTGCATAAAATTAATGTTTATATTGACATTTAATGATTGTAAAAATTACATATTTTGAATTAATAGAAAAATATTTTATCCAAACAATTTTTTTAAGGATCTATGAGATGCATATAATGAGGTTAAATATTAGAAAAAATATTTTTTTGGTTAAGTATTAAAAAAATACACTAATTTACTCTACTTTAATTATTTTTATCATAAAAAATAAAATAATATAAGTTATTACCTGATTCATTCAATGTCTTTATCAATGCTGTTGTGAAAATTTTCAAGTACTTTTTATTCAAAATAGTCGGAGTACACTTAGTGAAACATCGAGCCAAAAATGCAACAGACTCGGCTTTAACAGATGGATTTTTATTTTCTATTGCTGTTAAAATATCTTCGTGTATAGACTCTAAAGTCATCTAAAACAGTAAAGTATAGACTTTAAAACAAGAGTTGACACAGATATCCAGTGAACCAAATCTAGCCCATGGTGGGTAAGAATATTTACACCAAAGTTGTTTTTATTTTTTATTTCGATTATTGTCTCTGATAATCTAGAGAAACTTGCTTCATTGTCCGTGCAAAATTGATGTTTGATTTACTAATCAGATATCAGAGAGTATTTAAATTTAAAAAAACACAGCACAGTGGGGTGGCGGCACAGTAGGGTCGTGGCATAGTTGGGTCCAGTATAGATGATATCTGATAGTGATTAAAATCACTATCATAAAAAACGCTTCGATGCAAATCTGTAGATAGTGTTTAATTTAAAAAAAAAAATTTGTCAAAAAAGTTGGTCAAATGAGAGCTGAGAAAATAAATGATAGCTACAAAAAAAAACCACATAGTAAAATAATATTAATATGAATTTCTTCTCACGAGAGGAGACTACAGTAATGGAATCCTTGATATTTATTGAAGTTATTGAATCTAAATGAGATAAAAATCAAATAAGTTTTTGTAAAACAGTAGCTATTTTAAATCCCCCCCAATGAGCAGGTTAAGTGTTAGATTTTCAAAAAAATGATATCAAATGAAAGGTAAATATCTAAGGTTTTAGTATAAAAAAAAATTATGTTGATTTGTTGATTTTTCAAAAAGTTATGGAAGTTTTAAGAAAAAAAAGTGAAAAAATTTCGAAAATTAGCGATTTTTAAATTTGTAATTTTTTTGGAGATTTCCCCTATTTGCGGGGAACGAGGGCAAATTATTTAATTTTTAAGGGTAATGTCTTCAACTAGATACGATTTGTGATCTTTTGACGTATTGTTGAAAGAAAACGGTCCAGTGAGAGCTGAGAATAGTGGCAACAGACATTAAAAAAAAAAAAACACACCATAGTAAAATTAATACCTTCTCAGCTTCGCATCGAAGCTAAAAATTTCATAAAAGGTTTATATAATATTTATTGTTAATATAAATAACATTTCTTGATTATTTTTAATTTTTTTTGTTTTCTGATTCTCGAAAAGTTGATTTTTAATCATCTGGATTTCCATAAAAAATAATTCCCTATTAATGCTTTAAGTAATAATAATAATTTAATATTTATGTTAAATGAGGTCAAATTTAATATTATTAGTTTAAAATACATTTTATTAAAAATGCCATGAAATTTGAATATGATAAATTAATTTACTGAAATCAATAAAGCTATAGTAATTAAGATAAATAATCAACAATTAATATAATTAGAATAATCTATTGAGGCAAAACACAGAAAGTTAACTATTAATTAATAATTACTAATTAACTTACACTCAGATAAATGGCATCAACAGCTTCTCTTAAAGGTAGAACTACATTTTGCTTTTTTTCCTTAAATTTTTCGAGTAATGCTGGTAAACAAGCTGAAGCATAGGTTTCAAAACGTTTTTTTAAACCATTTGCTAACATAGCCATACATTTAGATGCTATTCCAACTATAATTACATTACTATCCTTAGTTATGACCTTTAAATTACAAAATAAATAAATAAAATATTAAATTATACAAAGAAAATCTTTTACTTTTTTTAACGCTCTAACTAAATCACCATATTCTCCACTTTCTAATTTAGGAGCTTTTGATAATATTCCTTCAAGCATATCAATTGCTTCTTTGCGCTCTTGCCATTTTTTGGCTTCAATTTTTTCATAAAAATCTTTATTCAGTTGGCCAAGTATGTTTACAGGGTCAAGATGTTCTTCTAGATCATCAACTTCATTATTATCTTCATCAATAACAACTTCTATTGGATAATATTATATTAAATTACTAAACATATATATTTAGACTGGATCAAAAAAAGTCGATCTTGAAAATTCTAATGAGAACTTTATTATATACATTAAAATAGACATTTTGTGAAGATTTGAAATTTTAAAAAAAAATTTTACTGGTTGCTTAACGTGTTTTTAGTTTTTTTAACAAAAATAGTCCAAAAAACAACCTTTGTTATTCAATTTATAGTCAATTATTATGATAACTATATCAAAATAGTTTGATTTTTACTGTAGAATTCAAATTTTTAAGTCAAAAATTGATAATGTGGATAAGATAATTAATATATTATATGGCATATTTCTAGTAGGTCTCAAGCTAAAATTTTTTTTTTTTTTTTGCAGTTTGACTGATTTTTATGTATATTTTAAGTAGAAAAAAATTATTTTCTAATCTTAAAAACTTATAACTTTTTTAAAAAATAAAGTGTAAGCTAAAATATATGATATTCTTGAAAATATTTATCATTAAATACTTTTCTATTTTTTTTTATCAAACAATTCATTTAAATTAAATATAATAAATAGCACAAGAAAACAAATTTATGTTATGATAAAATCATATATCAGTATAAATTAAATTAAAAAATATGAAAAATCAGCAAACCCATGTGAAGTTTACTAGATTTTAATAATAAAATTTTGAACATTTTATAGTTTTATTTAAATAATTTTTTACCATCATTTTATTTTTTGCGGTCATTATAATATTAGGTAAAAAAAATTAATAACATATAGTTTTAATAAAATTAATTTTTAATATGAATATAACTATATCATAGTATAATTATTTTAAAACTAATATAGTTTCAATATAAACTGTAATTAAAGCCATAACATTTCATTTTTTTAAGTAATCGCTATCAACTTTTTACTTAAAATTTTAAAACTAAAAAATTTTTATTCTACAGTAAAAATCAAACTAGTTTAATATTTTAATTATAATATTAAACTAAAAATTGAATATTAGATGTAGTTTGTTATTTTGGATTATTTTTAATCAAAATACTAAAAACACGTTAAACAACCAGAAAATTTTTTTTTAAAAATTTCAAATCTTCACAAAATGTTATTTTAATATATATAATGAAGTTATAATGGTTCCTATTAAGATTTTGAAGATCGACTTTTTTTGATACACCCTAATATATATAACATATGAAAACAGTTTAATAATTAATTGATGTAAGATATATTTCATTAATATAAATTTTTCAAATTATTAAAAAAATAATTTATATGTATTAATAGTACCTCCATTAGAAGCAATAGCTTCTTCTTTTTTAGCTACTAGTTCTTGTTGCGAACGTAAATATCGGGTTGGATGAGGTTTTACATCATTAATTTTTTCGAATTCCACCTCTAACTCTTGCATCTAAAAATATATATTTATTATAATGATTAACTCATCTAGTTGAATAAATGACTAGCCAATAATATTTGAATAATTTCTTGCAAGTGTCTGGGTGAAAAATTAAATGTTACTAAAGAAGAAAATATATGACACTTTTTTAACTTCGATACGAAGCTGAGAAGGTATTAATTTTACGATGATGTGTTTATTTTTTTGTTTTGTGCCTGTCACTACTTTTTCTCAGTTCTCACTTGACCAATTTTTCAAAAACGATATGTCAAAAGATCATAACTAGTCAAAGAAATTACCCTCAAAAATTGAAAATTTTGCCCTCATTCCCCTAAAATAATGAAAATCTTCCAAAAGTTACGATTTTTAAAATTGGTAATTTTCGACATTTTTTAAACTTTTTTTTCTAAAAATTGCCATAACTTATTGAAAAATGAACAAATCCAAATAATTATTTTTTATATAAGTTAGAATATTACTAATTATTATTTTTGTTATTATTATTATAATTACTTGAACTGGTTTAAGATTAGCCAAATGTGTTCTAACAGGGGTAGGACCAATCCATGAGTATAATTCAATAGCCAATAGTTTTGCTTCATCTCTTACACTTTTATCGCGGTCTTCTAACAACGACTGTAATTTTTTTAATATTGGTTTAATATTAAGCACTTTGATTCCAAATTCCCTGAAAGTAATTAAATGATAGTCTTTTATTATTAATTATTTTTATTAAAAATTTTAATTATGTATGCAACTCATCTATAAGCAATGTAAACAATTTATACAGAGATAAAAAATTTAATAAAATCATTTTTGTTATATTTTTAATTAACAAAAAATATTTAATGTGACTATAACAATATTAAAAATAAACCATAAAGTTAATAAATAAATTATAATCATCATAACAAGAGCTTCTTATTTTGTAAATTTTTAAAAATTTTTCATCCCTCTTTCAATAGTCAATGAATAATACAATAAGTTAATTTGTCTCACAATCAATTTTGATATTGGAAAAATTTGCTAAGAAGTAGAGCTAATAACATATACCCAAAAATATGAATTATACTTAACACCAGTGCATGTTCCCCAATCTCCAAAAAAATAATTGTGCTGAATCGTATTGTACCCAAATGTTAATAAGATTTTTGTATTACACCATACACCATTGCTTTGGAGTGCCTTAGTTAAATAGGTACTTAGTGTAATCAATGATATTTTAACATTCCTTAGAGAAAAAATGATTAATAGAAATTTTGAGAAAGTTGTATTTTTATAGTTCAACCAAATGTTGTTTAAATAATAAATAATATAAAATTTTAATATAATTAATGATTTAATTGTTTAATTTTTCATGGAGGAGAAACTTTTTTTTTTGTAAAAAAAAATTATTTGGAATACTTTTTAGTAATAGTATTTAAATATGTTGTATTCTTAATACATTTAATCTACTGTATTTAAATACATATTATCAAAAAATTTTAAAAGTATTTTCAATGAGCCTATAAATAAAACTAATAATGTTTACTTGATAGCAAGAGTAGCAGCTTTGATACAAGTAGATACAATTTTTGGAAATTTATGATCCAATCCTTTGATTAGTTCTTCAATTACAATATCTTGTTTCTCGATTTCTATGTACATAAGAGTGATTTGAATAGCAATATCTTTGGTTTTAGCTTTTGGAGCTCCAAAACATTTAGTTATTAATCCTGTCATAACATCTCCAACAGTACTGTAACAAAAGTTCACAAAAAATATATTAACAAAACTTTTTACAATTAAACAAAGTAATGAACATGAAACTCACCGTGCAGCAGTTCCAGAATTTTCTACAAAAACTAATGTTGCTTCAAGACCTTTTTCTTGAGCAACAGCATTACTGTCAACTACAATTTTTTTTACAATTCCTGTGAATTTATTCCATTCTGGAGATTTTTCATCAAGTTGGCCAAAAACTTTAATAGCTTCTTCATAACCACTTATCCTAGCTTTCCATAACTGTATTTTAAAATAATCAATGATTATAATATAAAATGCAGAATTTTCATGATTAAAATATGATTTAAAATAGTTACTTTATGAATGCATCTTTCTTCAATTGATAATTTAGTATAGGAAGTATCTTCTTCAGCAGCCATTTTGCCATAAATTACATGTATTATTAAATAAAATGTATTTTAAGAAACTTACAGAGATTTTAAATTATCGCTTATATAATCTAAAAAATAAAAGGTAAAAATGTTTCAAAAATATATCAACATTTTTAACACAATTATCACATAATTTTTTCAATTAAAAACCACAAAATTTGATAATTATTATTGTGAAGTATTGAAGAATACTAAAAAGAAATATAATTATACAATAAAATAAAAAAGATTACTTTGCAGTGATTATCAGTCAAATAAGAGTAGGTTGAAAATAACTGTACTAACCACCTATACATTGATAATAACAATATCTGAGTGAAAGGAATCAGCAAGTTCTTTATTAGGATATGACCTACCAACTTAACCAACACTCTATTTTTTTAAAAAAGGTTAAAATCATCTGAACATTTTATAAATGATTATAGATTGAACTAAATATAATCTTTTTCATCTATAAAACTAGTTGTATCATTGTAAATGCAGAGTATACAAACAACAATTAAAAAGTCAAATTAATAATTTATTTTTAGGAAGAGTATCACAGAATTAAATAAGATATAACAGTTAATTAAAGGAATCCTTGGCTTTGTGTACATAAATAAAAAAACTTACACTAATGTTTCTCAATCAATTATGTAGGGAAAAGTAACACTTTTAAGAAAACTCTTTTTATAAAAAAAATATAATTATTATTCACATTAAATGGAATTTGATTTGTTTAATAAACAAAATATTTTTATAATTTTTTAATTTCAAATAAAAAATGTATATATAATTACCATAGATTATTAAGAGTGGCAAGAAAATTGCTCAAGCATTACAAGTAAATTTCCCAAATATAAATGTAGCATGGGTAGATCAAGACAATTTTTTTTTGGTTAGGGGTAGGGTATTTTATAATTTTTGTTAAAGTGAGACCTATTTTTCAAAAAGATCTTTTTTAGAAAATAATTTTATGAGGACATTGCTGTCGTGTCCTCTTTTTTTCCATACCTGAAAGGTGATCATTTAGATTTAGAAGGAATGAGAACTGCTGCTTTATATTTCTCAAAAATCATTTAAATTTAATAATTATTTTTGTACACCTGAGATCTATAATGATAAATACCAAAGAATTTAATACATAATTTATTGATAATTTTTATGTTTCTTACTTTTTTCTTTTTTGATATATTTACATAATCTAGAATATAAGAAAAAAATTGAATTCCAAGGATATTTGATAAAAAAATAAGTGAATTAGTCGCCCTAAAATTTATATCCCACTTATAAGATATCTATACACCTAATCCTCATTAAAAAGATATTAAACACAATGTGTTTTAATATTAACATAATCAATTAGTATACAATTATAGAATGGATTTCTTAATAAAATTGTCATGATTTAACTAATGGTGTAACACATTATACATATACGTTTATGAAATAAGCAACAAAAAATAGTTTAAACCACAACTTTATCCCGAAAATTTTCAAACTATTAATTAAAATTCAACATAGGACTGAAAAAATAACTAATCAATAGTTTTACCTTTCAACAACAATACGATTTCAAATTAAAAAACTAAATACATTTTAAAAATATTTTATAATAGCAAATTTAGAATAATTAAAAAGTTTTCAAAAACAGTAAATTTAATTGCATTCAATATAACAGCAATAGAAAAACGTTTTAATATGATGTATGATATTAAACTGTGTTTTATCAGCAACTACGCGAATTAACGATTTTCTTCTATTGGCGCAGTTCAAACTACTGTCAACAATTTGAATGCAAAGAACACAATAAAGAAACATATGACTCATCTCAAGGACTCTATGATGTGCTTGTGCATATTCTTTGGACATTTTTAATTCTTCAACCTATCATTACAAAATAATCATTGATATTTTTACTGATTTAACAACAACTGCCCTCTGATATTTATCTAATATTAGTAGTAATCGTTGAATTCATAATTTTTTGTAAGTTATTCTAATATATGATGATTTATTTCCCTTTAAATCATCAATTTAGTGATAACACTTATCACGTAAATTCAATAATGATAATTAAGTAAAATAAATATTATGAAAACAAACGATATGTATATGTCATAAAACATTTTACAACTCTTAATCAAGGTTAATAAAAATAAATTAGGCCTTCGTCGAGAGCTAAACATTTTCTTAAACACTAATGATTCAATACTTTAATTTATAAATTTGTACTTCTACAATTATGATACACATTTAACACCAAGTTAACGACATATACAGCTACTTAATCAACTTCTTATTAAATTTAATATATTAATAAGTATTTATTCATATATTATACTTATAAATCATGAAACTTGTAATCAGGGTATAATTAAGTAAATAAGATTTGATTTTCTTTTAGAATAATTCAACAATTCCTTTTAAAAATTAAACACTATATGCAGATATGCCTTGTGCGTTTTTTATGATAACGATTTCATAAATGTCATAAGTCATCTATACTAGTTCCCTACTATGTTGCGTCCCCACTGTGCTGATTATATGGAATATTTCATTGTAAAACTTACTGTTCTCATAATAAAAAAAAATTTAAAAAACCTATTCTTTCAAAATGTTTATTATTTAGAAATCAAATATTGGATTTACGAAAAAAATGATGACTAAAATTGCATAGATTGTATGTGTTCACATCATTTTATATTATGTAATATAAACAATTTATGAGATAAGTAGAAAAAATACAAAAACTGTCCTCATTGATCGAATTTCACTTCAATGTGGCGGCACAGAAAGGGATTGTGTTAGAAGGTTCAAATTTTCAGAGAATTATTATTTCACGACTCTTACAAAAAATAGGGAATACACATTTTGAATTGTTTTTTTTTTTTTGGCCGCCCATATAAGTATATTGTGCTTTAATATAAGCATAACAGTCATGAAACAAATATTGTAATGTGGGAAAGAGAGCAACTCAGGTGTCTAATTCATATAAATATTCCAATTCTTCATGGAATAAAGTGAAATAACACGAATGAGTAAAAACAAATTGTTCAAATATGAATGTAAATTTTTCTTTTGAAATATGAAAAAAACGTCCCTGATTATGTTTAATGTGCAAATAAAGCTTTGGTCTATCATGAATTTTACATTGATAGTAAATCTTTATTTATATTTTTTATGTTTAATCGAATGTGGAATGATAATACTAAGGAGTAAAGATACAGATAATAAATGTTTAGTTTGATGTAAGTTGTAAAAATGATTTTATACTCTCAGGACATAGATACTACAAAAATTTCCACTATTTATTCATTTATTATATTTAAAGTGGGTATAGGCCAATTACATAGTATATTAGAAACATTCATAACAAATAAAAACTTTAATATTTTTACATTTAAAATTTTATAAGAAATTACACTATGTTTTAAAAAATATTTTTTTTTAAATATAAGCAAAAAAATGTTCAGCTCAATTATATTATATTATATTTTTAATCAATAATTAAATTCATCAAGTACTTGCCTAGTTAAAATATTCTTTGCTAGGCTTTATTATTTTATTGTTGAACAATGAATACAAATTTTAGTAAGTTAATTAATTAATAACGCAAAGTATGGTTACTAGATGGCAGTTATTGACAAAAAACACCTGGACAAAAAATATTGACCGACCTTATGAATCATGCGCTCTCTTTGAGATCACTATACATATTCGTAGGCGGCATTCAATACTGTGCGATTTTTTCAATAAAAATCGTACATCCGTTGCTTAAATTAACATTGATCATAATAAATCTTATATATTACACCAGAAACCATTTATACAGAAAAAAAAAATTAGAGATTGTATTTTAATTCTATAGTTATTAATACTTTAATGAACAGGTGTGAACCCACGTACATTACGACTGTACCATAACACGTACGTTTTGTTCTCTACTACCAGCATTTCCTGTGGTCCAGTAGTATTTCCTGCATACGTTCAGTGTTAAATCAAGGCTTCTATTTGAATTAACGTTCATCTATACGATTGTGCAGTAGAACTAAACGAATTTCAATAAATAGTATACTATTCAATAAAATTTATAATTGGAATCAAATTTTAATTAGAACATTGTTAAAATAAAAATTGCCATATTTTGATCCGTAAGTATTAAAAATTATATGTTGAATAAAATGAATATGTAGAAAATGTATTGCAAATTAATCTTTGTTCACGTTTTGATTTTAAAATATTATGTAACATTATATTTATAGCACAATAAATCATTAGTGTGGTATAGTCGATTTTCTTATTTTTCAATTTATATTAATCAAAAAATGATGTACTTTTTGTAGCGGTTTTATATTTCATTAGTAAAATATTTACGATGATTTGAAAATACAAATTATTTAATCCACGAGTATAGTAGATTTTGTAAATCTAAGTTTAAATTTTAAAATCAAACTCAAAACTAATAAACGCATTAAGCGTGAACTAAAAATTTTAAGACTACCAGTATTATAAATAGGTTTAATTTATCGCAAAGCGTTAATTCTATCTGTCAAATTTAATGGTGACTGACTAGAGAAGATAAAATAAGGAATGAACATATAAGAGGGAGTAGTATAGGTGTCAATTGTAGATAAGATGATAAAAAATAGACTTAGATGGTTTGGTTATGTTATGAGAAGAGAGGAATCGGAAGCTGTAAGAACAGTTATAGAAGTGAATGTTGAAGGAAGAACACGTAGAGGAAGACCAAAAAAGGGATGTTATGGAATGCGATATGAGAACTATTGACGTGTGCGTACACGATCGGGGAAAATGTGTCAAGTGGAGATTTAGGATAAGGGTAGCCGATACAAAGTAGTTGGGATAAAGGCAACAAAAAAGAAACAGAAAGATGAAGTTATTTACTAACACTTATAGAAATAATTGTAATAACTTGATGGTGCAAATTAATGTTTCCCTAAGCCGCACACCACGTTATCAAACAAAAGGGTAACTAAATCTAAATTATGATTGCTCATAGCCAAGTGTTAAGGTCATAGGCTTAAATTTATGAATAAATATAGAGGGAATATTTTTTTCTCTACCCTAATTTTTTTATATAAATTTACACATAATTTTCTTAACATTTTTGGATGACTCTTTTTTTTATCGAACAAAATATTTCAGTAGTAATAAAATACGAACTGTCCCTGGATATTGAAACTGTTTATTTGTTGCTGTCGATAATAAAGCTCCATCCATTTCTCCGAAGTGACATAAATTATATTATAAAATCTATTTTGGACTTTCTTATAGTGGAAAATTTTCATATGAAAATCCTTCTCCTAAGACAAAGCATTAAGATTACATTAGTATGAAATCAAAATATTTTTTTTACTTTTGTCTTATGGTGTTTTTCGTTGAAATTTTGTTGCTATTTATGTAGATCATAATGTTATATCGAAAAGTAATTGTTTGTTTTCAAACATTTGAATAAAACAATTTGATAAAACAGTTTCAAAATATTGATCTTAATTTTAGTATAAGAAAAGTATAGTATATAGTCGGAAAAATCGTTTTTATTTAAGTTGACTAGAAAATTAATTTTTTATTATTAACAATAAAGAACAGAATTTTTCAGTAAATTAATAATGATCATAGGCGGAATTAAAATGAAAATTTAATTCAATGAAAGCTAAGAGTAGCAGGCACGTAGATATGGGTGGGCCTGTCCCCCCTTAGATTTAATGTGACCCAGGGCCGGCCCCCCAAATTTAAAATTCAATTATTTTTACGAATTATCAAAAACGTGCTAAGCCTTATATACATTGAAATTATTATTAATTTGTGATTACTATTGGGTTATACAGTAATTATTATGGCTGTATTTTCATTTTTATATTCATAGAAAACGTAATTTGAAAAAGATAACGTTCTAGACGTAATAATAAACGGAATAGCAGTTACTCCAAATGTAGTTATAGGTAAATTTTTTTTAACTCTGGTCCAACAAATGATAACAAACTACCAAGTATCTGCATTGAGTATAATCTAGTTGATTACAAAATTCGATAGAGTAATACTCTATGAAATATTTTTTGATAAATCTTATCTTTAATCTGTTTCTTTTTTTATAATTTAGTAGTTATAATAGGTAATTTATTTGTTTTTGTTACTTTGTTATTTGCGTGCTCTAAATAATAGCAATAAAATATGAATAAAAAAAAGGCAGGAATTGTTTTTAATTTTAAATTAAATAAATTTTACATTGTTTATAATTTATATTTATTTTAAAAATTATTTATAACTTATTTGTTATTAATATTTAGGTATAAATTATTTTTTCTTAATAGCTTAAAAGTTGAAAAATTAAATCAGCTTATGTTAACATCATTATTTTATTTATTTTTCACAATATGAAAAATTCATCCCGATAGTGAAGATGAAAGTATTTTTTTTTTTTAATTATAGGTACTATCCATTTTTTATAATACTATAATAATTAGTATACTTCATACGAAAACAATTTGTTTTTAACCAACCAATGGTAAAATTTTGAACTTGTAAGATTCATAGTATGGGGATACTGTCTAAGGAGGAATGGAGGGAGCTCCCCCACAAGCTTTTCATGGGAAACAAATTATGGAAAATGATACAAGGGCCCAAAATTGTTGGCCCCCCCAATAAACATTATCTGGCTACGTGCCTGAAGAGTAGAAAATAAATTTTGCCCACAAATACTTCCAAAATTTTTATCAGGTCATATTTGATAGGGATTTAAGAGAATTGTATTTACTTTTAATAGCTGAGCGTAGATGATGTCAAATGGAAGTTTAGGATAAGGGTGGCTGACCCCAAGTAGTTGGAATTAAGACGAGGAAAAAGAAGAAGAAGATAAATACTTTAAATATAATTAAATACTATAACATCTAGATACATATCGTAACTTCTTTTCACATACTTTAACCCAAATATTAGGGGTCGGCCAACTGTATTTTAAAGCTCCACTTAACACAATCCGCCACATCATCTATACATACACCAGCAGCCCTATCACCCCCTAATTATATCTGATAATTATAATTTTAACAAGTAAAAAATGTTATCAGTCTCATTTCAGGAGTTCAGATTGGGGAGGTAACCTTCAATTTATAGTTATTTATGAAGAATATGTTTAGTAACATTAAAAATTTAAACATTAAGATTTGATAATAATTTAAAAAATCACACTTTAAAAATAAAGTAAAAGTACTATTATTTATAATGACTAAGTAATAACAAAAGAAAATGGATAAATTAATAATAAAAATTACTAACTTTTTTATTAAAATTAACAATAATCAAAAAATATTAACGTACTTTTTTTAAATAATGTACAAATGAGGATTGATATGACCAATATTACTTTTTTCCGATATTTACTGCATATATTAAACTAAAGTATTTTTAATCGATTTTCAATAAATTTCCGAAAAAAATTTTTTTTTCTTATTTATTGTTGGGTATTATGTGAAATTATATTTTTAAATTTCTAACGAAAAAAAAATAATCTTATATCATAAAAAACAAATAATTTTGTTTATTTCTATTGAATTAGAATGTCAAAAAAATTTCTGATATATAATGAAATATCTTTTTTTTTTTATATAGAAAAAAGTTAGAGAAATTGAACCTGTAATCTTATTAATTAAAAAAGTTTATTGTGGCTATCGCAATATCTCGACGAAGAGGACGTAATGGACTGTGTGCATTTGGTACCGCCTTGGTTAGACACTGGATAACTAGTTTTTTGCTAGGATCATTATTTGCTTCTATAATTATCTACTACACAATTTTAAATCAAAATGGTAATAATTACTCAAAAATTATTTTAAAAGTAACAAATATTTATTTATTTTTAATTTTAGCTCAGTTATCATACGTAGAAAATAAACATTTTGAAGTTCTTGAATTTCGAGGCCAAGAGTCAACTTCAGAAGCAATGGAAAAAGAGTTACGACTTTTAAGAAGACAGCTAAGCATGACTCAAAATCACTTACTAGCTGCTATGAAAACGTCTCTTTTTCCAGTATCACCAACAGAATCACCTCGGAATTCAAACACTCAACCACCGTGTTCAATAAAAAAAGTAACGAAAAGATATCGCACATATACCCAACTTAATTATCATTTAAAGTTTTATTATTTGATAATAAATATTTACAACAATTGTTTTGATAATTGTAATATATATTAGAGATGGAACGTTTAGTTCATATCTGTGAATAGTTCATTCAAGTGAATAGTTCAAATGAACTATTCTTAAGTTCACTAATTTTATTGATCATACTGATATTGTTTGGCAATGAACTATTCATTTATTAGTACATATTAGTACAGCAGTACATAGTTCAGTAGTAATTCACACTATTTATGGGCATTTAAGTTATAAACTAACCTTATACCTTAACCTGAACATCATAAACTAAGAAAAAATTATTACCAATACCCTCATGGCTCATGTTATCATTATCACCTAATCCAAGGAGGATATATTGACCAGTAGTTCTAAGTTAAATCAGAAATCTGATCTAATATTTGTACATTGTATGAATTTATTTTATTGTTAAACTGTTAAGAACCGTGTAACATTTTAACAATATAATTTATTTGTTAACTAATTGTAAACAGCTATTAACCATTTACAGGACGAACCACAGAGAATTTTTAAAGAAGTTCGCGAACCATTTCATTTATACATTGCTACCAATTTTTTTCGAACTGTGAACTGTTAAGTTACAGGTACTGAAACAGTTCAGAATAGTTCATCAAAGTGAATAGTTCAAATGAACTATTCGTTCATGAACTTAACATCTCTAATATACATAAGATAACCAACTCAATAATTTAATAAAAATAGTCTTCTGTATATATTATTATGTTTACTAAATATTATATAGAAATTAAATCTTTCGGAACACTTAATTTATAATTTAGCTTATTTACGATTAAATTCTTATTTATAATTTGTCATGTCAGATTAAAATCTACTTCATTCATAAGTTTTATTTTTTTAATAAAACGTGAATTATTATTGATTTTTCATATTTTAGTAAATAAAGTCTGATTTTTATATTATATGCAATGATTATTTATTAAAATAAAATAATAAATTATGAATAAAAATAAATCTGAAGTATAATAATATAAAAATATTAACTACTTGTATTGGTTAAAAACCATCAACATTTTTTACTTTTGTTATTAGTTTAAAAATAACTATAGGTTTTTTTAAATCGTCACTATTATTTTAGGATGTAGAAACTTTGAGCAAATGTGAAATTATTGAAGTTGGAATTGTGTGTGCTGGCTACAACTCCACTCGCTCAGTTGTGACTCTCATCAAATCTATTTTGTTTTATCGAAAAAATCCTTTAAGGTTTCATTTTATAGTTGATGCTGTATCCAAGAAAATACTAAAAACTTTATTTAACACGTGGAAAATACCTCAACGTATGAAAAATATTCATTCATTATACATCACATCATAACTGCATAAAAATTTTATGAAGTTTACTAACCGATCTAAAACCCTACCTTGATATTTTAAATTAAAAAGTACTTTACCACTTTAAAACTTGGGAAAACATATTTCTTACTATTTTTATAATTATTCATTGAAAAAAATGAATTCTAGAGCAAAATCAGGTATTAAATTGTAACAAAAATGGAAAAACTTAATTCAAATATTATTTATTTCTTGAGATAAGATTTATTTACATTATTTGCAAAAAATAGCGGTTAAATGATTTTGCCATGAGAGGGAATGAAAAACCTTTATGATCAAAAATTCGTGGGTACTCTAATCTCATATCTCAGAGTTTTTTTATTTGTATTAATTATATCAGGATATTAATAAGAACTTATAAATTTATATAAAAGGCTTTCTTTTTATTAAGTTTTCAAAATATATAATATTAAAATATCTATCCACTTAATCCCTTTTCCATAAGATTGGCCCTTGATATTTAATATGTGCTCCTGCTAAAAGTAAATTTATAGTGCATAATGTACACAAAAAAATATATTTCAAACTGGTTCAAGTTGAAAGGTCGCGCCTTACCTTAATTATAATTTATCTCTCATAAAAAGCTTAATATTTTAATTTACTCAAACAAAAACTAATTATTGTTTCATTTAATCGTCGTTATTGCGGAGCTGAACACAGTGTTATAATTATAATTTAGAAAAAATCATAGCCATTAATAATAAGAATTTAGTTCATAAAGTATTTATTAAATAAGAATAAATATTTTCTATATATTTTAGTGGAGATAGAGTTTTATCCAGCTGAAAAAATTGTGAAAGAAGTATCATGGATAAATAATAAACATTATTCAGGCGTTTATGGTCTAATGAAACTTTGTTTAACTGAAGTTTTTCCCAAAACTATAAATCAAATACTTGTATTGGATACAGATATCACTTTTGCTACAGATATTTCTCAATTATGGATGAAATTCAAACAATTTAAAAAAGAACAGGTCAATAATTTATAAGTATTTTTAGTCTTCTAGTTTATAAGTACTTTTATGACACTTGTATATTTGATTAGGTTCAATATCTGTAAATTAGTGAATAACTCTTTAACCTTTATTTCAGGCATTAGGTTTAGTTGAAAATCAAAGTGACTGGTATCTTGGGAAATTATGGAAAAAACTTAAACCATGGCCAGCACTTGGTCGAGGGTAAGAATATCAACTAAATACTACATCTTCTATAAAGATAAATGCATATGTATCTTTTTTTAGTTATAATACAGGTGTTATTTTAATGGACTTACAAAAATTACGTTTAATAGATTGGAACAGTTTATGGAGATCAGTTGCTATTAAAACTTTAGTAACTCATTATTGGACAAGTTTAGCGGATCAAGATGTTTTTAACACAATAATTAAAGAACATCATGAACTACTATATCCTTTACCGTGTCAATGGAATGTACAACTTAGTGATAATACTAGAAGTGAATTGTGTTATGCCGAAGTTGTTGAGCTTAAAGTAAGTTTTTATTCGATTTTTTAGGGGTAATGATAAAAGTTGAACTCCGTTGTATTTATTCTATTAATCTCAATTTTTATTGAAATATTTAACTCACAATGTATAAAAAGTTGAACATTTTATAGGTCATTCACTGGAATTCACCAAAAAAACTTAAAGTCAAGAATAAACATGTTGAATTTTTTAGAAATTTATATCTTACGTTTTTAGAATATGATGGAAATTTACTACAAAGGGAACTTTTTGGTTGCAACTATTCGTCTATAATACAAGACGTTCCAGAAGTGAGTTTGATGATAATACTATATTTAATTGTAGAGCACTTTATCAAAAATATGTTCTTAGATTTTTCTGACAATTTAATTTGAACTTTAAAAATATTGGTATCATTCAAATATTTATTTTCAATGAATATTGACCATTTACACAGTTTAAACAATATTTAACGGAAGTAACATTTAAATACATCCTCACTAAAAAAATGTTGCTACAAAACAATATTTATAATTTATTTATTTTCGAACAAAATTTGAGGGGCTTAGTTATCTAAATATTGACAGACTGCACTGATAAATAAATATATTCTCCAGTTTACTTAAGAGAGTCGATTTTAAAAATTACATTTAAATATAATTTTTTAGATTAGCGAAGATGATTTGTGTTACGAATTTAGAAGAGCTGGAATAACAAGTTTAAGAACGCATTTATATTTTTTGGAATTTGATTATCAAGCTTCTTTAGATGATTGTGATATTACACTTGTTGCTCAATTGTCAATGGACCGTCTCCAAATGGTAGAAATGTTATGCGAGTATTGGGACGGTAAGTTTTTTTTATTTATTTTTTAAATTTTGAATACGATATTATATTATAAAATTATAGGTCCCATAAGTCTAAGCCTTTATATGTCAGATGCCGAAGCTCAACAATTCTTAAGTTATGCTCAAAATTCAGATGTTCTTAAAAATAGAAAGAATATTGGTTATCATATTGTATACAAAGAAGGGGTATGAAAATTAAATATAACTATAAAACTACAAAATTAATGTTTAACAAATGAATTATTTCAGGACTTTTATCCTATAAATTTATTAAGAAACGTTGCTTTAAAAAATGTTGTGACACCTTATGTATTTTTGTCAGACATAGATTTTTTACCAATGATGGGTCTTTATACATACTTAAAGAAATACATATTCATAATGAATATAAAATCATCAGACAAGGTACATTCACAATAAAAAATATCTTATTTCTTTAATTAATATGGCTATTATATTCCCGAATAACATTCTAAATATATTTTAGGCATTGGTTGTACCAGCGTTTGAAACTCAAAGATATCGAACTGCGTTTCCACAAACTAAAGCAGATATTCTAAGAATGTTAGATGATGGTGCTTTATTTTCTTTTAGATATCATGTGTGGCCAAAAGGTCATGCTGCCACAAATTACGCTAAATGGAAAGGTTCCACGGTACCGTATAAAGTAAGCTTTTCAGTAAAATTTATTTATTATTTATGTTATTATTAACTTTCATTTTAATTATTTGATAAAAGGTTTCATGGGAACCTGACTATGAACCATATGTAGTTGTGCGTAGTGATGTTCCCAAGTATGACACTCGATTTGTTGGTTTTGGTTGGAATAAAGTATCTCATATAATGGAACTGGAAGCCAGAGGATATACTTTTATTGTTCTGCCCAATGCGTTTATAATTCATATGCCTCATGCTCCAAGTTTTGATATTGCAAAATTTCGAGGGTCTTCACAATACAGAAGGTATGTATTCATTGATTGTAATCATTCCAAGTAAATTAATTAAGTAAATTATAAGTCGTAACATACTTAATTATACTAAAATTTTACTATGCTTAGGTGTTTGAAAGTTCTCAAAAATGAATTTATTGAAGATCTTCGAAATAGATTCTCAAGACAATTAAATCATACAGAAAGTTAATATTATAATGAATTTTTTAATACAGCAGAAGTGAAAGAATTAAAAATGCGCCAAGGAAAATATTGTGTTCAATTGATTTTAGAATTTTAATGTGTTAAATTATTATTTTTTGAGTCATTATTTATGAGTTATCTTTTAGAATGTTACTGAGATTTTTTGTAAAATGATTCAATTGTACTTCACTAATAATTATTTAAGTTCCTATATTGTGTTAATCTTATAAAATATATGTACAATTCCATTTTTTTAGATCTCCATGTGGTATTTATTTTAATGATATAAAATATTCCTTTTAACACAGGTGTTTAAATTACGATAATATTAATAAAAAAAATTAGTACCACGGTTTTTTTTAATGTAATGTTTGGCATATAAAAGTTACCAAAAGTAAGGCATCTATATATTGTGTTTTTTTAAGGAACTTGATTATAAACATTTCAGTGACAATAAATTTGTTTCTCAAATATGCCAAAATATTTTCTAGTAATTCAAAAAAATTTCGCTCAAAACATTTGTCTAAAATACTTATCATAATTAAATTTCGATACATCAACTTAAGATATATAGAAATTGGAAAAGTGAAAAATCTAACACTTATTTTATATTATTAACGTAAAATAAGTGTATAATATAAATTATTGAGACTATAAAAAATATTAATGCGAAAATCTATTGGACTTACTTAAATTAAAACTATAAATAATAAACTTGTATTTGAAGAATATTACAAAAAGTACTAATAATAATTATTATTGTACTGACTATTAATTTAAGACATTAAGTAACGTCATTAATGATATACTATGAAATTTAGATTTCTAAGTCAAAATTTTCTAATTTACAATACTCTTAAATTGGTATCATATAAATATATCAATAGTGACTTCTAATTCATATTTTTTTAGGTAAGTACACTATCCCTTTACTCTTTATAAAAACTGATAGCAGGTGTGTTTCATCTTAAAAACAAGCAGTTGTTCTCGTGCGCAGGGTATCCCAGCTGTCGGTGCATCTGGCACGGGCCGAGCAGCTGTACGATAGATATACTAAGCACCTATAATTTGGAAAACAAAATAGCAGCTTGCAAACGATGTTTTCAAAACATGTTTAAGATTTTAGCACTATTCTCAAAGATTGTAAAAAAACGAAAAAATGAATACATTTAAGTATGTTTATAAAATACCTACGGATTCTTTATAATTTTCCCATTTCTCCCAGCAACGTCATATCTTTAAAAGTTAATTTTTTTAGGAGAGAGATTATACAAATTAAAAGTGTATTAAAATAGTTAATTTCACTTGAGGGGCTAATAACACTTCTTGACACAACTGGGTCGTTAAATGTTCATGAAATTTTTTTTTTGATTTTGATAAATATTTTGACGCTGATTTTGAATATACGCTTAGTTTTTCTCTACTATCAATATTTTATTTACAACATGAATGTTTACTGTTTCTACATAAAATATAAAAAATAATAATAATTTTCTTCAACACTACTGAATCATTTTTATTTTATAGCGATGATATTTGTGCAAATGTTGAAATTATTGTGTAAAGTTTCAATTTTACAATGGACTTTTGAGATTGAATTTTACAGCACTTAAAAAAAAAGTAAAGCTGGACTCTTTTCTATAATTTTTTTTTATTGATGTTTATGTTGTTATATAGATAAAAAATGTTACGAGGATTCAAAAAAAAAACTAAATTATGCTTACTGTATCAATTTTAGTTGACATAGTCCCTATAAATGTGAACAAATATGTCTTAAATAAAGTAAAATAAGTTCAACAAATTAAGTCGAAAAAATCATATTAACTGCTATTTATTTTATTAAAAATCCCTTTACATTGCTAAATTTGATAAAAATAATAAAATATAGACTATTACAATAGTAAATACAATTAATATAAATTATTCTGAATAAAAAAATTACACTATTACTTTCTTATTTAGAATTTTTTTAAATTAATTTAGGGTACTAAACTTAAGAACATGGCAAAATATTTTATTAAGATATAGAAAAAATATATATAAGATATCAAGAAACATGGAACAAAGCCATTATAGGTTTAGTTGCTAATCAATCAAAAATAATTAATAATCTTAAATTTTCTAATTTTTTATACTAGTCTTATTCTTTTTCTTTATACTTTAAATCACTCAGTGTGTTGTTTTATTTTTTTTATGAAAAATTTTTACACGCATGAACAAACTGAATGTTTCTAAATTTTAGTTTTGTTCTTTTTTGTATCTTATTTTTCACCTAAAAATCAAAGCACCAATTTTTAACCACATATTTATATATACCTTGTCTACATGTAAACATTGAAAGTGTTAAAATGTAATTTTATATTTCACAAAATTGTAATATTTATATTATCAATAATTGTATTTTTATAATTGGCCCATACAATAAATTACAATTGTAAAGCAACTTTCAACTATTTTAAATTATCATAAAATGCAAAAGATCAATATGAATTAGGAAAATGCAATTCATACTAGTAATAGTAGTTAAAATAACTAGTTCAAGGATGATGAATTAGTTTCACCAGATGAAGATTTCGAAGTTCGAATTAACAAATTAAAACAAAGAAATCAAGTGCTCATACAATATCACTACATATGAAAAAAACAAATTAAAGAAATTTATTGGATTTTGACATTCATGACTTCTAAAGAATGTTACAATCTAACCAACTCAAAATGTGAATTCCAAAAACAGAAAAATTATAGATTTCTACATTGAATAGCACTTTTAAATTATTATTTACAAAACCAAATAGCAATACCTTAAAATTACGAAGGCAAAAATTCTGAACTTATATTTAATAACTATTATTATGTATGAAGAGAATAGGAGATGATTTTTCAGACAACATTATATATATATTTTTGCATCTGATATCAAAAATTAAAATTTTACCTAACATATTAGAAAAGTTAAGTTAATTTTTGGTTCATGCAATTTTTTTTTTCTAATTTTTGTACCAAAAGGAATAAAAATTCTACATTTTAAGCCTATATATTTTATAAATTAATATATAGAAATAATAATTTTATTTTGTCTCATTTGAAAATGTGTTATTTTTTTCAATTTAAATTATCACTCTCGCCAATAGGTGACATTATACTACTATAAACTCCAAAATATTAAAACATTATTTCTTATTATAAAAATGTAATATAAAACATTAATAATCATAATGAAAAGAATATAGATTATAATTTCTCCTTTCTTGTATCATTTACAGTATCCGAAATATTTTTAAATTAAATTTACAACATATTAATAAATTATAAATGAAAAAAAAGCGCTAAAGAAGAAAACTGGATTTTATAATGCACGCGTGTTATGCTAGTAATAAACCATCTGCTTAATCCTATTTGTTATGGTTTGATATAAACGGTCTGGTAGTACCTTCCATGTTGATCACTGGAGTAACGTAAAACGTGTTCAGTTTGAATTTTAGCGTTCAGGCGATAGCACCATGATTGCGACATTAGTGTTAGTTTTGTTAGGTCTGTTAGTAGCTCCTATCGGAGCTCAAATGAATGATTTAGATATAAACGATTTAAAAACGATAAAAAATCAACTAAATGTGCTTATGGAAAAAAGACAACAAGATTATGAACAAATGGAAAAGTCATTATTCCAATCACTTAGAAGAAACTTAGATCTTGTAGCTTTAAAAGAAGAAATTAAAATATTAAGGTGAGTAATAATTAACTTAAAAGTTACGTCAGTGTAATTCGCATAATTATACTTACTAATAATGTATTTTTATATTCCAATGAACTCTATACAGTTGTTAGTGTGTTCTACGAGCTTTATTATGTAATTGGTAGGTAAAGATAAAAAAATTATACATATAAATGAATGCTAATGCGAAATCATTTTATTTTGAAAAATAATTACTAGGTATCGTAATTTATGTAACAATTCAATGACTGTATAGTTGTCAAACTTTAGTCAGAATGAAAATATTTTCTATCGCCATTAGAACTAAGAATAGTCTTAAGATATTTAAGGCCGTCCTAATTCAAGAAGTTAATAAATTCTAGAACAAAATGTATTTTGTATATTTTGATACTGTCAATTTAAGAGTCCTCTTATGTTTTTATTTAACGTTTACAATCACTATATTAAAAAAATATAAGGTAATTAGTTGTCCACTAAAAATATTAAATTGAATATTAGCCAATAGATTTCTCCTAACACAATAATAATTTAGAGAATTTTTTTGAGCTTATTAATACTCAGTAATATTTATATCTCAATTTATATGTGGGTAAATATTTATTAGGTTCATCCCCCCATATTCTTGTAAAAGTACCAACTTTATTTCCTTAAATGGCTACTTAAATACTTATTTTACTAACTTAAATGTTAGATAATGACTCAATTAAGAAAATCACTGGTCGATAATAACTTTTAAACAAGTACTATGGAGATAAATTAAATATAGAGTGGAGGCGAGGTGCGGGTTGGGTTTATATATTTTTTTCATCAATATGCATCATTTTATCGTGCTTCTCTTCCCTCTCAGATAAAAAAATATTCATAACTTCCAAAATACTGGTTCTCAAAATTTTTAATCATAATAATCAACTTGTTTCTATGGCAAATTTTTTAATAATCATAAAACTAAAAATAAAAAAATGAAATTGTTTGAAACATTCTAAAAAATTAAAAGTTTGAAAAATAACTAAAATTATAATTGTCAGGCAGTATAAAGTTTATTATGGAAGTCAAATTAGATACTGGAAATAATGAACCTAAATTGTGGTTGAATGAAATAAACGTTACGAAATCACAAGGAAAAAGGGAGTTCCAAAAACGAAATTATGAGAAAGGTGTTTGTCATAATTTGATTAAGTAAAATAAATTTAAAGGAATTATATTATAGCCGCTTTATTTTTTGAACGAATATTCATCAACTCGGACGACTTGGAATCTCGTTTATTACTCAGTAAATGCTATCAATTTATGTTTGATTTGGATTCAGCAAATAAAACTAATTTGCTGGCAAAAACCAATTCTCAAAGTTCCCCAGCTATTTTATTAAATGAAGCCGATATTCAATTTAATTTTGGAGAATTTGAAAAGAGTTTGATGATTTACTTTAATGGTGCTGAAATTCGAAAGCAGCCCCCTGTTTTTACTATTGGGATCATAAAAGTATTTAATTTTTTAATTAAAAACTTACAAGTATTAATAATAAAGTTTAATTTAGACGTTACAAAAAATGAGTGACTCGACAAATTTTGATACAAAAAAGTATAATTTAAATTGTTTGGGTAAAGTTTTATTAGAGCTAGCTATGCAGGATAAACTAAGAAATTTGAAACCTAGCTGTGACACAAGAAATATAAATTATTTTAAAAATGAAAAAATAAAAAAAAAAGATAATGCTTTTTATTTAAGAAATTTAGGAAAAGAACATAATTATTTTACCGAAAAATTGAAAACACTATCTCCTAAGAGTCCATTTTATGAAAATGAATTAATAATACATAAAGAAATAAAATCAATAATTGACGCATTGGAAATAACTAAAGTGAGCTGTTTTCTCTTTGATAAATACCTAAAAAACTGTTTTCTAAATTTACTTTTTTAAGGAACAACTATACACTCAGAAAGCAGTTTATATTCATAAATGTAATGTACCAAAATTGAAAAATAAACGATTAATTGAGCAGATACTTAAAAAATATATTACTAACTTACAAACAGCAAAATATTTAAACACTGTGATTCAACTAATTATTGAACGCAAATTTCAAAAAGCAAAACAAAAAGTCAATTTGATGAAAAATTATTTGAAAAAAAGAAATTGCAAACAAATTTCTCAAATCATGGATTTAGTGTATCTAACATATGGTGTAGCATATTACCTGACATATAAACATATTCAAGAATGGAACGATAAAGAAAATCATCAAAGATTACTGACTATGTTAGGTGCCACAACAATCTATCAATCTAAATCTATTATTTATCAAGATTCGTTTATGGGTTCTCGTGATCTTAATCCAAAGTACTCTTAAAATATTTATGAATGCTTCATAAAAATTATAACTAAACTGAGTAACGCTAATTTTATTAAGTGGCGAATTTTCAATATTTTTCTGACAGGCCCTGATAAATAATACGTATTTGAAGTATATACGTAAATATCGGATTCTATCTAGTATATTATACATTTATAAAGTGTTTTTTTTAACGCTAGTCGCGCATATTTTTTTGAAATAATAATTTATTTTACTTTTGTTAGTTACATATAATGATTTTGAAAATCCTCTTTTTCATATTTGATTTGCCAGGGTAACCCTTATATATAAAGAGTACATAAGTATTATTTTTTTAAAGTATACTTTAATTAAAATAAATTTTTAGTAAGTATACGCCGTATTAAGGCATAAATAAACGACTGACTATATATATATCTCCATTTATCTGTTGTAAAATAATTTGTAGGTCCATCCTTTATAACTTATAAGAGTATCAACTTAAATATTTAAGTAGCAACATACATAATTAACTACCTTATTAATATATAATTATATTATTAAGAAAGTAACTGGTATATTATAACTTTTAAACGAGTATTTCGGAAGTTGTTAACATTTTTTTACCTAAGAGAAGAGAGGAGTTAGGTCCATAAAATGTCTAGTAATAAAAATTGCAGAACTTGCGTCTCGCCTCCGACTATTGCTTTACATTGTTTATAATTTCTGAAATGCTGGTTTAAAGTTGTAATCGTTCAGTCATTTTCTTAATTAGACAATTATTTAATAATTAATCTAATTAATTATGTATGGTGCTAATTCAAAAAATAAAGTTAACATACTTTAAGATATAAGGGATGAACATTAAAAATACTTTATGACTGATAAATTGAAAAAAGTATGAAACTAAAAGATGAAAAAAAAGTTTTTAATAATACTCTTTTTAATCTATTAAATAAACGGTTTATGATAAAAAAAATCACTTTGTAAATATATATATATATGGATTAATTTAATTATTTTGTTGTATTAAAGTACATTTATGGGCGTCCAAATGGGAGGGGAGCAAAGAGGAAAATTGCCACCTTGATTTTTCGCCTTGTCAATTTTCATAATCTATGTGTATTATAAAATTTTGGGGAAAAAATAAGATATTAATAATTGACTGATAACTATTTAATATGTATATTAGTGTAAACAGATGTCGTAGCCTGAAATTATGATCAGAAGGCTCTAAAAAGTTTTACAATATTTTTTTAGAGTTCCTTAGTTTGGCACTGTATCTTACACATTTCATTTTCAAGGGAAAGTGGAATATATTAATAAGTTCCATTTAAAATTTCTTCGTCATCCTACATACCATTAAATACGTTGAAGTAAACTTTTAAAATAGTTTTTTCAATTTTCATAATTTTTTTCTATTTTTAGATAAGATAAAATAATTAATTATCATTTTTAAGTGATTAATAAATTCAACTATAATATAATATATTTGATAACAGATTTCATTATTATAGATAAATTGTATAATTATTGATAGTAATAATAACATTTACAATAAAATATACTATATTACTATATATATACTACATGTATATAATATAATATGCTATATATATTATACTAATAAAAATTTACTCACCATTTAAGTTTAACGAAAAAAATGTTACTGAAAAATATTAAAAAATCGAAATCTGACGTAGAAAAATTATACCATACTTTCGAGCTAGTGAGATGCTACATGCGTTTAGGAGTTGATTACTTTAAAGAATGTCGTAGCATGGCTAAACAATGTTTAGAACTATCGGAAAATATAAACAGTCATACGTGGACAGTTAACTCACTAGTTTGGTTAGCACTTGCCGAATGCCGGTTAGGAAATAAACTAGAATGTTACAGGAAGATAAATGTAGCTTTCAACATTTCAAAACAACTTAAAGAGCCTGGAGTGACGCTATTTTTAGAGAAGGTAATCTATGGAATGGTCTGAGTTATTTATAAACAATAAAAACGATGTATTTTTTCAAGATGAGATCGGTAATTTCGGATTTGGATGTTGCAAGACTCAACCAGAATGAAAAACGTAAAGCTGAGATAGTAAATTTTATGCCAAATTTAGAGACGAAAATGAAAGCTATGTATATGTTTAGACAATTAGACACAATGCCAGAAGATCGACAAATGTCGTTGGTACCTGGTATATCTCTAACTGGAGTAAATAGCAAATATACTTCATCTAAAGCAGCTCACAAGTATTTATCTATAATACCAGGAAGTCAGGCTAAGAGACTGGGAGTTCTTAAAAACAAACTTCAAAAAAATATAGTGTTAAATGTATCTTTAAAAAATTTAAATTAAACAAAAAAAATTGTTTACATAATTATAATTTATTTCAAGCTATAAATTACTTAAACTAATAAGATGTTTCGTTTGATAAAAGTAGCAAAATCATTTACAGAGTTAAAATAACACCTAGAAAATAATAACTCTGTGTGTGACATAGTTATGAAAAAAAATTCTATATATTTTTTATTTATTTGTGATATGTCTATAATAAACTTATAAAGTTATAATAAGGTTGACTTTTAAAAACCCAGCACAAGGGGGTGGCGGCACAGCAGTAACGTAGCATAGCTTGGTCAAGTATAATAATATCTGACAGTGATTAAAATCACAATCATAAAAGACGTTCGATGCAAATTTGTACATAGTGTTTAATTTTAAAAAATTGTTGGGTTATTCCAAAAACTACATGGCTTCCTATTTCCTTATTTATATCCTAATTACTAGTTTTATGATTTATAAGCGTAATATATGAATATATATATATATTTATATTTATAATATATAAAGGGAAATAGTCCGTTTAAAAAAAAAGTATTTTGAATGAAAGATGTATATAAATACTACTTCTCATGAAAAAAATGTATTGATCCATACATTTTTCAAAAAGTTATAGCATAATAAAGTTAATAATGTAAAATATAAAATCTAGAATTTTCATACAAAAATAGCATTTTGTAGTCATTTTCACCGTAAAGACAAAATAATGTCCGAAATTTTTTTTTTCCATAATAAAGTATATTACATTAGCTTTAATTTAAGATATATATAAAAGTGTCAGACTTTTCGTAACACTTTCAAGAGTTAAATTGAAAAAGTTAATTTTTTGTGAAAAAGTTGTCATTTTGAATCCCCCTCTGTAGGCAGGTAAAGGGTCAGACTTATAAAAAAATATACCGAATAATAGGTAAAGACATCATGCATCTATAAAAAAAAATTATATTGATTTGGTTATTTTTAAAAAAGTTATGACAGTTTTAAGTAAAAAAAAATTGAAAAATAATTTTTTGGAGATTTCCCCCATTTACGGGGAACGAGGGAAAATTTTTCAATTTTTGAGGATAATATCTTCGACTAGATACGATCTGTGATCTTTTGACGTATCGTTGAAAGAAATTGGTTCCCTGAGAGCTGAGAAAAAGTGGTAACAGATACAAAAAAAAAAACACACACATCATAGTAAAACTAATACATTCTCAGCTTCGCATTGAAGCTAAAATTGAAATGTAGTCATTAATATTTACAAGATTCTAATAAAATTGTATGAGTGAATTAAAATTAATTGATTACCTTATATTTTTATTTGCGTAAGGCTCCAGACTATTTACTAAATTGTCGAGGTTCATACTTAGTGCTGACTAAAAATAAAGATATTAAATTATGTATAATGTCATTCAATGCTGCAACAAGTTAATCTTTATTTGATAAGCCATAAATTATACATAATTTCAGGAGTGAACAATTGAAAATATCTCAATCCGGCGATGGGGGAGATCGGGATAAAGTTGCAGTAGGCTGGTTGAAAGATGTAATCGAAAGTTTAAAATCAGAAATACAAGATGTTTGGTCAGCAATTAATGAAACTGCACAAATTCACAAAGCAACTACTCTTCAAAATGATATTCAAGCCTTAAAAAAAGACCTTGATGGTATTCGAAAAGATTTACAAACAATGCAAGGGGAGTTACTTTCTGTTCGAAAAAACGTTGAAAATGCAGCTATTTTACAAATTGAATTAGAAAAAAAGTTGAATTCTTTAATTAAATATCAGAATACTGTTAATAAAGTAAGATATAAAACGTTTATCATAATATACATTTTATTTTAAGTTATAAAAAGTGAACGACAAAAACTTTAGTTTTTATTTTTATGATTTCCACAGATTTTTTTTTTATGACAAACAGTTCAATTAAATATAATATATATAAAAAAAGATTGTATTTTAATCCGATTCATACCTACAGTGCCGTTATTTAAACAAATTTCAAATAAGTTAATATATTTTTTTAATTTATTAGTCAAAAACGGATTACTCATCAATAAATAATCATTATTGAACTACTGAAAATAAAATAATATACTATTAAATTAAAAAAATAAGTGTTCCATTTATTAATTTCAATTAACTTAAGTAAATCACTTAGACGTTTTGTTTTTTCATACAAAAAGAAATACTGTTACGCTATTTTTTTTATACAATTGTAAAATTTGAACAATTATTAAGTTCAAATATTTATAAATAAATTGTTCTTATTAATTGATGAATTTTTTTATTTTTATACTTAGAAAAATGAAGAGTTGGAAGAAAAACAAATGGCAACTATTTATAAAGTAAACAAATGAACATTAATATTATTATTATTATTTTTTATTATGAATTGTATTAATTACAGAGAGTTGCAATTAGCAATGAAGATCCTCTACAAACGAACGTAATCACAACTATTGTGACTGACCAAGAAATTAAAGAACTCAAAATTCTGGAGTCTTCGAGGAAATCTTTGAACCACAGAATGGCACGTTTAGAAAAAAGAATTAAGGGTATTTTGTACAGAGAAAGTAGCATAGTTGAACGAGAAAATCGACTTTCCAGATTGGAAGTTAATCTGAATGCTACTAAGGAAGCAATTGCATTTAACCTGACACGTCAAGATGCTACCTTAGATCGACTACATGGATCATTATTAGAACTTCTGGAAAGTGTTGAAACCTTAGACGACCGGGTTGACGCGTGTTTACCTGAAGTGCGCAAAGAAATATCCAAAATAGAATTTGCTGTGGCAAGAATAAATGCTTCAGTAGCCATCATCAAAGAAGATCAGGTTATTATAAATAATAAAATATATAAACTATAATTTTGAGTAACACATTTAAAAAAATCGAAATTTCTTTATGTGCTTGTTATAGAACAATCAAATGCTAACGACTAAAGCACTAGGAGAAGGCATGTCAGCAATTCAGAGAACATTGAGCAAAACTTCGGAAAAAATCTTTATATCCGATAAGGTAAGATTATTTTATCCTTTCCATCGGCTTAAAATGTCTTTCTTCTTTCCCTAAAAATAAATCAATTTAAAATTAAGATGTAAAAATTTTGATGGCCCATCTCAACAGTAGTAGTTTTTTAAATATTCTGAAGTGAAAATATAGGGGAATATTAGAATAGCACATAAGATTACAACACATAGGGCGTGCATGCATGTCGGTGGTGGCAGGTGGTTTGTGTTTTTATTTTTTTCGTTTGTGAGCACGAGGTCATAGTTGATGGCGACTGCTAGTCAGGTGCTAGTCACACCTGCTTTATTCTTAATGTCAGACGGTGGCGGCTGCTACATGTCTTATTATGTATGCGCGAAAGCAACTTCTAGAGAATTACGAAGACTAGATGTATAACTAAATAATTAAGAGCGATAATGTATTCAAAAAAAATTATTTTATTTTATTTTTATGCAAACATATAAATATAAATATTCTAATAATATAAAGAGAGAAAATTTGAAGGAACGCACTGAATAATTCTAGAGTGTTAAGTCAGGATAATATTTTGTGACAAACTTTAATATCCGGCTACGTGAATATTTATAATATCATTATCTAGATATCAGTTCTGTAAAATAAACAAATTTTAACTCAAATTTTAAGTTAACGATAAACTTTTAAAAGTGTTTAGTAGGCCGGTGCTAGAAATTGTTAGGTTTCGTATGAAAAAATTTTGTGGATCTCTTAGTTGTTTTTTAGTAAAAAAAAGAATCCTATTTTTGTTCTCCAACTTAGTTTTAGCCTCTCTTAAGCGAAAGCTCACATTTTACCCCTAGCATCGGCTTTGGTTAAAAGGGGCCATTCCGTCAAATATTTTCTCGGTCATTCTTTTGGTAGATGCAGCAATACAAATAATAGAAGAAAATTAAATTATACTTATAAATAATAATAATAATTTCAGATAACTAAAGATAGTCATCAAAAATACACAAGCGCTCTGAATGAATTGGATTCATTACACAAACCGTATGGAAGGATTATAGGCGAACTACCTAAAGGTACACATTCTTTTTAAGTATAACACAAATTTGTGATGAAATTGTGAAGATATAAATGATAATGAAAATTAAATAAGTAATGATTTATAAATATAGTACTCTAAATTTGTTTCAATATTGTACATTACAGTGAATTTACTCACTCGAAACATTAAATGTAGTTTTTGAAAATTCTTGTAATAATATACAAGTCGACATTTCCTATCGAAACTTAAAATGTCCGTTGAAAAGTACATAGAGCGTGAATTGAAGGGTTGTTTATGATATCCCCTTATGTTAATTAAACTAACCAGTTCACCATATCGAAAATGACAGGTGGTTTTATTAATATTCATCCTGTTAGTGTAGTATTGTTTCCGTTATAATTATGCTACGTCTATAAATTCACCTACAAAAAAAATTGTTAAAATTTATTTGAGTTCAAATGTTTATTGATGACCATTTTAACTACTTATTTAATTTCAACTATTTTTGGATAATTACCTTAAGTCTATAATTTAAATCATTAAGTTCTTAAAAATAAATAAAAGTAATTCATCACCACAAAAAACACCCGAAAAATCATAGAGTACGAATATTTTGAAAACGTTTACATCATCAACAAATAAATACTGACCTAAAAATTTAAAAACATAAATTTAAAATAAAAATGTCTAAAACAAGAATTGAGAGTAAATTCACGGATTCTTGTGTATTATATAATTATTTAAATACAAACATTTATGTTGTAATAAATAATCCAAGCAAAATTAATCCATTTCAATCATCATTTTAAACGATAGTTAACAAAATTGTTTATGTATTTTCAGATTGTTCACAAATTAATGAAAATGGAGAATATTTGATTTCATCGAATGGAAAAGCAATTCTTGTTCACTGTGAAATATCAAAAAATATGTCCTGGATTACATTTCAAAGAAGGACTAATGATCAATTAACATTCAATAATATATGGACAGAATATTCTGAAGGATTTGGACAAGTATATGGTAAATAATTGTAAACTATTATAAAATATGAAAAAATATAATTAAATGCAAGTTTAATTAATGTTTTTTTAGGTGATTTATGGCTTGGTAATGAAGCCATTCATCAACTTACATCAGACAATAAATCCTCTTTACAAATAAATATGATTGATATTTACGGAAATTTTTGGATTGCTGAGTATAAAAATTTCAAAGTTTCTAATGCTAGTACGGGTTATCTTTTATCCGTTTCTGGTTTTAAAGGTAATGCGACTGATGCTTTATCCTTCCAAAATGGTCATAAGTTTAGTACATTAGATCATGATCAAGATGACAGTACCACTAATTGTGCAGCAAACTATGAAGGTGGTTGGTGGTACTCCCGTTGTCAACACGCTAATCTAAATGGAAAATATAATTATGGACTGACATGGTTTGATTCAAGTCGAAACCAATATATTGCTATTTCAAAAAGTGAAATGAAAATAGGAAGGCCTATTGTTTAACTCCTGAATTTGTCTTTGCATTTACTGCATGCTAGTCATTGAGACAAATAATATTCTCAATAAGAATATGAGTCTCTATTTGAATGAACTGATTAGATAATTAATATTAATGAACATAGTAATCATTTTATTAAAAATAAAACCCATAATTTCGTCTTCTGAAAAGTTAAGATGTTTATAAAACAAAGTTTATGCTCATCTATTATTTTTAGTTTTATTAAATTTTGATATTGTACATAAAATTAAAAAATTATTTAACATCCAACCTAACTATTAAAATCAGAATACTTTACTCTCTTAACTATGCTGTTTATTTTATTTTTAATTTATAATATACAGTTTTTTTTATCAATGTCAATACTTTTTCATTCAATGTAAAATATATACCATTAAAATACATATGAACTAATCTAGTTATATCAATATAATTATTTATTTAAAAAAATAAACATAATTAAAATCTTATTGATGGCTAAATTACAACTTTGTTATTTTATAAATTTTTTTTTTTTTGTATAAAAGAAATACAAGGAGATTCATTTATCACGAACTACTTAATTAATAAAAAAATAACTATAATAAAAATAATTAGAATTTTTTATTTGATTTCTTTTAGGTAAGTGTTTTTCTGAATTCATCAATCATCAAATATTTTTTATACGTTCAGTTCTTATGTCTTATAAAGGTGTCAACTTTATTTTTTCAAATAGCAATATGTATAATTAACTAGCTTATTTAGAGGTAAAAATAACTGGCCAATAACAATTTTTATACTAGTATTTTGGAAGTTATTGACATTGTTTTACCTAGACAAAATGAAGAGTATGACTGAGGCATGACTAGTGATAAAAATAATAACACCCATGACTCACCTTCAGCCATCACTAGAAAATATTAATATCTTTCAAAATATCAATACAAAAATGATTAACAACCATTAAATTTTCTTAATTAGAACATTATCTAATTAAGTATATTGTCATTTGAAAATTAAATTAAGGTAATAAAATTATAAGGTATAAAAGATGGAAATCAAAAATACTTGATTGAATTTAGAAAAACATGTACCTAAAAGAATATAATAAAAATTGATCACTTGTGGCTAATTAATTAAATAAAATTAAAACTATACTAAAAATATTATTAATTTAAAAACTGAAGAATATTAAACTCAAAAGCCATAAAAAATTACTGAAAAGTCGCGGATACATATTTTGGAAACAATATTTTCAAAATATGTACCCGCGACTTTTAAGTAATTGTTGGTGATTTTTGAGTATAATATTTTTTAGTTTTTAAATTAATAATGTCTTTAATATAGTTTTAATTTTATTTGCCTAAAAGAAATCAATTAAAAATTCTCAATATTTTTTTTAATTAAGTGGTTTATGATAAATAAATTACCTTATATATGTATATATTGTATTGAATATTGTAATTATGTTAATATATTTAAGGCATTTTGGAAATTATTTTAAATAAATAGATAATTAAATTATAAAATATGAAGAAAATAATTTACCATCTCTATAAATATGATAATATTAATATATATAATAGATTGATAGGTATTAAAATGTATCAATTTATTACACAATTATCAATTTTCTAATAACAATTTAAATTTGGTGTAATATGGAGTGATTACAAAAAATTAAATAACTGAAATTTATTACTTTTTGTTTTTCTCAAATGATAATATTACAGCATAACTTTGAATGATTTTATATTTGACTAAATAATATAAAAATATTTAAAGCACATACCATTGTTTAAAGAAAAAATATTAAATTAATTAAATATTGAAAACATTTTTATTTGCCCCAAAATATAACAATTTTGCTATGATATTAATTTTAAATCAATACAAAAAACCCAGCACAGGGGGGTCGCGGCACAGTTGTGACGTGGTATAGTTGGATCAAGTATAATGATATCTGACAGTGATTAAAATCACTATCAAAAATAAACNATTCTTAGAAATAAATAACTTAAGAATTACTTTTAAATATAAAATTATTTTGTATTAATGAGGTAACTTTTTTGTACATAAAATAACAGTGATAAATATAGACTATAAGTTGACAGTGAGACAATTCAACATTGTATACATATTCAAATTTTTAATTAAATTAATATTCAATTTAAAATACATTATTTAAAAATATGAATAAATCTTAATTCCTAAAAAAAAATAAAAAAATGATAGGAATTTTTTTAGTAACAATATTTTAATAAAGGTGGACTATAGAAATTATTTCTCCTTGTTAAGTTTTTAGTTTTATATTTTAATGTACAGTTATTGGAAAATATCTTTATATTCAATCATTCATGTAAACATCTTAAAAAAATTTAAGAAAATATATTAAATAAATATTTTATCTCTGTATTTAACATATAATTTAGTGAGTTAATAAAAAAATTTAGTATGTACATTGCATGATCAATATAAATAAATAAAGTAAAAACATTTTATACAAGTTCAGGTAGTAGATCTCTATTCATTTTGTGGATCTAAATTATTATTTTTTATTATTAGGTATGTTAAATTATTGAAAAATATAAAATTAACAAATGAGTGGCTATATAATATCATTTAAATAATTTAAAAAAAAATGAATTGATAGAGAATAGTGAAGGTATATTTATCATTAAAGGAAATATCAACAATAAGTTAATATACATAATTATAAGAATAAAAATGAAAGAACAATATACAATAAAAAGAATAATAATAAAATATTGATAAAAATAAATTATTGTTTATTTGAGATTGGGAATAAATATTTTAAACGTTTAGAGAAATAAATTATAACCATATTAATATTCTTAAATAAAATAATTTTGTTGTAGAATCCTTATAATGAAGCAAATACAATTATATAAATGAAAATCAAACAAAAAATTTAGTTTAATAAAAGAATATAAAAGGCTATATGGCAAATTATTTTTATTTTATTTATTTATCATAATTTTATACTTAATATATGAATGAAAGGAGTTTAAATAATTTTAATTGCTATTAAATTTTTAATTTGATACTATACCTTAAGATAAAAATTACCCACTTATATTTCCATAAAAATTGTGTTTATTGTATAATAGTATAAAAATAAAGATAAAATTTTATTAAATCTGTAGAAAGACACTTTAATGTATTAACAATAGAGATAACATTTGGAAAATATTATCTTTGAGATAATAAAATATAAATTTCAATAAAATTAAAAAAATCTTATAAAATTATAACTCACAGCCTTTTTAATTCTCTAAATTCAAAAGTTTCTATGTACGTCGTCTATTAATAATATCAAAAAGTACTTGAGTTGAATCATCAGTACTATCTGAATCATTCATATCTTCACTTTCTATGCGTGTTAAATGTTTATTATCTTCATTATTTATAATACCATAACGACTTTCAATTGGTCTACTAGCATTATATTTATGCCACACATGTCCAATAACACCACACAAGCATAATGCTAGTCCTAAAATTTTTAATGGGGTCATCTTGTCACCATTACATTCTACTGCCAGAACTAAAGAACAAACTTCCTGAAATTAATTTGAGTGTAAATATATATAAAAAGCGCATTAAAAAAACAATTGTACACGCATAAGTTATAAAATGATCTACTTATTAAAATATTTTATATACTGTAATATTTATTGTTTATAATATAAAAATAAAATAACATAGTGAGATGTGAAATAGTTAAGACCCGGCGTAAATTGAAACTTAACAGTGACTAATATTCATATTGTAAAATGCTTTGATGCGAATGTGCACTAAGAGATTTTCAAAAGTAATTTTTATAAGAGAAGAATTTGTCTTTTAACTGTCAATTATTAATATTCCAATGAATTTGACACTGTTTTTAAAAATTTTAGAAAACACATTTTGCGCATGTCAATTAATTTTAATAAAATATTCTGAATTTTGCAATTTTTATAAAAAAAAATATTTTTTTCTTTAATATTGATGTACGTTTAGATAATAGTCATTAAAGTTTAGGAGGTTAATTTTTTTTTTCATAATTAAGTATATTACATAAAAGTATGACATAAATTGACAATTAACACATAATCTAAAGGATAAGTTCAAAAAAGATCAGTTTCACGTTTATTGAAATAAATGTTACAAAAACTGGTAATATATATATATATATATATCACTGTATTTATATAGTCCATGATTTTTTGACAAATCTAATAACTTTTGATCTGCTAAATAATTTATGTTACCTTTTTTAAATAATTTAGGTAACATGACTCATTTTATATAAGATCATTCTTTTAACGCTAATCACTTAATTTCTTTTAAAATAAAAATCCTTTAAAAGGCAACATACATATTTAACTAGCTTATAAAATATAAAATAATTTAATAAGAATTTGACTAGTTGAAAACAACTTATGGACCAGTACATCAGAAGATATTCACAATTTTGTACCTAGGCGAGAGTAGGAAAACAGCTGAGAAATGACTAGTGATAAAAATAGCAACATCCACTCTTAAATCAAATCTATATTTTAAAATGCTAATAAACTCCAAAAGTTGTTATTGACCAGTCATCTTCTATTTTATAAGTTACTTAATATGAATGTTGCCACTAAAAAAAATTGACTCCCTGGTAAGATATTGGGTATGGACCTAAAAATTATTTTATAATAGATATGTGTATATCTCACAAAATCCAAAAAATAAAATAAAAAAAAAAATTATTATTTTAAGAGAAATTGAGTAGTTAGCGTTAGAATAATCACCCTGCATATTAATTACTTTAATAATTCCAACTACAGTAAGTGTAAGACTAGATGTTTTGTAGACAACATAATACTCAGAAACTTCCAAACTAAATGCAAGTAATGAACCGATAATAATAAGCATACATATTTTAAAGTAATCATCATTATTTTTAGTATTTAGCCATGTTAAAAAATCATCTCCTGAAAATAAAAATAGAACTTTCAATTAAAAAATTTAAACATGCAAAGAAATAAAAATATTAAAATCATACCTTCTAAAAACAAAAATATTGGAAACACTGATAACAACATCCAAGGTTGAGTAAAATATATCATATCCACTGGACTTTTTAATCCCAAATCTGATTTTTGCATTATGAACTGTGATAAAGTCCAACGAAAACCACTAAAAAAATTATCTTAATAAACTTAACTTGAATGTTATGATAAAAACAACAAAAGCCTATTTTAAAAATAATTTTTTTTTGTTATTGAAACAACTCATTTAATAGTTATACATTAGACCTATTCAAAATAAAAATAAAATATTATACTCCCCAAAATTGTGTATGGTATTTTAAGAAAATATCACACACCTTTCTTTTTATGTTTTTTCAAATTTATTTACTGCTTTTGTTAGTGAGAAGAAAGCATTTGTTAAAATTAAAAATAATTTAATTAGCTTTAAAATAAGTCTAATTTGAAATTTTTTATTTTATAAATTGATAACATGGTTGATATTTAAGGAAGAGATATGGAGTATTTACATATTAATCAAACAGGAAAATACAGTTGTTAATAAGCCGTATTAAAATAATCTTACAGAGAAAATTTTAGAAAAATACTTTATTTTACTGTAATACATAATTTTGAAGGTAAAGCATGAAAATTTTTTTTTTTAATTGAAAATTAGTTATATCAGTTAAATAAAATTTATCTTTTTAACAGCAAAAAAAATAGGCTATATAATTAACTTTATAGATACTCTTACTACTACATTAACTGAAATTATATTAATTTGTTTTTTTTAATTTGAATTGTTATATCATGCCATCAGTGCCCGTATGAAGATTTTTGTTTTGGTCTAGCAAATAAGGAACTTTTTGTTAGACAAAAACAATGATATAGATTTTAGCCAAAAATTCTCATGCCAGCACTATATACCACCATTAAAAATGTATAAATTTACCTGGAAAATGATGCTGTTAAAATTAAGATAAACCCTAAAGTACTAAAGTCAGTTGTTTTGAATGTAAACAAAAATAAACCACCAGAAATAGAAAAAACAATCAAAAACAGCAACACTGTCTAAAAATAATAAAATCATTAATACATCAAAATTTCATAAAATTAAATTAAAAATATATGTTTAAATAAATTGATATTTTACTTTTTCATAATGAAAATATTATAATAATTGAAAAAGCAACTACCATCATTAATTTAAACATTTTGTAGAGACTCAAAAGGTCATACTTGCAACCACCTGCTATAAACTGAAGCAAGGATCTAGCATATAACATTACTGTATGCTAATTCATTAATATATAGCCTACAGAGTGAGCATTCTAAGCTAACGCCCATAATAAATGAATTACAAATGTATATCAAAATAATTAAAATCTTAATTTTTTTTTAATTTACATTATGAGGTTCAATAAATAAATATTAATAAATTAATCTGTTTTAATTAAGTTATCATAGCATATACCAGGGTTTCATAGTTGAGAGAGCAATTTTCATAGTTTGATAACAATTTCTTTATTTTTACACTTTAAAAATAATAAAATTGATTTTCATTTTATTTAATATTAACTTTCTTTTATTTATTAATGTATAAAAATAATATTTCCATAAGTAGTGGCTGATTTACAGTGGTCTGAACCCTTTAAAGACACTGATATTTTTATATTATTTAATATATAAGGTAAGACTCATACGTATTTTATGTAAATTTTATTATTTAGGATTCCCCAAAAAAACATTGAAAATTTGATACTGTCTATAAAAAAAATATTTTATAGAAAATTTTTTTTTAAAAATCGACTAAAACTTTTATTTTTAAATAAAAACTTATAAAAATATAATAAAAACCACATTATGATGATTGCATTCATTATAAAATGACATATTAACCGGTCGAACTGAGGGTTATTCAGCCCATGTGTTAGAAAAAAGTTGGGCTACAGCACTTGGAAGGTCAGCTGGCTGCTTTTCTGTAGTAAGTATAATGATCACTAGCCCATTGTGCAACAGCACAGTGTGCCAGTCCATCTGCATTTTAAATTTAATTTTTGTTTCAACAAGATCAATTAACTTTTAAGAATATTATGATGGTTAAGATTTATAATTTATCATTAAATGCTGAAACCATAGTATTTTAAATACTTGCAATTAAAAATTAGATAATAAGGTTGTAGATAAACTATATACAGAGTGGAATGGATCTAACTGACAACTCATATAACTTATGATCTACATAATATTTTATACTTTTTTTTTTTTAATCAATTTTGACAATATAGAACTAATATTATAAAATATTAAATTAACTAAGATCTGTATATGTAAGTGGTATATTTACGTGGTGCAACTAAGACAATTGTACCTCTCCAATCTTATCATCAAGCAATTGTTTTTAATTGTGGATATTTTTTATTATAAGAGATGAATAAAAATATTCATTTGTAAATTTTTTTTTTTTATCAACCACAAATAACTAATTATACAAAGTGGAATGGATCTAATTGACAACTCATATAACTTATGATCTACATAACATTCTATACTTTTTTTTTTTTTTAATCAATTTTGACAATATAGAACTATATTTAAAATATGTTATTTTTCGTAATTACAAAAAATATTTTAAAAATTAATTTTTTTACTAACATTTTTTTTAAGATTTTAAGATAGCCATTTTATAGATAAGTTTTAAAGAAAAAATTTGATACTAAAAACTCTTATTTTAATTCAGTAGTTACGTTCATACAGCATTTTAAAGTTAGTTAAATTTTGATTTTTTTTTTAATTTTCCTATGGTATCAAATGTTAGTCCATATTATGTAAAGTACAGAAGGAAATTAAAAAAAAAATATAGAAACATTGTCTAAACATGTTAAATTTTTAATTAAATAATTCATATATCATATATTGAAACGTGAATAATTGTGAATAAGTGCATTTATTATCAAATCTCCTAACAAGGAATATCCTATAATAATATGATTACAATGATAGAATCACACAAATTAATAATTGTTATCACTTTTAACTTGGCTAACTATGGACACTCGTAGTTGACATATGATAATGTTTCTAACTTTTGTAATAAAGATTAGAGATAATCATTTCTGTATAAAGCGCATTAAACGTTATTACTATCCATGGAAAAAAAATCGCATACTGTTACCAGTAAATAATGTAATAAGTGTTTACTTCTGTACTTTACATAATATGGACAGACATTTGATACCATAGGAAAATTATATAAAAATCAAAATTTAACAAATTTCAAAATGCTGTATAAATATAACTACTAAATTAAAATAAGAGTTTTTAGTATCAAAATTTTTCTTTAAAACTTATCTATAAAATGGCTATCTTAAAATCTTAAAAAAAATGTTAGTAAAAAAATTAATTTTTAAAATATTTTTAGTAATTGCAAAAAATAACATATTTTAAATATAGTTCTATATTGTCAAAATTGATTAAAAAAAAAAAAAAGTATAGAATGTTATGTAGATCATAAGTTATATGAGTTGTCAATTAGATCCATTCCACTTTGTATAATTAGTTATTTGTGGTTGATAAAAAAAAAAAATTTACAAATGAATATTTTTATTCATCTCTTATAATAAAAAATATCCACAATTAAAAACAATTGCTTGATGATAAGATTGGAGAGGTACAATTGTCTTAGTTGCACCACGTAAATATACCACTTACATATACAGATCTTAGTTAATTTAATATTTTAAAACTTTTTAAGAATAAGAAGTTAATTATGGATGTATCACCATATAATTTATTACTAATTAATTGAAAATGCAATATTAGCAAAATGTCCAACAAGCTACTTCATAATTTTTAATTAACAATCATTAATACTTTTAAATATACAATGTATAATATAAACTTTAATACAATATTAAACTTACTGCTTTTTCTAGGCGTAAAATCAAAGCATTAATTAAAACAAATATAATGGCTGTAGATTTTGTCATCGTATACCTAAAATTTTAATTAAAAAATAGTAATATAAAAAATAGTTGTTAAATGTAAAAAAAATTAAATACTTACAAAGAAATATTAACGAGTTCTAATCCCCAGTTAGATAACCCTACATCAATACCACTTGAGATACCAGTTGGCCCAAATTTTGAAACATTTACATCCCAGGAAATTTGTACATTTTGTATACTTGTAGCCTTATGATATATATAACGAAAAATCGTAGACATAAAATATTTTAAAATTAAATGACATGAAACAACCAATAGTGGAAACTGGAATAACTATAAATAAAAATAATTACATTATCAATGTTCAATCTGTGCAATTAATAAAAATACAATTTAATTTAATTTCTTCATATTGTTCTATAAATATTTTGTAAAAAAGCCAGAGCAGTTTTTTTTATTGTTATTAGTTTATAAGACATCCAAACTAAATCTAATTTTAGAAACATATATTTCATTCAGGTTAGATACTTATATCAAGGAGTAATACCAATATAAAAAAAAACAAAATTTGGTACAAAACTAAAATAATTAAGGCTAAAAATTTAAAAAATAAATAATTTTAAAAGTGAATAAAATAAAAATAAAGATTTAAAAAAATGATTTATTCAAATATATATACAAGAAACAAGATGTTTTAATGATAATCAATAAAAAAATTATCTTACTGACAAAATAATTTTTTTTTTTTAAGAAAATTTAATAAATTTTTGTGAAAGTGTTACTCATAAAAAAATTTCTACCTGTAAAAACCATCTTTGAAAAAATGTTAAGCCAATTGAAAAACAAAAATAGGGCAATATTAATATGCTAGTAAGAACAAGAGATTGCAGCCGAAGCAACATAGCTAATAAAGTACAGATTTTCAAACTATAATTTTATTTGTTGCATTTTTTAATCACTGATGTGGCATAAACAACATCTTTCATTACGATTCAAAAAATGTATTAATATAATATATATTAACGATTCAATTAAAAAATTTCTTGGATGCCCAAAAATTATTATTATAAAACGAATTCTATACAAATAGTTAATTGTTACAATTAATATCAATTATTTAAGTAAACTAATAATTCAGCAATATTAATTGAACAAAATAACAACAACCTGCGAGCTTGTAGATATTACTACCACTACAATATTCCGATTATCACAAATCAATGGTTGAATACACCTGAAGTGATAAGACTATCTTTGTCAAGCGTAGTAGATTGCAAAACAAAATTATCCCATGCTCAACATAACTAATTTCAATAATCAATGTAACATCTTCATTAAATAGATATTAATATTAAAAACATAGAATCTTTATTAAATATATGTAATTATCTATAATATTTATAATCTATATCAACTCTATTTCACATCATCTATTATTAAAGGCAATGCTTCGTCGTTGAAGCTACTTCTCTCTGTATAATTCCACTCTCCAGTGAAACAAAAAACAGGTCATGAGTTCTTGGATATGATTTTTTTTATTATTTCCCTGCGTGTCATCAAGATTTGTTTTCCAGTTAATTTTCCGTCAAAAATTTTGGTTATAAAGTCGTGTGATTTGTTCAACTAATTTTATCTTCCTTGATTCAATCATTGTTCTTCTTCTTCTTCTTGGGTTTATAAGGCCTTTAAGACCATCCCGTCTCACAACCAAGCTAGCTTCCAGCCTTCTCTGTCCACTGCCAAATCCCTCCAATTGGACACACCTCCCATCTGCTCAACATCCTTTTTTACAACATCTTCCCAGCGCATTCTTGGTCTTCCCAAAGGTCTTTTACCTACAGGATTTTGTTCAATCACTGCATGTAGAAGTGGATTTTGGTTCCTCCAAGCATGGCCGGCCCATCGTAGTCTTCTTCCTCTAATAATCTTTAATATATTCGGACCACTATATAGTGTTTTTAGTTCTATATTCTTTCTTCGTCTCCACTCCCCAGTTATTTCGTCCTTGACTGGGCCATATATTTTCCGTAATACTTTTCTTTCAAAGGTAATAAATCTCTGTTCGTCCATTTTTCTAAGTGGCCATGTTTCTGATCCATATAATATAACCGGTCGTATCAGGGACGTATATAATCATTGTTCTCCACATTCATATCTCAGTTGCTTTCAGTTTTTCTTGTTCAAACCATTGGTCTTATTTTTCGTCATATTTATGCTCGTTATAATAAATAGATTGAACAAATAGGGCGTCATACGACATCATTAAGTCATTCATTGCCTTATTCTTGCTTTTTTTACTAATCATTTACATCTATTTCTTTTTTTTGATATTTATATGAGTTGAAAATAATCAGTCTATCTTTCCAGTCAGTCCCTTTTTCTATTAATATCTTAAATAAAATCCTCCAATTCACTTTATCGAAAGACTCCAAGTCTATGAAAGTTGAAATAATATTTCTATTTCTATTTTCATTATAATTCTTTTCTCTAGGATATATCTTAATACTAATATTACCTCTCTTATTTCTCTTCCTTTCCTAAATCCAAATTGATATATTTTGAATTTTATATTTAGAAATTAGTATTCTAGAGCAGACATACATGTTAAGTACTAGCGCAAGTCCTTAACTAGCAAGACACAAATCATGCTACATTTTAGATAAATCGAAACTAATTTTATAAATTTGTAACCAGAAATAATAAGTTGTTTAATAAGGAAATTATGAGTAAACTCATAAGGCTATAATCAAGTAACTAAACATGATTAATAAATTATAGATAGTACAATCAATTAAATAAATAAATTACTATCTTCTTCTTTGGCTTTTTAAAGGCCTAAAGGCCCATTGACGTAACAACATATTGTCTTCAATCTTCTCTGTATTTTGCCTTTTCTTCTGCATTCCTTACTCCCAACATTTTCAGGTCTTTTTTAATTCTCTCTGTCCATTTTTTTCTGGGTCTCATAGCTTTTGGTTTCCATGGAATTATTTGTCCAATTAGTTTTTTGATCTACATACATACATCTCTCAAACACTTTTAGCTTTTTTCATCTGATTGTGTTGTCGCTCAAGTACTGCTTACATATAGAGTTATGATCTTGACTAGAACTTTATATAATGTTACTTTGGATTTTCTTCATAACAGTTTTAACTTAAACAATGATATCAGTCCATTGTAACACCTGTTTTCTGCGATGAGCCGTTTTTTAACTTCTTCATGACTGTTAGCATCTTTATTAATATTTGTACCTAAGTATTTAAAATTTCCTATCCTTTCAAATGTGTAGTCATTTACTTTTAAGGAATCTGTTGTGTGATTTTGTCTAGATACTATCATGTATTTTGTTTTTGTCTCATTAATTTTGAAGCCAATTTTTTTCTCTTCCTTCTGCAAGATATCTGCTATATTTTTTTGATGTTATCTGTTTCGGCTAATAAGACAATATCGTCCGTGTAAGTAATTGCTGTTAGATGTTGATTGTTTTTTTTTTCTATGCCTTGGCTTGGGACATTATTATCCTCATAACTGATTCTATGGCGATATTGAACAGTGCAGGTGATAAAGAGTCACCTTGTCTGAGACTAGCCGTTACCTGGAACTCTTCAGATAATTCTCCTCTAAAACTAATTTTACTTTTTCAATCATAAGTACATGCTTTTATTAATCTGGTTAACTTGGCTGGTATTCCTAACTGGCCCATAACTTCCCATAATTTTTCTCTGTTGATTGAGTCATACGCTGCTTTGAAGTCAAAGTAGGTGTGTATCTTTATATAATTCATGACTCTTCTCATCAACGTTTTTTACTATGTATATTTAATCTATAGTTGATTTTCCTAACATAAAACCAGTTTGGTATACTCCAATTATTTCTTTGATATAACGGTTGGTTCTGGTCAGTAGTAAGTTAGACAATAGTTTATATGTTGTATTGAGTAGTGAAATCCCTCTATAATTTTCACACTCCATGATGTCTCCTTATTTGTGTACAAGGCATTGAGTGGATATGCGCCATGCTTTGGTTATCTCCTCTTGTTCTCATACTATACTCATAAGTCTATGAAGTTGTTTCAGCAGACCTTGGCCTCTCTTTTTTAGGCATTTAGATACTATTTCATCATCATCCAGTGCTTTTTCACTTTTTAGTATATCTAGTCCTCTTTTCACATCTTCTTTTGATAGTTTTTCCAGCAGCTGTTCTACAGTAGTGTATTCATATACAGTAATATTTCATTTGGTTGGTTTAACTATTTTTCGAACACATCTTTAAATTCACATTCAATTTCTTTGCTTTCTGTTAGTAAGGATCCATCATTTTTCTCCATTACAGTTGGTCTAGTTTTAAATCTATGTTTCACCTTCATTTGTTTTTTTGAATGATATTTTGAAGTTGTTATTCCTGTTGTTTTTAATGGTGTGTACCCTTTCTTTTTCCCATAATTTCTTATTCCTTCTGATTACCTTTTTTGCATTTCTTTGCTTTTGTGCTAGTAGCCTTTAATTATCTTCACTGGGGTTCTGTAAAACTTTTGTTCATGCTTTGTCTGTTTTCTCTTGTGCATCCATACATTCCTTGCTAAACCGTGTTTTCTTTGCCTTTTTTGGTACATATCCAAGTACTTTCTTTGCTGTTCTTTTGATTGCTTTCTCCAATGTTTCATTGAAGTTAACTATTTCTTATATGTTTTTTCGATATTCTGAGAATGATGTTTGCTTTCACAAAGAAATAGTCTAACATTGCACTACTTTCTCGCATACTTCTTATATATCTTTGATGTATGATTTTATCCAGTTGTCCACTAACATGTAATTTATTTGGTTTCTTACTAACCCACATGGGAAGATCCATATTTGTTTGTGTATATTCTTATGAGGAAAGTATGTGTTACTTATATTCATATTTTTAGTTGTGACAAAAGTGATTAGTTTATTTTCATTGTCATTCATAATTTCATGTAGGCTTTCGGATTCAATTGTTGGTTTATATATGTTATCCTTTCCAATCCCCTAATACTATTTTCGTTTTGTCAGCTAGTAGGGTGCCGCACAACAAATCTTAATCTTCATAAAATTTGTTTATTATGTCATCACTCTTAACTTCTGTTATTAAATAAATCACTATAGAAATGATAAATATTTATCAAATTTTAGGCCTATCTAAAAATTTAGGAGGCTCTTTTTGTAACTTAAAATTGAAAAACTAGAAAATATTTAGCTTTATCGTTTGATAAGGCAAGAAGTAACTAACACAAATTTATTTGGAAAATAAATTAGGCTTGTAAACAATATAGTAATTGATGGTTATAATAATTACGAAAATATCCTGGTTAATACAGTGTCAATTTGTAGAAATTTTTGAAGACGCTAATTGTATTTTCTCCTACATTAAAAAAAATAATTATATATCTGAGAGACAAAACTCTCACTATGCTTGTATTAGTCAAATCAGAATAATATTTAAATCTAAAAACAATCATATCTTCAATAATTAAGTTTCTTAATAGTTGAAGCTAAGTTAAAATGTATAATTACCAAATTGGGTGGTTTAAGTTCAATTTATTTTTTAAGAGATAGGCACTGGTATAACTAGATGAAACCTTAGCTCCTTTATACTTAAAACTAGTGTCTGCTTAACATCAAGATTGAATATACAAAAATATTCAATACAACATTTTAGATTCAAATTTGAAGCGAAATTTTGTCTAAGTGACTTATTTTTATTTAAAAGTATAAAAAATATGCATTTATGTCCAAAAAGGAACTCTTTAATTGTGGATATTATTGAGGATTACAGTTTTCCGGGTCCCTAACCTTTACATGACTCACTTCCTCCTTTCCCTTTTAAGTAAAAAGTATAGCAAGTCCATTTATTTCTCATCTGAAATCTGAATATAATACATATACTACTCTAAAAAACCACTGAACACCAATAATCTATAATTGGCTTTATAAGCAAGAAAAAAATTGGTTTACAATTATATTTCTTACCTGAAGTTATATAAACATTTTCAACATGTTTTTGGTAAAATACTATCATCAAATATCATAATATTATCTAGATCCCCATTTACAACAGCTTGTTCAATTACATTCCTTCTTTCATCAATTGTACTCATTATATTCATTAACCCTTGATTGACAATAGTGAATTCATCATTACATGTTATTTGATTGACAATAATTTTCATTTTTTCTATAATAGAAGTTCTTTCATTTTCAATATTAGTCAACTCTTGCTGGTAATCTAAAACTTGATTATCTTGTAACATCTAAAAAATATAAACAGAATTTTTTGAAATTAAATGTCATTTTTACAGAAGATGATATGAGGGATATAATTTCTATATAATGGAAATAGGATAAAAATAAATATATGGTAAAGATATATTTTGCAGGGATAATAAAAAATTTCTTATGTATATCCCCCCCAAGACTAAACTCTGAGAAAGCCACTTATATACCAATACTTGTAAACCTTTTGGTATAATATTACTATAGTTGAGACATTATATCTTGCTAAGAAAAAAAATATTCAATAAAAGATAAAATTAAATATTATCAATAATAACGATAAAAAAAAATTGTATAGGTTAGCAGTAAGAAATAAAACCTCATAATACCTATAAAACTAAGAATGACTTCTTTTTAACTGTGCTAAACAGGTAACCTACAATTAATAATCTGAATATTACTAATTAAACGCCATACATAAAAATATATTTTGTGACTTAAACCCAAAGTTTAAATATTAGAATTACCTCATGATTGAATTCTAGCATAGAAATATGATTTTGAGATTCAATTATTTGTTGAGCAATATTTATTTCAAAAACGGGTCCTATTTTATCTTGATTTTTAGTTTCATTATGGGTTTCCATTAACTCTTTGTTAGATTTTTGTGCATCATTTTCATTAACAAGAGATTTTCCACTATTAACATTAAATAAGTCTTCTAGGTCACCATCAAATACATTGGAATTTTCTATAGAATAGTTTGTTTTACGAAAACTTTCAGCCGATTTGACTTTTTTTTTTTTTAAAGTTTCTTTTAATGAACTTTTAATTGTTACCAAATCTTTTTTAGTTAGGTGATGAAGACGACTAGATGAATTTAAAGTTTTAACTACATTTAAAATATCATCATAGTTAGTATTGGGCATTATAAGTTGTTCTGCTAGAAAATCTTTTTCATTTTGTGCTAATGTTAAACGTTTAGGCTCTAATTCATGACCAACATGTGTTTTAATGTAAAGTACATTGACTTCATTTCCCTCCACCATAACATCCATTCTAGCAGGGCAATGATATCCAATTTTATTAGTTCCTAATGATTTTAATTTTCTTATATTTTTTCCTTTAGGTTTGTATTTACCATCACGATGACATTTGAAAAATAAATGTTTAGATCCAGTTACACCAACATAAGTTGAACGAGCTTTAACAAATCTAAAATAAAGAAAGTTATGAAATAAAGATTTTAATACATTTTGAAACTAAATTTGATTTTAACTATATTAAATATATAAAAATGAACAATATTATTTCAGGCTAAAAATTTTAGTTTTTATTAATTGTTTTTTTCCTAGTACAGTGAAATCTCCTTTTAACCCTGTGAACCAAACTTTTTTCATTAAGAAGTTACTGTTTAATAAAAGTTAAATTTAATCTTTACAAAAATTAGGACCATAGAACTTTTCCATTAAAAAGAGGTTTCCTTCTAATAGAGGTATGTTGAATGGTGGTGTCACTGTGTATAAAAAATATTTCAATCATTATTAACTATCAATAGTATACAATGCTATAGCCGTTAGCAAACCTCATCAAAAAATCCTGTATACTCTACTGTTAACAGCGAATTAAAAAAACATTACATATATCAGTTTACTATGTAAAATTTTGATCAGAATTTTCTAGTTATACTTTTGCATAAACATTATATTCTAACTATTTTACATTAGTGACATTAGCTCACCTAAAACAATATTAATTTCAACCTTAAATGGTGATTTTTTTAAATTTAAATATTTTAAACACTAACCTACTTATATCTTGTTCTTCAACTTCATATTTCCATCCAAAAAATGCATCTAAACTATTAAATTTTAGTTTTTCACTAACAATTTGTGTCTGATGACATAATACATAATGTGTGGATAGATTATTTTTTGTACATTGATGATTACAAAATACACACGATGCATTTAAAATATTATCATTTCCATTTTGATGAACATTTTTTATATGTCTAGTGAGCATAAATTTTAATTGTGAACTGTAGCCACATTCAGAGCATGAATATACAGAAATTGTAACTTTATGTTTCACATTCATGTGTCTATTTAATGACTGTTTATAAGCAAATGTTTTCTGACAATGAGAACAAATAAAATTTTGATTGTTTGAATGTTTAGCTAATACATGGTTATTCAAATTATTTTTTTTAGAAAAAGTTTTATTACAAACATTACACTCAAATTTTTTATCATTTACTTTAGACATTATAATAATAATAAAATAAATACGTAAAGCAATTATTTAAAAATTATGAAATATTTAACCAAACTTATTACAATAAATTTTGCACTTAATAAAATGCTATTTATTTAAAATTAAAAACAAATTGAAGAAGTAACCAAATGATAAAACAATTAATAAACTTTAGATTTAATTTGTAACTCAAAATAAAAATTTAGTGAATTAAAATAAGATTTATCATATCACTAAATTCTGTTATGTTATCACAGATTTTACATTAATCCAATCATAGACATGTAAATACATATGTATTTATATCTATGAATGTGATCACTGTTAAATGATACAATGTACATAGATTTAGTAAGTAAATATTTATTATTTAGTTTTCCTTTATATGAATGACTCACAAATAAAAATTAATACAATTACAAGTAATTTAATTAATTTCTAAAGAGAAATATTAATTTTTTTGTATACTTTTATGACTTTACATTAATGAATTATTATTGATCAATTAAAATCTCAATTATTCATTAGAAAAACATAATAAAAAAAAATATATATTAACATTTAAATATCTATATATTTTACAAATAATTTCATGTGTTCTTTACCAAATGACTCGTTTTTATTTGCAAATATGGATGATTCTATACATTCTCTATCATCATCAGACTCTGCTTCATCTGTTAGTTCAGCGTCACTATCAGACAATTATTTAACAATAAATGAAGTAAATCATTATAATTAAATTATTTTTTTTTTTTGCCTGTAATTTAGTGTTCCTTTTATAGAATAGTTTAAATGAAAATTTATTAGAAAAAGAGATAGAAAAATGCAATCAAATGATTAGGATGACCAAAGAATGCAGTGAAAATCGAATGAGACTTGTCAGGAGACTAGTCGAGTTAAGACTAAAATTAGTAATGGCAACTGAAGTAAAAACTTTAGAAAGTAAATCTAGTGTAAATGAATCCAAATTAGTAGTTGGACATCACTTATCACTAGTGTGGAAACCAAATTGGTTGGAAAATAAGTTTTGTGATGTATGTACTAAAACTATATGGATTTACATGCAAGAGTATTATGAATGTGCAGGTAAAAATAGTTTAATTACCATTTAATATATATTTTTATATTGATATATATATATATATATATATATATATATTAACTAGACTATAACTAGAATAAAAGTTCTTTGCTATTTATTTAATTTATATAGCAAAGTAGTTAGTTCACAAAATATTTTTGTCCAAAAAAAAAAATGTTTAATTCTGTAAATATTGCATTATCAGTTATATTATGTCAATCTGTATTGTTTAGACAATAACAGAACAAATTTATTATTTTTTCTTAAACAAGTAATTAGTCAATTAGTCAAACGTAAATAGTTTATTCAATATATTAAATTTATAAATGCATATAATTCTGGGCTCTACTAATTATAAATCACACTGATAGTGATGCACTTTATGATGAAACTTAAACTAGCAAAAAGACAAAAGAGAAGTCAACAAGCAAAATCCAGGAATCATAAGACCAGCTGGTATTGTTGCAGACTAAACTGAATAGAATCAGAACTATATTGTGAAAGCAGTCATTTACTTAAAAAAAACCTGTACAAATGAGAGTAAAAACAACAAATCTCCATAGAACTAAGCACATTACACTTCTGTCAAAACCTGGTTTTTATCATAAAATTCAATATAAGATATACACAATGGACTATAAGTTCTGAGTGCATATGCCACCCTTCTAATAACTAAACTAGATTAAACATTCTTATAGTTAAATATGATCTCTCATATCCTATGTTAATTGGCATTTTTTTGTGTTTGTTATTTAATGTAACCATCACAATTCGATGGACTCTGACTAATAAAGGGTAGAAAATGAATAACTGTGATTGTAAAAGAGATTGAATATAAAAAATAGAGTAACTAACTCCATAAAATTGAAAAAGAAAAGGAAGTATTAGTTGTTAAGTTTTATCTTAATTTTCAATACTTTTTAATATTTTATGATAGGAACATAATTATCATAAATTGCACTAAGAGTAATTTTATAATTATACCATTTTACAAAATTTATTTGTAAAAAGTTTAGGCCATGTATTCTATTTTTCTTAAAAACTTTCTATTATTATATAGCTTCTATAACAATTATTAAAATAATAATATAAAAAAATTATTTAGATTGTGGATATTACTGTCACATATTTTGCATTGAAAAAATTAAAAGAGTATGCTCTGCAATTGTAGCTAGTGAAAATTCTATGATTCTTAATATATGTCCCTATAAAGGATTATTATCACAAGATTACAAATGTGCTGAATGTCATTCTTATATTCGTGTCAGGAATTTAAAAGTATCACAAGGTAAAATTTTCTTTGAAACCTGCATTAAGATATGTATATTTATCATTAATAATGTTTTCTGTGTATATATGTATATATATAGGATTATTCATTAAGGATAAGATACTCATTTATTGGAAGCTATTCAAAATTTTAAATTTTCATAAAAGAAAATACTGTTTTTCTTCTTTTTCCTCGCCTTAATCCCAACTACTGGGTGTCGGTCACTCATATCTTAAACTTTTACTAGACATAATCTCCTACATCATCTATGCTCACAACAGACATCCTCATATCTCATTCAATTACATTCCTCCATCTCTTTTTTGGTCTTTCTCTGCCTTCCTCCCTATTTCCTCCTATTAACACTATATCGTCAGCGAACAACATGCACCACGGCACCTCTCCTTGTATTTGTCTAATAATTTTATCCATCACTGTAGAAAATAAGTAATTACTTAAAGCAGAATCTTGGTGCACTCATATTTTTTCCCTAAAACCTTCTGTTACTCCTCCTATGTTTTTTACCCTGGTACAAGTGCCATCATGCATATACTCTATTATTTTAATATACCTTTTCGGGACTCCTTATAAAATAAAATACTGTTTCAAAAAACTCTACAATAATATGTATTTAAATAATTTTATTTTCATCTCTTCAAGGATAAAAAAAAACTTTAATTTTCTTCAATGAGAACCTTTATTTTTAGTTAAAATATAAAATATGAAAGAAAAAAAAATTTCAAAATTAAAACTTTTTTATTTATTTATTTTTTTTTTATTAGTTTTAATTATGAAAATATTATAGCTCTACAATTACTACTTTTTTTATTTAAACCGTTTGTGTTAAAAAAAAAAAAAAGATTAAATATTTATATTTTAAGTACAATACCATAATTAATTTTACTTTCATAATACCAAAGGCAATAATAATCTATTTTATTAGACTATACATTTTTTTTTTTTTGGTAAAATTAAGCAAATATTATTGCCCCTGTCATTTAACAATGTACAATATTAAACTTGTTTTGAATATATGATGTATATATCTATTAAAAGACATAAATTATTAAAGATAAGATTTCTGTATAATAGATAATATAATATTGTATCTGTGAAAAATGATGACATTATGCTAAAAGGCAAATTATAGAAAATTTTTCAAAAATCTCTAAAATTAAAATTAATTTCTTTTATCCCTGAAGAAAAAGAAAAACAATTATTTAACATAATATTGTTGTAGAAGAGTTTTATGAATCAAACAATATTTTTCTTTACAAAAATGAAAAATGTTCAAAAGCTTTTAAAAAAAATGAGTGTCTTATGATTTACTTATGAGGGTGTCGACTTTAAAATAAAAAAATTCTCAATGTTATTTTTATTTTTTGATTAATTAAGTGGTATATAATAAATAAATTATCCTATATATATGAATATATTTCTTGAAATTTTGTTCAGAAGATAAAGTTTCTCTTGAAGCTCGCTTATGTGACTATGATGGAAAATACTACTGTCCATTACATCACTGGAATAATTTGGCATTAATACCAGCTCGAGTAATTTGTAATTGGCAATTTGAACAGCAACGAGTGTGTCAAGCATCTTTTCAATTACTTAAGTTTAATTACAAGAAAAGAATTTATGATTTAGAGCAACAAAATCCAAAACTATTTATTTACCTCGAATCACTAAGTCAAGTAAAAGTAAAATCTTTATTGTACAAATTTGTTTACATTTTTATTATAATTCTAATATTTCTATGCCTTGAGCTGAAAAAGCCTTGGTACACAGGCTTGTATAGACCTATAAACTAAAAGAATAATATTTGATGAGTGAAGCCAGAGGAAAAATTTTTTAGTGAGAATAATGATAGTACTCAAACTGTTTCTTGCCTAATTCTAAATAGAAATAATTTACATTACCTAAACTATTTTCTTTTATTCTTACTCAATTGTCCCCAAGTACTTTGGCCTAAGTGGTATGGTAGACACTGTCCATTATTTTCTGTATCTATGATTTGGACAGAGTTTATGTGAAGAGATTAAGTCAATATTACATATTATTGCTTTATATATCGATTTAGAAGTAAATTTTGTATCAAATTCAAATCACAGTTTATTTAAATTTTCAAAAAAAAGAACTTTTTCAAATTTTTAAATAGACAATTTATTTATTTTAATAAATAAAACTATCAAAGTACAAATATATTTTATGAATTATTGAATTTTTTAGTAGAAAAATTCATCTTAGAACTATAATAATTTGTTTCAGAGTATTAAAGAAAATTTGACCAAAATGAAAAAATATTTAGTTTTATGTAAATATTGGAATTCTTGCATAAAATATTTATCACCTAGATGCAACGAGTTGCTTTATAATTCAAAACAATACAGTATAAAAGATATGGTTGAAATAAAATCTGGAAAATTTTTAAATGATTTAAAAACTCTTAAAGAAATATGTGAAAAACATATTAAGTTAGATTGTGAAGTAAGTTTTCTTAATTTTCTCATTATTTTTAGTATTTGTTTAAATTTTATTTGTCAAATAAAATTAATGTATTAGATCTGTAAAAATCAAGGATACTTTTGTGAACTTTGTAAAAATGATAGCATTATATTTCCATTTGATGAAGAATCCCGTGATTGCAAGAAATGTAATAATATTTATCACCATCAGTGTTGGTACAAAAGAGATTTTTGCCCGAAGTGTAAAAGAGTTGAAGATCGATCAAAATCACAAGATACCAACTTATTGGAATAGTTTATTTGTAATATCAAAGATTGAAGATGATGTAAAAAAATTTCTTTGAATATATATATTAAATTGTTTTTAAACTTAATATTCTATTTAGTATATATTAATACTTCTAATATAATTGTGACAATGAAAGTAATTACTGTGATAAAAATTTTTGTAATTTATTAAATAAATGTTTTAATGTTACATTAAACTTTTTATATAAATAAAAATAATTGTTTGTTCAGATAACAAACAATTAATTATTAGTTTTTAAGTTCATCAATTTAACTAAAATTCTTCTTTTTTCCTCACCTTAATCCCAGCTACTTGGGGTCGGCTACCCTTTTCCTAAACTTTTACTTGACATAATCTCCCATATCATCTATGCTCATATCAGCCATCCTCATATCTTTTCTAGTCATTCCACTCATCCATCTAAGCATTCTCATCGCTGCTCTACTTTCTTACCAACTGCCTAACACTGAACCATACATTATAGCTGGTCTCACTACAGTCTTATAGAATTTACCTTTCAGCCTCTTTAAAATTCTTTTATCGCATAAGATGCCAGACGCTTCTCTCCACTTCAAACACTTGCACTTAACCATGTGTCTTACATCCTCGTCAATACCACTACTCTTTTGCACAATTCACCCTAAATACTTAAAACTTTAAACCCTTTTCTTTGAGAGCTGATCTCCACATCTGTAGCCTTTGATTAATTTTCTCCTATTAACACTATATCGTCAGCGAACAACATTCACCATGGTACCTCTCATGGTAATTCTCTAGTAATTTCACTATAGAAAAGAAGTAAGGGCTTAAAACAGAATCTTGGTGCATTCCTAATTCTACCCCAAAACCTTCTTTTACTCCTACGCTTTTTACCCTGGTACAAGTGCCATAATACATATCCTCTATTGTATTAATGTACCTTTTCAGGACTCCTTTTCTCGGAAAAAAATTGTTGTAAATAATTTTAAGTAAAATTTTTTTCTATTCTCTGAATAGACAATTACATAGAAAACAATTCTATTATGAACGCAATGATTAGGATTGGTAATTACTAAATCTTAATAATAAAATATTTGGCATATTTTTGGATGTTTCTTGAGGGTGTTTATTGCGTTTTTTGATTTAAAAAAATATTACATTTATTCTAAAGTAATTATATAAACTCTTTAAGTGCTTTTAGGCAATGATGTAGTTATAAATTTATTAACGCTTAAAAATATTGATAGACATTACATTACTCGATTATCAATTTAATAACTTTTAAATTATACAATATCACACATTTAAATAATGATATAATATATTAATTGTGTTAAGTTTTTAAGTACCCCTCTATTTAGGCTTGATGACTATAGTTAGCATTATGTTCATTTACAAATAACACACAATTTATTTAAAACCGTATGCGGCTGCACTGGAAATATTAAGCATGTCTGGTTGTTTCTTATAGTATACAGCTATGAAAAGAAATACAATCAGTGCACTGTCGTACGATCATCTAGTGTAGTTGTTGATTGTGGAGTATGTATAGCTATTCCAACGTTTTCGTTAAACCGTAATATAAAATAATTTGTCAGATTTTAAAATACATAATTATGTTTCATTAGAAATTGTTAAGAATAAAGTGTCGGAACAAGGTTTTATTCAGTGAACAATAAAAAAAAGAAGCAATCCTGGAGTTCGGACCCGTAATAAAAAGGTAAATAAAATTTATTAGGCATTTAATTATAAATTAACTGTTTTAGTATGTATATTAAATAAAAGTTAAGTTTTCAAATTTTATATAGAATTTATTTTGTTAGTTCGTACATATAATGCTTTATACTGAAATTTTAATTTCTTACTGTAATCATTAAATTTACTACAGTTTTTTTTTTTTAATCTTATATACAAAAGAGATTCTAGTATAAGGATATCCAATTTTTTCTTTTTAACTCATAAACAAAATATTTTCAGGACAACCTTAAAAATATTTCTATAAAAATGTATATATAATTTTTGAAAGGACCTCCCAAATTGCGCTTAAGTTTTAATTTTTGACAATATATAACCATTAACATTAATAACAACCATTTAAACAAATTTCTTTTACACCCCTGATCATTGTAAGTTTGTAAGTTTTATGATGTCATAATATGTTATTTTTAAATTTTAAAATAAAAAAAAATTTTATTATGAAAAACAAGTAATAAAAAATATGAATTCAACATAGTACGAAAATGCATAAAATAAAAAAAAAAAAAAGTTACAGTAAAATGTTTATTGTATTAAAGAGTTATTGATTAATCAATAAGTGTTGTTTGTAAGATTTGTGCCAATAACCTGTATAATGTTAATTTAAATTTTAATTGAAATATCGTGTGTGATATAGATAAAGTCTTATATGCATACAAAAAAGCAAATGGTTTACTTCATATATGAAATAAAATTTTGGGTTATAAAATTGTTCAAATACTTTTTGTGTGTTTTTTGTTCTTAAAAAAATAAATAAAACGGTATTTTGATTTTTAATATTATATGTCATATTCAACATAAGTGTTTTAAATTTTGTCATTTAAGTCATACATTAGAAATTATTAAAAACAACACTCAACTTTGATGCTTATGAATTACAGTAAATAATTCTGATGATCATTTATTTGGAAGTGTTCAGTAATTAAGGTATTTTTCCCCACTTTATAAATCGGAAAGAATTACCCTAAGGTCAAAATTATGAAATTTATTCAATATCATTGAAAAAAAAAATAATATATTACAGATGAATTCTTTTTACATACCCAATTCTTATATTACAGAATAAAATTGTTTGCATTTTATAATAATTTTTATGAATAAATGCCATTATTTCCAAGAGGGACGATGTACTGTCCGTGGAAGTGCTTTATGCGTATTGTCTCAGATTCGAGACTTAATTATAGACAGCTCAGTTTGCTAAGCTAGAGATCAGTTCAGTAATTGATGTTGCTATTCCTCTCTGGTGATGGATCACCACTGGACTCGGTAATTTAATGTAGAAAGTCTCCTAAAAAACAAACAAATAATAACAAATCTTCCAAAAATAATTTGTAAATATTAAAATCTATACTATAAATATATATATTAATTGAATTTTTTACAGGGCCTAAAATCTTAGGTTTTTTTTTTTGTGTCTATTACCACTTTTTCACAGCTCTCACCGAACCGATTACTTTCAACGATACGTCAAATAATCACAGATTGTATCTATTCGAAGATATTACCCTCAACAATTGAAAAAATTTCCCTCGTTCCCCGTAAATGGAGGAAATCTCCAAAAAAATTGCAAATTTAAAAATCGCTAATTTTTTCAATTTTTTTTACTTAAAACTGTCATTACTTTTTTAAAAATAACCAAATCAATATAAAAATTTTTTTATAGATGCATGATGTCTTTACCTATCATTTGGTATATTTTTTTTATAAATCTGACCCTTTACCTGCTCACGGGGAAGATTCAAAATGACAACTTTTTTTACAAAAAATTAACTTTTGAAAGTGTTTCGGAAAGTCTGACACATTTATATATAAATCTTACATTAAAGCTAATGTAATATACTTTATCATGGAAAAAAAAATTTCGGACTTTATTTTGTCTTCACGGTGAAAATAGTTACCAAATGCTATTTTTGTGTGAAAATTCTGGATTTTATTTTTTACATTTTTAACTTTATAATGCTTTAACTTATTGAAAAGTGTACGGATCAATACAATTTTTTTATGAGAAATAATGTTTCTGTCCCTCTTTCATTCGATATACTTTATCTTAATTAGGTTATAAATAAGGAAATAGCAGATCATGTAGCTTTTGGAATAATCCACCAATTGTTTAAAATTAAACACTATTTAAATATTTGCATCGAAGCGTTTTTTATGATAGTGATTGTAATCACTGTCAGACATCATTATACTTGACCCAACTATACCACGTCACCACAGTGCCGCGTCCCCCTGTGCTGGATTTTTTTAAGTATAATTTTTAACTTGATTTTGTTAATCAGCCAAAAATTATTGCTCCGGAATTATCGTAAATTGTATACTACTGTTATTTCTTGAGGGTTCTGTACAAATATACCAATTGTCCTTGCATAAATATGGCATTTATAGGCGTTAGGTAGAAAACTAGGGTGTTTAGTCCCTCAGAAGTTTAGCAAAATCATATGCACTGGTAAATAGAAATTATATTTTGGTAGGAAAAAATTAAATTTAGCACCCCTAAAAAAATTCACTACCCTACGCCTAAGACGTCATTGCGTGCTACTGAATACGTTGTTTGGACTTATTTTTTAGTTTGATGGAAAATCGTAAAAATCATAATAACAAATACAAACTATTATCGAAATCATACTTTACTAGTTATATGTGTGTATGTGGTTGTAAACACTAGAGGGAGAATCATTATGTGCACATGTTTATTATTTTTATGTATTCCCCTCTAAAATCTGCCCGGAGGTGTACGGTTTTATTTTATGTTTTTGTGCGCGTTTGATGTGCCGTGACATGAGGTCGTATGTGCCCCGAGGCGGCAATCGTGTTTGTGCCTCGAGTAGGCTGTGCTCTTCTCTCTCATCATTACACTCGCTCATTCTGTTCCTCTCTGTCCCGTACCTGTTCCCTCCGGCAGGGACGGCTGGACTTGGCTATGGAACACGCGGGCGGCTCGTTGCTCGTGCCGTATGCCTCAAGTGATCACGGCCGGCGTATATTCATTTCCCACGTGTTTTTCATATTATTACCATTACAAAGCCCGCCGGCATTATTCCCACGAGCCCTCTCCTCATTGCGACTATTCCGCCGACATAAGTCACCTATGTATCGTCTGTTGGGCTCATATTTGGTTTACACCCTTTATAACACATAAACCGTGAATTCACATCATTTTTATATTTTATCGATTAAAACAAATGAATTGTTCTAATAAATATACTTAATTTATGATGATCGTGTTTAACGCCCTCTTTGGAAAGCTTTTGCCTGTGCTAGATTAGACGGGAAATCCTGTGTAGTTCATATGGATTCGAACAACGGCATATACAAAGCTCAGGCACAACACGTTACCGACTGAGTTAGGTAAAAAATTAAAGTAGTGTCAATAAGTTGAACTTTGTTTTACATATTAATTTTTTTAGAATTCGTAGTTTTGTATACTCAGCGTAAACGTTGAATGTGATTACATTATTAACATTGTTATTGAAAACTATCATTTTTTTACGTTTGTCTTTTTAAAAAAATATGAGAGTAATAATTTATGAGGACCTAGAGGTACTAAATATTTTTTGGTAACTTCGTATATACACTTATGTGATGAAATATATAATTGTAATCAATATGTATGTAAATACAATATCATAGAATATTTCTATTGTATGAGGAGTAAAACAGTAATTTTTTATTCAAGACTATTTTTTTAATAAGGTTTTATAAAAATTTAACGTAAGGTAACTCGTCTAATTATCGAACGTTTAAAGATTTATTGGACTTTAATATTATGTATCAGATTTTTTATTACAAATTTAGTACAAATATCTGGTTATAAAATTAATTTTTTCTCCTCCTGAATTTTAATACTTTTAGAAATATCAAATTAAAAACAAACTTGCTAGGTTAAAATTAAAAGTCTTTTATTTGAACGGTATTTTTAATTGCTCATAGCATATTTAAATATTAATATTAGTGTTTTAATTTTTTCATTAAAGACGTGCATAACAAATTTAAATATTTACTCGACTTAAATTCTAGAGAGTTAAAATTTCAAGCAATACCGATGGTGTTCATTTTAGGGGTGGGGGCTTCAGTAACTGAACCAGTTACCCTATTAGTTGTTTTTAGATGACATGTAATATATAAAATAAGAATAAACTATTTTAATTTATTTGTTGGCACTGCTATTGACACAACATACAAATTTAGGATCTTTGCGTGCGCGTTTATGGGCGACATGATTTATAAAACACCCTTTGGATTTACACCTATTATTTTATTATTATTATTATTATTTCCAAAATCAAATTAATGCATTTTTTAATCATACCCATATAGAAAATATTATAAACGAATATTAAATAATAAACTATTAACATATGAATGAAAGATATTGCCTACACTTTGAAATTGTTGTTCTGTCATTTCAATAAAAATAAATACTTGAAAACTGCAGTTTTTTCAATATACGCAAAACATACAACTATTGAAATCAAGTTNTATAAAATAAATACTTGAAAACTGCAGTTTTTTCAATATACGCAAAACATACAACTATTGAAATCAAGTTATATTGAATTAATTAAATAAAAATATATTTTCTTTGAAATTTACACATTTTTAATGCTTTACATTTTTCATTATTTTAATTACTGGTTTATTTACACAACGTGTTCAACCCTTTAAAAAATGTAAATTTTTATCAACCAGTAATTACACAATTATTGAGTGCATGTTTATTCATAATTTAAATTAGAATCACTTAATATGTTAACGACACTAGCGTACATCGTAGGAGAATACTATTCGCACAATAATCCTCTTAAAAAAAATTACTTCGAAAAGTGGGTTTTCAGTATGGTTACATTAATTCTTTATATTACTTTTTAATGTCACGTGCCTTCTGTCCGGTACAACTGGTATCATCAACTAGAGGCAGACTCGGGTAATGCGAATAACAATGTTGACCTTTATGTATCGCTTTCACAGACTTTAGGTAGGCGCCTCATTTTTTCTTCTTTCTGGAATACCAAGATATGTCACATTTTCTCTGATAACCACAATTTCACTAAACGATTTCTTTTGTCGTGAGAATACTAGTTTGGTTGCATACTGAATGAGAATATATATAGTTTTGACTATAATCATAATGAACAATTTTGTAAATTATCATACATTTTTGAAAACCAATATATTTATTTCGGTGTTGATTACTGTAATTATAATTTTCAAGCTATCAAATTCATTAATAAAATTAAACATTTTATTTTGTAAATTTGTTATCAAATTTTGAAAGATAATATTGTTGCACGGATTCAACGGTTTTTCTATACATCACTTACAATAACACAACTCGAAATTTTTCATACAGTTTCCTAAAGAGAGTTTTGCGAGAAATGAGTTTATCATGAAATAGCATAAAATTGTAATTTAAAATCATCTCCTAAAATAAAAATAACATTTTTTTATTTGGATTATGTCACTATTTTTGTCAACGGGCAATATGTAATAATAATTATATCAATTTATGGTTTCTCTTCAATTGAAATCAAATATTATTTTGAAATAATAATCTTATTTAAAAATAAAAAATCGCATATACGTATTTCGGGAACGATGTTACCATCAATAGCGCAATTATACGTGGTGATTTTTTATTATTTTTGTGTCTTTACGAGTTAAATGTTATTAATATTTTTTTAATTTTAAATAATATTATACAAAAGTAATAAACTCTATTAAATTAACTTTGATTTTCAATTTAAACCTTATATTAATCCTACTGATATAACTTTATGTTATTGCAATCATTGTTACAAATATATTCAAAAATATGTATACAAAATAGTAAAATTATTGTATAATTTTACATGCATATATTTGAATACATTTAATTATAATAGAATTATATGTAAATAAAATAAATACTCATTTAACCGTGTGTGTGCTGAATAAGTACAAAATACATGTAACATACCTGATGTTATCTAAGTTGATGTTTATGAAGTAACACTTATGTGATCACTTTTAAAATTAAATGCATTATTTATTTTTTAATGTGTATAAGTTTGGAACTAAATGTTCTTTGTTAATAAAAAATGCTGTCTTTTCGAATTATTTTATCAAATACGTTAGATCATATAGGTAGCTGTTAAAAAAATGAGCCTCTTAAATCAATTATATTTGTTTACAGTTTGAAGATTTATATTTACTATATACTATAATAGTTATCATAACATTTAGTCATTTTCACTTGCATTATGTTCACCCACATAAATCGTGTACGACCCACTACAAATAAAATTTTAAGTGCAATACCTTAAATTCTCCGTCGACTGCAATAGTTGACGTATATAATATTTCTACATAAATATATACTGTTATATATAGAAAAATAAACGTCACTTAACAATATAATAAACACGATGACCTAACTGTGTTATGTGTGGGTGTGTTGTACAAGAAATCTTGATAGTAGTTTTATGAAATCTATACACTCGAAAAATAGCCTTCACTTAATCATTTTTAATTTATATGTGTTATTAAAAATAATATTAAAATAGTGTGTTAACAATAAATGAATATTGTATCACTTAACTTAAAATACTTAATCATCTATAATTAACATCAAATACATTTTTTTTTCAATAAGATACTAGTAAAATATATTTCATTTCTATTATGTTTTGGATTGTATTTTCATTAAAACAGAAATCGTTATTGAGAAATAATATTTTTCTTTTAATCTTAATAAAAGTCTTAAAGCCGAGTAAAAATATAACCAATTTGTATTCTTAAAACAATTTTAGTCGTGCCAGTAACTTAGAACAAAAAAAATTGTTTACTATAAAATAAGACACTTTATAGTAGGGTTTGAAATCGATATTCAAATTTCCATTATGATTTCGATTTCGCTTTTCGATATTTAAAAAAAAATCAATTATCGGACCGATTCTATTTTTGTGTACAACGCTTAAGAATTAATTTGATATAGAAAGTATTTACCAAACTTGTATGTGTACACAAAATAAAAACATTAACAAATTGTTCATAATAATTAAAAATAAATTAGCTATTTTGGTATCCGTTTAAGTATCGTAAATAAAAGTACACCGAAAATAAAAACTGTTTATGGAAAAAATGTAAATGTAATTGGTAAAAACTAATCAAGTACTGAACTTAGTATTAGCCCTTATGGTCACGATTGAGTCGATTAAATAAGGCGTTAGTGAACTACGTGGATCTGATAAAATTAATTTTTACCTAAATCCGAGTCATCATCATTAAACCCATTGTCCATTTTTCTGAACATCTTCCGCGTATTTATTAAATGATTTATTGCCACAGTTGTATCATTTTCACTTGGCATACATGTCCGCGGATCGAGAAACAGTGTCGAAACGAAATACAAAATATAAAAAAAAAAAGATTTATTTTATGATAAAACGTAATTAGAAAACTAACAAATACATTAATTCTTAACAATAAACAGGATTTTCTAGGAGTTTATTTATGTTTTCCTGTCGCATATGGCGAAATATTTTTTGCTAATATTGAACTGTTCATATTGTGCTTTTCCTTCTATTGAATGCCATTAAAATCGCCACATAAAATGTCCTCTCATTGAATAACAATAGTCGCAATGATTTTAATACAAACAATCTAAATAATTAATTATATATTTTTTTTTAGTCCATTTTTACATCGAAAGACGATCAGTTTTAACGATTCTCTAAATATTTTCAACATAATAATAACTAATTTTTTTCAAGTTAAAATGTTCACAATGTCTGTCTATTTTTTATACTTGAAAAAATTTGGTGACATCCCATTAAGATTACTAAGAATCTAGTAAATTGATAGTAACTTTGATTACTATTAATTACTAGACTTTTTTTATGTTACCTTAGAGCAAAGGTATATTGTTTTAAGTGCTCATTTTTGATGGACATGCAACATCATTTTGGAATGGTCTTTTATGCCATTTTGGTGTTTTATTTTTTCTTTTAACCAAGATTTTTTTCCTCGTCAAAATGAGTGGTTCTGATATGCACTTCCAAATTATAGCAGTTATTATCTTTTAATATAAGTCTCAGACAATCTTCAATTTGGCATGCCGACTCAATTTTGTTCATGTTAAAAATAAAATATGATTTCTGTGAAAAATTACTACATGTTTTTATCTATATTTTAATATAAAATACACACGAAACACTTCAATAGCTGACAGTAAACGCACACGAGTGAAAAAACAGTCACATATTTCTTTAATGATAGAGATATGAAACTAGACGACTATAATGTACTAAGACTCGCATAAATGTAATATTGTTCGTTAACACAGTGGTAATTCTTTAAAAACACGATTAAAAATCGTATTTGAATCAAAGTAATGTTCTTCTTATTCCTCGCCTTAATCTCAACTACTTTGGGTCGGACAATCTGAATCAAAGAAATATTGTGGTATATTAAAAAGATCGTAATAGTGTTTATATGTCTAGATTTAATCAAGTTGTAAGAAAACAATACATTAAACACTGGTGGTTACACATCAAGTTTCGGGACTCTTAGAAATTCGATTAGCACGTGGTTGATTATTTTAAACAATTCAACTCGAGTGTGACATTTATTGTACTAATTTTTAGTGAGCATTAAGAACTTTCACAATCAGAAATCAATTTGTACCAGTACTATAAAAATGATAAATTTGTATTATTTAACGTTCGTGGTTCTACTATAAACGACTTTTGTTTTTGTACAATAATCCGCAATCAAATATTAAGATATTATATTTATAGTTTTTGATAACAATTTCATTTAAATTGCAATATCGATTTTTATCGATATTGAAATCGATTTAAATCCCTGTTTTATTGTTGCTAAAAACAATTTGAAAATTCAATATTTATCTAGATACTGGTGATGTATTTTGTTTTTCTCGGTTGAAATAAACAACCACCTGTTGTTAATTACTTATGAATGTATTGATTTTAGGCGAAAGTGCGAAAGTGCTAGAGATGTGGATGGAATGGAACCAAAAGATCTTACCGCGCCTAGATCGTTGTACTCGGGCGCACAAATCAAAATTAGGTATTTATTGTTGAATATTTTCGTTTCGGCGAATTAATATTCCTTCGCGTTGAAATATGTTTTAATTACACGTGTAATCGAATTAAAACGTTTGATTTACAGCAACTCGCCGGCTACATCGCCTACCGTATCTCATAATAGCAATTCACCGTCGCCAACACCGGTAGTACCGACTACCGGTTATAACCACAAAATAATTACAGGCATACCTTGTGTGGCAGCCGCTTCCAAATTCACGGCTCCTGTTCATATCGACGTCGGCGGAACCATTTATACGTCTTCGTTGGATACTCTTACCAAGTGAGTTCTCGGAATGGAGTGTATATTTATAACTAATATACTAATGCGTGTTGTTAAATTTGGGTTAGCTGTGCGTAATGAGGTCTTCCGATAATCACACGTTGTTGTCGTTCAGTGATTTAAACAACAGCGTTGGGTTACGAGAAACAAATCATAAGAGCGATTAAAGACGAAAAGTAGATTTTATTTCGATCATTTCTCTTAACGATCACTGATTTCTGCACGCCAATACTAGTCGCCCTTGGCAATACACGAATACGTTACGCTTCGTTCGTCTCCCAGACAATAAGTTGGATCGTGAATTACCAGTTATAATGTACCCAAGTTATGCATCGGTACATTTTATTATCGTGTTTTCTATGAAATTTTATTAACAGAACAATAATGTGCAATAAAAGGCGATGTTTGTCCAAGATGATAACTGCTAGTATCACTATATTTTACTAGATGTACTTTTACTAAAAGACTCTTAAACCCATTTTTCATGCAAAGCTGTTCTAGTGTATATTTTATTCATTCCGTTGCTATAGTATTTACTCGAGTTCTACACTTATCTATCCCAGCGATTTTTATTTTTTTATTTTATTTTAGATTTTTATAAGTTTTGTTATCTTAATTAATAACGATTTTCAATTACAGTTGAGGTGTACATTACTAAAATGATAAAACCTTTATTTTTATTTATAAACTTTAAACTTTTATATTATTTTATTAAAAATCGAATTTTAAGAAATCTAACGTAACTCATTTCACAACAAGTTTCTACTTGATAAAATAAAGCGCAAAGTATGTCAGATAAAAAAACTAGAACTTTTTCAACGGACAAGTGTACAAATTGCTAATCGTATGTGATGATTCTGAAAATTTAACAACTCAATGAACTTTTTTTTATTGGGTGGCCGCGATGGGTGTTCCTCACACTCTCCTCCGTATTCACTACTATGGTGTATATATATAAGTACAAACTCTTAAAATAATATGCTCCTAAATTATTTTTTAAAGTTGAATTTATTTCTTTTAGAATTTCATTTTATTTAGCGGGTAAAATCATTTCGTTTTATATTACAGAAATCCAGATACAAAATTGGCAAAATTATTTAATGGTAGCATACCTATTGTGTTGGATTCGTTAAAACAACATTATTTCATAGACAGAGATGGCAAAATGTTCAGACATATTCTCAATTTTATGAGAAACTCAAAACTGTCTTTACCTGAGAACTTTACCGATATCGATTTACTGTTGGAAGAAGCAAGATATTTTGAGATAGCTGGTAAACACATTAATAAAATACTGAAAATTACTAATAACATCATATTGCGTTGGATTTGAACTCAATAGCACAGTTACAAGTGTTAGTAGGGTGAATTGATACTCTATCAACATGATTAAGTATATTGAATACACTCAAAAATTGAGAAGTGAATTTATATACTTATAAAATGCTGTGAATTTTTGTAAACCCAAAATATTCTTTAAGGGCAATTAATAGCTATAAAAAAATGATTTTTATTTTTTTCAAGTTTATTTGCTTGGAATATTTAGATATTTATTTACCTTAATAAAATCTATCAATAATTAAGATTTGAATAAATATTATGTAATTCAGTCTTGCCATACCTACGCCTATCTGTTCGAAGACGAGGTCAAAAACGTAAATATCCGACCAACAAAAAAATATTTTGTGCAGCTGTGAAACTTTTTTTTCGATAATCGTCTTTCATCAACTAAAATACTCCGTCTTTGTGGCTTATCTGAGAAACGGGATGGGAAGTTATTATACCCAAATACTCAATAAAAAAACACCTCAATAATGTTTTGCAGCTATGCATTGGTTGAAAATGAACGAATGAAAAATATTCATAGCCATATATCTATCTTATAATATAATCTATAGTTTTCAAACATAATAACAGGTTATTTTTAACTTGATCTCGCTGGAGCAGAAGTAATAATTTGACATAGTATCGCATTTCCTTCAGTCGCATATCACGTTATCAAACTATGTGCAAGTGTATCTAAATCAGAAGTGTTAAGGTTTGTCTTTACGCCGCCTTAGGTCGCGGGTTCCAATCCCGTGTCTCTTTCTGTCACTTGATTTCCGGTACACTTTTAATGACCGGCGGTTGTATTATATACAATAACTTTATTTTAGAAAAATAGAAAAGCGTTCGATAAAATATTATTTAAATACCATTTAATTTAATATTTTCTTGTTTTAGCTATGTGCAAGCAGTTAGAAAACTTGAAACGCGATCGAATGAAATCAGTTGTTAATCGGACGAATGGTTGGGATTTGAATGGTTCCGTCAGTCGACCCAACAGTAGCCTGTCCAACAACAAAGAACAATACGAATGCGTGTCCGTTCATGTGAGCCCTGATCTGGGGGAACGGGTTATGTTGTCCGGCGATCATGCGGTTCTCGATGAAGTTTTCCCGGAAACGGGACATTCAGCGTTGGAACCATCGGCAGGAAGACCGGCCGTTTCCTGGACTCCTGTAGATTCTAGACACCTCGTCAGATTCCCGTTAAACGGGTACTGCAAACTCAATAGTGTACAAGCGATAACCCGGTTACTAAACGCTGGTTTCACAGTAGCTGCCAGTACGGGCGGTGGTGTACACGGACAACAATTTTCCGAGTACCTGTTCGTTCGTAAAATGTCCACTTGACAACAATTTCACTTATATTTTTAAGAAAATATTTACTTATTGTTGTAGACATCCTACGCGTTATGATTGTAAATTATTTTTGATTTTTTTCAAGACCCGCGCGTCTTGGTTTGTTAACCCAATTTATATGATACTTTTAATTATGTGTAAATGTATAATTAATCAATTTACAATTTTGTATCAAAGTTTATAATATATTGTTGCTTATAAATAAAATTAATTGGTACAACATGATTTCCTTCCATTAAAATAATACTAATAATAAATTATTTATTAGCCACTAAAATTTGCATCCCTAAAAAATTATAATTTTACAAATACGTTTTTAATTATTTTGCATTTACACTGATGATAATTGGAGGTTTAAACCACATTTATAATAACATCATAGGTTTTAAAATTCGACGTTTGAAATAAATAAATAAAAATAAAACATACGTTCAAATACCAACAATAAAGGTATTAAAAGATGAATCATCACACCTGCATTATAACTTTTTTTACTTTTACTATTTTAAAATGTTTTTATTGTTATCTCTGAGTATTAATTGCAACAACTACAAATTCTGTTCTGATATAAGTCTTATTTATGCTCCTAGAAAAAAATCACTAGTATCATAATTTTGGGAAGTTTTATTTTTGTTTTTTTATCATCGAGTCAAAAGCCAAAGAACGATGTAGTTCCTCGGAAGCATATGCCTCCTAAACCCCCTCAAATTCGCGTCTGCAGGGTCTAACTCTTATTTAAATATAACGTACAGACTAGTGACTGGAATGTCGTTAAATATATTTAATGATTTTTTTGTATTATATAAACAGCCGTATAAAAAAGTAGGTAAGATTGTTGTTACTAACCCGTCGAAAAACCGATGCAACTACATTTTTGCATCAATACATGTATCCTTAAGATCTACTATTGTTTGAAACGAGTAAAGTTTGTAGTTGGCGTGTTAAAAGTTTCGAGACATGTTTTTACAGCGCTGAGGGATACAAAGCTCACTCACACCGAAAGCATCAGAGTTCGTATATGATGTTAATACATTTATACTTGTATGATATGTATATTTATTTATTTATATACTTAGGTGTTCGGGTGTACGCCTATATTATAAAAGTGTATATTCTATACTCTAAAGGTTGTTGTGGTAATATATCTTAGTGGCCTCGGGGCTTTCCGCCGTCCAAAGCGACGGGTCCGGATATAGATCATGCGGAATAGTGCGGTACACAGTGTACTCAGAGTTTGCCCCGAGCAATGTTAATTTGTAAGTCCGCGTCGAACGCCTGGGGCCATGTAGACGGGGACGACAACATCAACCTGCCGGATCTCGCCCCCCGGGGAGGCCGCCCCTGTTCTGCTCCTCCTGTCCAAACCGTCACTTATCTCCCGCCCGCTTTGCCTCGTGTAAAGTATTCATGGCACAATAAGACCTGCGGCAACCACATCGTCCCGGCGTGCCCTGAAGCTATCAATTGATTCGAATGTATATTGAGTTGCAGCAGTCGCTATAGTTACAGCTTCGGGCATCTTTGTACTGCTTAAAAAGCCTTAAGGCGATAGCCTGCCTGCCTACCTACTCACTCGAGATACTTCATCACAAGATGCAATGCGTTTAGTTTTACCATTCTTGTGCATATTGTCACGGCAGTCCTATTTAACGAAAGGCTTAATACATTAGTGACAACTTTTGTTGAAATATATTGTTTTTAGCACAATAGGGTAATAATCAATGAACGGCGGACATTTTTACGAAAAAATTGTCTTATCTCACTGCAACAATTTTTCGTCAGTAGTTTTCATAACAAAGGAAACATCAAATTAGTCCCACAACCATATTACCATTTTTTATACAACATCAATAATTGAACATTAATCGAAAAATTCCAATTTTAAAGATAAAAATATAAATTAAAAATTTTTGGCATTTGTTAATAATAAATATTTTCACATTATTATTATAGAGGATTTTTCAGATAAACAAATATTTATGAACTTTTCAAGATCGATATCAAAATAAAAATTGCTTTTGAAGATGAAAAACACTTTAAAACTGTTTATTCACTGGTAGTCACCCTAGTTTATTGAGAATTAAAATTTGCAATTCAAAATAAAATTGGGTACTAAATAAATGTGACGGACACAGAATCTTAAGCGATTTGTTAAGACTCGTTATTTAAATTGATTATCACGTGAGGTAACACTATAATATTCAATTATATTAAAATGTAATAACATGGAGATTCTCTTACAAATATAAAGTATTATTTTACCGATTTTTCAGCTATATAAGAACCAAGTATTTCAGTTTACAGAGCATAGGCGTGTGAACAAAGGAAGCCAATAATACTTTTGCTGCCTCCGACTAATCTAACTTAATTAAATTGTTCAAAATTGGTACCTAATAAAGTGGACGTCAATATACTTAGAATTCAATAGAGAAGTATCAAAATATTTCATATAAAATTTCAAATATAAGTTTTTAAAATTAAATAAAAGTCTCTTAAATCCCTATCAATTATGGCCCAGTAAAAATTTTCGAAGTAATTGTCGGAAAAATATATTATCTCACTTTAGTTTTCATTAAATTAGATTTTCGTTTTAATTCCGCCTAAGACAATTATTAATTTACTGAAAAACTCCATTCTTCATTGTTAATAATGAAAAATTAATTTTCTAGTTAACTAAAATAAAAATATGTCTTTTACGGCTGTACATTTTTCTTATACTAAAATTAAGACCAATTATTTTGGAACTGTTTTATCACAAACAATTTCTTTACGATATAGCATTAGAGTCTACATAAACAGCAACAAATTTTCATCGAAAAACATCTTAAGACTAAAGTAAAAAAATTATTTTGATTTCGTACTAATGTGATGTTAATGATTTGCATTAGGAGGACTTACGTAGGAAAATTTGTCACTCTGAAATAGTCCAAAATAGATATTTATGTCGCTTCGTAGAAAGGAATGAAGACTTTATTATCGATTGCAACATAAAAAAAAAACGGTTTTAACATCCAAATTAGTATTTAATGCCCCCTGAAATACTTTGTTGACCAAAAAAAAAGTGCCTTCCCAAAAACGTTAAGAAAATTATTTATATATTTATACAAAAAAAAAATTGGGTTAGGGAAAAAAAATGTAGTCTCTTCACATTTATCCATAAATTTAAACCTATTACCTTATCAATAGGCTAAGCGTACATTTGATTTAGATTCCTCGCCTTTATCCTAAATACTTTGTATCAGCTACCCTTATAGTAAACTTCCACTTGACAATTTCCAATATGATATTGAAAATTGATTATTGATATGTGTGTAAATGATTTACGCACATATCAACAATCCTTATATCGTTTTTGTTCTTACAGCTTCCAAATCCTTTCGCCTTTCAATATGACCAAACAATCTAAGTCTATTTTTTTCATCTTCACGATTTATACTACACTTATATTCCCTCTTATATGTTTGTTTATTATGAAATAAAGTGAATAGCTATCATATTAGTCGAATAGTCAAAATAAATAGTTATTAATATCAACAAAAATAATTGTTTTGTGAATATCACTGAACCCTATCATTTTTATTGATTATAATAAAAAAATATATACATTATACAAAATAATATAATGAGTGCTCAATTTTTACCAGGGCATAACTTAATAAAAAAGAATAAAATAACTTCTTTTTACATAAACAAAATATTTTTTTTTTAACATACATGCTCTAAAAATACATTAGTGTTATCTACAGTATAAAAATACATATTCTTTAACATAGGCTTGATGAGTGCCACATTTGATACATCTCATTTTTTTGTTTTCACTGCAGTCAATTATACATAACATAAATGTGGTCCATAATCTATTTCCTTGCTTCACTTAAAATCACAAGGATTAGAAAAAAAACAGTGATAGAAAAAACAAAATAACAAAAATCAACAAATTTCCCGGTGTTCAAATGATCCTAATTTGTTATTAGAAAAATATTCTATACAAAATTCAAGTCAGACAAACAGTGAAAAATAAAATCATAGTCAATATGACTAGCCATATACTGCAAAACAAGAAACGGCAATGAGGATTAAACTAAAATGAGTAGATTATCACTTTATAAATGGTTTAAACATAAAATTAGCTTTTCTACGAATATCTTTTTCTTGCTCGAGTACAAATAAAGTGTCTCGCATGGTAACACGTTTTATCCTTTGCCTGGGTACCTGCAAATTAAATAAAAATTATTATTATAAAATCTAGTAAAAGTTGAAAATAACTTACATTTTGTCTATTTGTTAAACTTGTATTGGAACTTGGGTTCTGAAATAAAATAAAAAGATTAAATAATAACAGATGCCTATATTTTAAATTGAATGTGCAGATACATTCAATTTAAAATATTCAAATTAGAATTCAAGTATTTTAATTTATTTTTCTTATTTGTTAAATTTAAAATGTTTATTTACACTTCAAAATCAAACTACAAATGAGGCATGGGTAATGATTATGATTATTTTTATCATTAGTCATTATTAATCCGCTCTTTTCTCCAATGAATATAAAAATATTCTTATTTACAGAAATGATTGTTCGAAAATGTTTATCAATCACCCTACACAGTGATTTAATTTAATTTAAATTACCTGAAGACTAGGGCTTAGCCCAGGTTCTAATTTTAGCTTTTTCCTAGGTCCGATTGCATTGAGAGCTGTAAGATTTGCTTCTCGCTGCCTTAATTCTTCCATTTCTACCCTTTGCATCTAATAATTAAAATAAATTAAAAAATATTTAAATAATATTATGAACTATAGTAACAATAACAATAATTTTCGTTAATAAAAAAAATTCTAGATAGTTCTTATTTAAAAAATCTATACCTCTTTGGCTTTAGCTTTTAATTTTGCTTGCTCAGGGTCTTCATTTTTGGATCGACTTTTGGCTGCTCGTAACAGTAATTCTCTTTCCATTTCATCTTGTTTTTTACGTTCTACTTTATCAATTTCCTCAAGACATTTAATTTGGCCACGAATATTTCTCGTGATTTCATAACGTCGATCAGCCTATAAAAATTTGTTTATTATCATCTGCTAGTAAACAGTAATATTGTTAAATTTTACTTTATTAAAATCTAAACGATGTTCAGCAACTACAGCAAATTTTTCTAGAAGATCTTTTAAGCGTTCAGCCACTGCATGGGATATAAGAGCAGGTACATCAGTTGCTATGTCATCTAAACCTTCTTTATTGACTGCAAACAATATATTATGACATTTATTATTATCAAAAAATAGACATAACAAAGTTAAATAACATATAAACATTAATAATAAGCTAGGTATAATATCTATTGTATTATTACAACAGACCACATAAAAATGAATGATAACAAGTCCTTGCAGTATATAGCACCAAAAGAAATGTTTCATCATGCAACAATAATTTCCACTACCCTTTAAATACATCCTGTAGTGCATCTAGAAAAATAAAATTTATATTTACAGAAATGCCTACACTTAGTACCACCAGCCACATGATCTTCATTTTTCTATTCTAAGAAACAGGAATGTTTTTTTAGTACAGATATGAAGTTTTGATTAGTACATATTTGAAAACCCAAATTACTTCACGGTATTTGTAAGTGGGTACATTGACTTTTTATCTTCTTTTTAGTTAATTTAGTTTCATATTATTCTCGAATTATTAACTATGAAATACTTAAGTTCATTCCTTGTGCTTTGTAAGGGTATCGACTTTCAAATGAGAACACATGTTTTGAATTTTTAGTATAACTTCATTTGTTTTATAGATATAATCCCATTGAAGTTTCGAATTTTTTAATTAAAATACATGCATAATATATGAGGAATTACAGATACAGGTAGCTAATTGCTTTCTTACGACATCACTATTCACATATACATAGTGTTTATTATCAACGACATTTTCAACTGATATGCTTCAAGTATGGTAACATATAAGGCACAATTTTGCAAGTTAACATTTATAAATAGGCCAAATGTCAATTCAGATAAAAAAAAATCTCTCCATATAAAAAAATGATAAGTTAGATCATAAGTTACAAACGCTTTCAGTTAGATCTAAGAGACTCTATAAGATATAATATTACATAAAAAAAATTTAGGACAGAGGATACATTAACTTAGCCTTCCCAAAATGTTTATTCTATTTGAGTCTATATCACTGTTTACCATTAATATTCTAGAACTTATTTAAAATAATTTTTTTAATGCATAATTTTTACATTATGAAATAATGTCACATTAATCTCAATAGTTAATTATTTCCATCTAAAATTTAAAAGTATTTAATAAATTGTCACATTTAAATTACTAGAGAAAGAGTTTGATTTCAAACATATTAAATTAGTTCAAGGTAATTATCAAAGCTTTTATAAATTACTATGTTGTATGTTGTTTAAAATTTACCGTGACAGATCAAATTTTAAAATTTTTAATTTAATATAAAATACATTAAACATTACCTATTTGTTTAATTTTTGAAACTAAAGGATTTTGTGGTAATAGTATTTCATCTTTACATGATCTTATTTGGGTTCCAACAAATTCAGTAGATCCTAATATTCTTTGAGTTTCTTCTGCTAGATTAACGCCACCCATAGCAGCAACATCATTTATATCATCGTCAGCTCTGTACAATTTAAGTAAATAATTAACATAATTTAAACTACAAAAAATATACAAGGATATTTAAAATGATATGGCCAAGACAATAAGAAAATTTTTCTCCATATAAATGGTTTTTATTATTTTAGATAAAAGGTAAAAATTAATAAAGTAATAGATACTATCAATTTATTAGAGATAAGTTATATATATATTTTTACTAAGGATGTGTCTAAAGATTAATTTATTAATAATATTAATAAGTTAGTTATTTTGCCTAAAAATAATATTCAAATACTTACACATAATTTGTAGAAGAAAAGGATTTTTTTTCTTTTTCTTTAGAAGGAGGTTTGGATGAAGTGACAAATGGAGAAGTAAGATTAGCTGGTGTTTGCACTTTGTTGATCATTGGCTGTGATAACACATTTGGAGTTGTAGGTAATCGAGATTGAGGCATAGATATATTATTTGTTTGAACTACAGCTGGTAATGTATTATTTATCTTTATATGTGATCCAGCAGTTGTTTTAATGGGAACTGCTTTGACTACCATTTGTCGACTGTTCATTCCCGGACGAGGAGAAGAGGTTGAGGTTAGTGGTGGAGGCAATGAACCTGAGGTAGCTACAGGAGGCTGAATGCGAATTGAACCCATTTTATTAACAGATGTAATACTAGTTGGTGTTTGAACCCTGACTTGTTGCTATAAAATTTTTTTAAAAATTTAATTAACACTCAAGATATTGACTACATAATGCAATAATTTAGATATCAATAAAAAAAACTCATGCTTAGATATTTTTACTTTACTTAGAAGTATGAAGGTGGGTTGGAAAGTAATAGATGCCTTTCTCTTAATGTATAACTTGAAAAACAATGAAAATAAATTAATCAAATGCATCCACCCTTGTCGAAAATGATGTAAAATCTTTAATTACATATAATTACTTTTAATATAACTACCTCTTATATTGTTATATTTTAGTTATTATTTCAAATATTTTGAAATGTAGTTTAAATAAAATAGTTTTCCTTGTGAAGAAAACAAGTATTTATTTATTTATTTAATTCTACTACAATTGTACACATTATTACGAACACTTCAAAATGATAATAAAAAAAAGGTATTTGCTCAACATTTCTTGAATAAAATGGTATTAAGTTACTGATACACTATGACAAAATAACAATAAAAAAATACAAGCATTTTAAGTTCGCGTAGTATACATTTATGTATTTAAAATTCTGTGTTATCAATTTGTTATCAAAGGTACAACCAATCTGGCTTCAGTCTTTCAACTTCAAATATGTGATAAACTCTTCTTCATCCTTTCATAGTAACCTCTACAATAACTATATGAATAAAAAAAAATTGAAATAATGCTTCTGATTTCAAATTTTTGCATCCATTTTTTAATCTGGATTTAGCATTAAGTGCTAAATCAGCTCTAATGAATATTTAACACAAAGAATATTCAGTTACAAATAGGAACATCTTAAGAGTGTAAAATTTGATTATGATAAAAAATTTAAAGCTGAAGTAAAACAGTGATTTATTAAGTAAGGCAAAGGATTTTAATCGAACGGATTTAAAAAACTTTTAAAACAATATAAAATAAAAATATTTTGAAAATATATCAACACATGAAGTAGTATTATTGAAAATAATTATTATTGATATAACTACAGTTATATCAATTTTTACGAGTATTTTCTTATTTCATTAGTTTTTAAGTTATATGATAGAAAGCATTACTTTTCAAACCAACCAAGATTTTTAACAATACAAAATAATAAACCATTAATTTACTTAGTGAATTGGTATAAAGAATATAAAAAATTAAAATCAAATGACAATAATTTTATATTTATATTTTGATAGCAATGATTAAACCAAATCAGAATAAAAAATTCAAAAAAAAAAAAAAATGAAAAAATATTTATGAGCTTACAATTTGCAATGACATAAATTATGAAATCTTCCCAAAAATTAGACACCAACAAATTATTTTATTGCAACCTTGCATTAATTAAGACATGCTTTCAATATTTAATTCAGCTCTTAATTTAATTTATTATCTAACATAAATAATATTATAATACATACAGAAATTATCCTATGTTGATTAGAATTGATAGTTCTAGCTGGTGTTAAAGCTGGTTGAGTGGTCATTATTCTCACCGTTTGCTGACTTGATCCAGTATTCAAAATATTACCCATTATTTGAGTATTCTAAAAGAAAAATGTATACAAAAAAACAGGTTATAATATACAAATTTAATTCTTGAAAAACATATTAAATAAATACCTATTCAATTATAATTTATTTTAATATTTTCATATTAAACATTATAATATATGAAAAAATAATTTTTAGGCTTTTTCAGTTATATTTCTTGATTTATTAATTATTAAGTACATTTTCATGTTCATCCCTTATATTTTAAGATAGTTTCAAAATTATTATTTTTAATGTGAAAATACATTAGACAGTAGCTTATTTATTAGAAAATTATCTAATTAAAATGATTGGTTGATAATAACTTTTAGACCAGTACATTGGAAATTATTAACATTTTCATCCGTAAGCAGGATTTTGACCGAAAAATTAAATAAGTAATAACTTACAAAATACTATGATATTTGTAAATAATTTAAATATTCTATGTATTTATATAAATATAAATATTAATTAAATTAGCCCATGGTACTTGCTAGTCAAGATTTTATTTGGAGATGAAAAATATATTTTTTATTTTGTCATTTTAAAAAAAGTAAATGATTAAGCACATAATAGAAATATTTTAATTTTACTAAAATTTTTTAAATAATAATGGTACATTAGTTATAGTTATATATTAAATAATTTTTTTTACCGACAAACATTTTCTAACAATAAATATAACTTCTCCTAATGATATCTTAGACTAAAATATACCAAACCATTTATTTTTATTGAAATTCTTAAAACTTGATGTTTTTTTTTATTTTAATTATTAAAATTCTATTTTAAGTATTTATAAATGATAAGTAACTTACCGTAACCTGTTGTTGATTAGCTAAAACAACAGTAGGTTGAGTCAGGGCACTAGGTTGTGGTGGACGAATACCTTCAATCACCATGTCTTTATTCATTAAGGATTGTCTCAAAAGTGGTAAACTTTTCTGTAATATTAAAAATTAATTTAAGTTATAGAAAATAAAAAGTACTTATTTTCAATAAAACGTTGGTATTACTTTTAGAAAACCTATAAGGCACGGTTGTGGTGAAGCATTTAGAAGTTTTTCAAGCCTATCACAAAATTGTTCAGGCTCTACTTTAGCATCAACTAGTTCTTGAATAAGTGTTCGTACACTTCTTTCCACAGGCTTAGGCTCTTTACTAGAAAGTTCTAAAAGATTCGCTAAGAACTTACGACACTTATCTTTAGTGTTGTCCTGTTGAATTTTTTGTTGAACCTTTAAAATATTAAACAAAAATCATTTACATAAAAAAAAAAAAAAAACAATTACAAAAAATTCTTATATATACTTGTTGAGGTTGGCTTGTAGCTTGAGTAGGTGTAGTATGAGTAGCAGCAATAGAAACATTACTCTGAAAATTTTTTTTTTCATAGATGTTATCAAAACAATAAAATTCAGCAATTTTAAGTGATTAGATAAAAAATTGTTAGTAATACTAGTATTATAAATTCAAAAACAATCAAAATAATAGTTTTTAAAAGTTATCAATTATACAACACAGTAGTTTTCACAATTAAGTCATAATATCCTTAAAACTCACAGTTGTAACGGTTGGAACAGGCTGAACTCTAAAATTTGCATTATTTTGAGTAATAGTGTTGGTTTGACCTGGAGCTGCAGGACCAACACGTAATAATTGGTACTGGCCATTTTCAGTCTTAAGTAATATATGTCCACCTTGGGCTTGCTGAAGAGTTTGTAAAGTAAGCTGTAAAAATCAGGATATGTGAATAATTATAAACTTAAAATAAAATTTCTAATACATAAGGTAAAAGTATTGAAAATAACTGGTTACTTTGTTTAGTATATTAATACAAAAAAAAATTTAATAATTGCAATACATTTATATTAACATATGTTTTTGAAAATTTTTTTGTAATTATCTTTTTTGATTAAGTATCACAGTTCTAGCCCTAAGGGTACGGATTAATTAAACTTTAAATAAATACACAAGGTAATTCCTCAAACACTAGCAACTCAATTTCTCTTACAATAATAATTTTTTTTTTTTTTTGCTTTTGTTAGTTATATATATATATATTTTATACCAGTATTATTTTATTATATTTTATAACTTTTAGACCAGTATATCTAAAGTTATTAAAGTTTTTATACCTAAACTAGAGCAGAAATGAATGCGTAGTGATAAAAATAAGCTCATTCTCTATTAATTACTTTAAATTATTAGTAGCTTCTGAAATACTGGTCAAAAAAATTTTATTGACTAGTTATTTCCTTAATTACATCATTTTCTATTTTACAAGATAGTTAAATATGTAATCATTTGAAAAAATTTATATAAAAACTATTAATTTAAAAGAAATTGAATGGCTATTATTAGAAGAATCACTTTGTACATAGTTCTCAAAAATTTTAAATATTAAATGATAAGAATTAATAGATTTTAATCAAAAAATTAATATTTTACTAAAAATTTAGTCATTTATTTCTTATACAAATATATTTTTTAATTTTACACATTAATCAATTTATCAATAATTAACAATACATTTTAGATTTGATTATTATATTTTAATTAAACTTACCCCTGGTGCACCAGGACGACCTCCAACAACTCCTGGTATCATAACACGTTGCATATTTTTATTTACTCCACCTTGTGAATTTTGGGGTCGCAATGCGTTTACATTTAATATCTGTACATTGGCTGGTAGAATTGTTTGAGGTGAATTGGTAGGTGTAACACCTTGGGTTACTTGTTTAGGTACTGTGATGACATTAGATGATACTGCAGATGGATTGGACATCTGGCCTGTAAGAGTCATCGTAGACACTGGTGGTGAACTTTGATGTTGTTGTGGAGTAGTTTTAATTACAACTGATGTACCAGAACCTTTAAAAATTAATGTAAGTTTTATTATACATTTAAATTGAACAAAATAAATAAACAAGTTAGGGTAAACACAAGATTCTAATACGTTATTTAAAAATAATACGAGTAATTATCGCTAACACAACTGTAAATTATACCCTTTTTGAATTAAAATAAAATGTAGGTCATTTTTAAATATATCGTTAACATACGTTTAAATACTAAAAATTTCTTTAATCAATATTTTTCAATCGAAGAACACAATCACAACATACATACTAAGTATTTACAACAGTAACAATATAGCACAGACTTTGACGGCACATACAATATCTCATTCTTAACATAATATCAACAGGATTAATTTAGATAACTAACCTGCAATAGTTGAATTAACAGTGCCATTAGGCAACGAATTAACTGGAATATAGTTGCGATTATTGGCAGAATTTGAATAGACCACTTTCACAGTATCCTGTGATTTTATGGGTTGTGGTGCTGCATAGTTGTGTGCCAATGTTGGGTTGACAACATGCTGCTGTTGCTGAGGCTGCTGCTGTTGTTGGCTTACGAAGTCTGGTTGACTGATGCCAGGCATTAAACTATTATTGTTATTGGTAGTTATACACTTGTTCATCGAGGAGGTGGCTCTGGTACCGTTGACCAAGTGCTGCTGTTGGGGTTTTTGCGGCGCGGCTGTAGTAGCTGCGTTAGCATTGCTGTTGTAGCCAGTCTGGGGGTGACTTCTGTTGCCGGTAGACACAACCGATGTGTTAGTAACAAGTTCACTTTCCAGAGACACCACTATTGCACTGAACGCGTTTTCGTCCACGTCCTTACTGAGTACTTCCTCCAGAAACTTGACTGACGCCATTTTCTGACCAACTCAGATCACAGACTGATATGCGCATGCGTATAATATTCCCCCGCGCGACCGTCCTAGTACAAATACACACGCACACGGCGCACTCATTATGTTTATGTTAGCAATGATACGCGCGCTTAAACGCATCTGACATCGTTCGTACTACACCACGTATTTTTCATTTTTGATACCTATACTTTATCTAGTCTAGAAATTTGCGTAAAGAATACCAACTTTTATATGTAATTATCATGTTTATTCCACACCCCACTATTTTCATTCGAATACTCATTAATTATCAGTCGTACTTCATTCCCGTAACTACTAATGTCTTGTAACCGCAAAACACAACTAGGTACGCACGTATTAACAAACGTAAGAGTTGCCTGCAGTGTTGCCACTTTAAATTTATAACATACAAATGTGTCTGGTGCTTATCTTGTTATTCTTTACAACAGTACACTATCTCAGTAGATAATCCGACGGTTGGAACTTCAATATTGCTTAAAAAATATGTCTAGAGCTACACATGCTTTCAGATAGTACAAGAAACTATTTGAAAATATAACCTGTGATAGTACGATGTATACTCTGTTAATCATTTATAAACAGTCATTAATTTGATCACTCCTAATTACTTATGATTAACAGCTATAAATATTCATTGTTTTCTAGTAAAACAATAAATTAGTTCATACTTGTCAATGGTTATTAAAATATACATTCCAATTATTATAATGACAAAACAATTATTTATAATTTTAAACCTTTTAGGGACCATTAATTTACCTTGTAAATTACTAAAATTAAAACAGAAACGTTCTAGGAATAATTCATTCATTTATACGAAACAATCTATCAATTAAGCCATCTATTTAGAAATCTAGTTTTTTCATTTTACTTTTTTCTTAATAAATTATTATTGCATAATAATTTATTATCGATATATTATATGGACGGTAAACAAACAAATGTGTTAAATGCGTTTCAACTATTTTCAGATGTATAATTTTAGATTTTGAATAGCCATAAACATGACTTTTAGGAGAGGGGATGTAGGGTGTGACACACTATCACACAATTATGTTTAAAGGTTTCAAACGTCAATTTTACAATATATGAATATTAAAAAAAACCCAGCACAGTGGGGTCGTGGCATAGTTGGGTCCAGTATAGATGATATCTGACAGTGATTAAAATCACTATCATAAAAAACACTTCGATGCAAATCTGTAGATAGTGATTAATTTAAAAAAAAAAATTTGTTAAAATAGCATATTTTTGAATATGGTAGCCATTTGCGCATAGAAAATAGGTCGTCGGGACAATTTTTTTTTTTTATAGTACATAAAATAAGCTTTAATTTGATATATGTTTAATGGACACAGTATTTCCGGATCATTTTCAAAAATTAAGTTGAAAAAGTTATTTTTTGTAAAAAAGTTACTATTTTAAATCCCCCCAGTGAGCAGAATAAGTATTAGATTTTCAAAAAAAATTATATCAAATGAAAGGGAAATATCTAAGGTTTCAATACAAAAAAATATTATTTTTATTTGTTCATTTTTGAAAAAGTTATGGCAGTTTTAAGTACAAAAAACATCCCGATAAAAGGTAATTTTTATCGCAAACATTACATTTTTTTTTAAATTTTCGACAGCCATTTGCACATAGAAGATAAGATGTCGGGACAAATTTTTTTTTTTCATTTGATAGTATATAACATAACCTTTGATTTGATATATGTTTAAAGGACGCAGTATTTCCGGAACATTTTCAAAAGTTCAGTTCAAAAAGATCTATGTTCTTTACAATATTTGAAGTTTTGAACGCTCCCTATATAAGGGGAAATTGTCCAATTTTAATAAAAAGTATGTCAAATGTAAGGTGTACTTATAATGTATTTAGAAAAAAAAATTTGTGCTGATATATACATTTTTCAAAAAGTCATAGCATTTTTAAGCTGAAAATTTAAAATCGAAAATTTTAACACAAAAATAGTGTTTTTTTAACTACGGCAGCCGTTTAAATGTAGAAGAAAAAGTGTCGGCACAAATTTTTTTTTTAATTTTATAGTACATAAAAAAGCTTCAATTTGATATATGTTTGAAGGACGCAGTATTTCCGAAACATTTTCAAAAATTAAGTTAAAAAAGTTAATTTTTGTAAAAAAGTTGCTATTTTAAATCCCCCCCAATGAGCAGGTTAAGTGATAGATTTAAAAAAAAATGATATCAAATGAAAGGGAAATATCTAAGGTTTTAGTATAAAAAAAAATTATGTTGATTTGTTGATTTTTCAAAAAGTTATGGAAGTTTTAAGAAAAAAAAGTGAAAAAATTACGAAAATTAGCGATTTTTAAATTTGTAATTTTTTTGGATATTTCCCCCATTTGCGGGGAACGAGGGAATNTTTAAATTTGTAATTTTTTTGGATATTTCCCCCATTTGCGGGGAACAAGGGAACTTTTTTCAGTTTTTAAGGATAATGTCTTCAACTAGATACGATTTGTGATCTTTTGACGTATTTTTGAAAGAAATTGGTCCAGTGAGAGCTGAGAAAAAGTGGCAACGGATATAAAAAAAAAAAAAAACACATCATAGTAAAATTAATACCTTCTCCGCTTCGCATCGAAGCTAAAAAAAAATATTAAAAAAGGTCATACAATTTTAAAATTATTATTCAATCAGCAATTATTTTGTTCTCCATCACTTCATTTTTTGCTTTATAATGATTATTGCCATAACAATTTTTCGAAATGAAACTAATTGATAGTGCTTTAATGTTAAATATATTTTAAGTTGTTTTAAAAATGAAACAGTTGATATTGATATTCAGATCTTTTAACTTATAGCATTTGCCTTTTTTTTTAGTGGCAGTGAGGAGTAGGTCCTAGAGATATATACGTAAGCTACAAATTTATTTCAGAAAACCAATAAGCTAAATACAAAATTTTATGTTGCATATATATACTGATTTCGTGATTTAAGTTCTATTTTGCTTTTTTGTGTGTTTAGTGCTATTTTAGTATCGAAAAATAGAAAAATTATAGTATAGTATAGAAAAATTATTTAAAGGTCAAAACTTAGAGTTATCGTTTTTATTTTTACAATTATCGTATCAAGAAAAAGTGTCAATAGTAATGTATGTACCACTAGGACCTTCATGTATTTGAGGATGTGTAATTCGGTAACTTTATAATATGCCCAATTAATTATCAAAAGAACGATTAAAGTAATTTAAATATTTTCCGCGTTTTTTTTTTTACTATAAGAATCTATAATCTTGTAATTCCATTCATAAAAAAATTTAAAGATGTGCGATAATATCTTCATAGTTTCCTAGTATGCCAATATTATTATTTTCTTAAAAGAAATAAATTTTTAGTCAATTATATTTACCAGTTGCTTTCGATTTTTTTGTGTAGTGTATATGTTCGCGTTTTTGTGTTAACAATTTTAAAATAAACGAGTTATTTTTGCAATGCCTTAAAAAAAGACAATCAATATCACATTGTTTAAAGAATAATGTGTCGCAAATTTTGTAAATTTATATCTGACACAAGTGTGTTATTGTGTAAATTTTTTGATATTAAAATATATCACCAAAAAAAATAAATTTTACATCACGCAATACTTAAAAAGTCGAAAAATCTATTAAAGCCCTCAAACATTCAGAAGTTCAAAATGAAAAAAAAAACAATTGGCCACTATACCACAAAAGCTACATTTAATAAGAAGTTATGTTTTGAAATATTATTAGCTAATATACTATTAAATAAAACTTCATATCAAAACTTTTACAAATTTCTAGAAAAAATACTACTACAGAAACAAACTTGAGACTCGGGTATATGTCTTCTTCTTCTTCTTCCTCCTCCACTCCTTAATCACAACTATTTGGGGTCTGCCACCCTTATCCTAAAATTCCTTTTGACACGATCTCCCACATTATCTACGCTCGTACAGCTGTCCTCATATCGCATTCAATAGCATCCCTTCATCTCTTTTTTGGTCTTCCTCTACCTCTTCTTTCTTCAACATTCATTTCTATAACTGTTCTTACAGCTTCCAATTCATCTCTCCTCATAACATAACCAAACCATCTAAGTCTATTTTCTCTCATCACTGCTCACTCCACTCATCCATCTAAGCATTCTGATCTCTGCTACACTCATTCTCTGCTCTACTTTTTTATCAACAGCCCAACACTCTGAACTATAGCTGGCCCCACTACAGTCTTGTAGAATTTACCTCTCAGCCTCATTGGAATTCTTTTATCGCATAAGACACCAGACGTTTCTCTCCTCTTCAACTACCTGCACTTAATCCTGTGTCTTATATCCTCACCAATACCATAGCTCTTTTGCACAACTGACCCTAAATACTTAAAACTCTCAACCTCTCCAAACACGTCCTCGCCTATTGTGACTGACCTCCTCATTTCGCCTACCTCGTGTTCTCCTTTGTCAAACTCATACTCTATATACTGTCTTATTTCTACTAATTCTTAAACCCTTATCTTCAAGAGCTGATCTCCACACCTCTAACTTTTGATTAATTTCCTCCCTATATTCTCCTATTAACACTATATCGTCAGCAAACAACATGTACCACGGCACCTCTCCTTCTATTTCTCTAGTAATGCCTCACACAAAATACTGGCTCCATTGTTGACTTACCAGACATAAATCCAAATTGCTTTTTAGATACTGATGTCTCATTTCTTATTCTCTTATCTATTACCTTTTACCATTTTTTTCATATGACTCATAGCTTTATGCCTCTATAATTTCCACACTACTGTATGTCTCCTTTATCTTTAAATTTCAGTAGCATAATACTATTTCTCTATTCATTTGGAATTTTCCCTACTAATATGATTTTATTTGAAAGTTCCTTCAACCGCCTTATGCCAACGCTGCCTAATATTTTCCATACTTCTAGTAGCACTTCATCTGGTACTACTGCTTTATTCTTTGTGTTATTGATAACACAGCCTCCTATATCTCTTTCTCACTAATTAAATCTACCAATCCATCATTTCACGAGATATCCTCTAATGTCTCTTTTGAATACTTCTTATTCAGTAACTTTTCATTTATAATAATTATTTTATAATAATAAATAAATAACAACACGGTTGGGTTAAGTATTACTTATAATATATTTTAAATTAATATAATACTAAGGCCGTTAAGATTATCACACTGATGTTCCGTAAGGAAGTTGAACGATCAATTGATTTAATTCGTGCATCGTTGGACCGGTTTACGCACCCACGGTCACTCGGCATCGCGCGACCTGTCAGAC